GTATATTTCAGCGTTTGTACGGCAACAGAGCGATTTAAAACCTGCAAATAAAGCACGGGTTGTCAATTGCTTCCTTCGTGAAATAGCAGACTCTCACAATTCAAGCTCGCGTTTGATTTCGTTGCCCGCGGGACGCGATTTCTATCAGAAAATCTTTTTTTTTTTTTCCGTTCGGTTCCGCGACACATCGTAGCAGACGAACCCTCGTCGTCTGCTCCCGCTCCTCGCCGGCCCTGCCGGAGCGAGGCATGACGGGATTGCATTTTGGCGCACTCCCGATTTTCTCGGTGCAGCGAGTGCATGCACGCGTGGGGTGTCAGCGCTGAAACGAACTCGGAAAGTGCAACCACTCGTGGAGCGCCGGCCGAAACGAACCCGTTCCACGCTGCGAGTGGGCACGCGTGGGCACGAGTGCCGTGAAACGAACTCGCTATAACCTTCTTTCACACTACGCGATAGACAGCGGCTTCGAGTTTGTTCTTTCGAGAGCGGCGTTTGGTTTCGCGGATTGAATTTGCCCTTCTCCGTGATGTGCGGTTGACGAAGGAATTGTGACTCGAGGAACACCAAAGGTAAGACGCAAAGTGCGCAAAGTAACTGGGTATCGGTTGTCTCTGTTTAACATCGCAGTGCTGTCGACGAGAAGACTGAGTAACTGCTTTCGAAACGCAAGTTTCTGTACCTGTGGGGGGAATCTGGCTTCGGAAATAAACACAGTTTGCGGGGAGCTCGTGTTACGCTTTTATTTGCTGCTGCCCTCGTCCCGTACAAGAGACGTAGCGTCCTCGTCAAGCCTTATTGGGCTCGATTTGCTCGATTTGGGGCCGCCATATTGAGATGCAAGCGACGGAGGAACTTTGCTCCCCTGCTTCAGGGACGAAGGTTTCTCCCTTTCTAAAGGAACATAGGTCACAAGACCGTTCCTCCCCTAAGGGAGGACTATCCATACCCTTTTTTCTAAGAGTGTACTTTCGTGGCAACTTGACATCATTAGAAGTGGGTGCACATTTTTTTTCCTTTTTACTGCTGCCGTCAGCCCATGGGATATTTATTGTTTGTTAAGCGGAACAACAAATATCATGTACTGGCTTCATTAAAGGGATACTTCAACAAAATTTGAAATATTCCCGTCGTGTTCAAAGATAGGCTGAATATGATCCACAATATCCGTAAATGACAATCGCACGTTTGTATTTTGAGCCTGGTGGCTGTATTTTTCGTTATAAACGGCCCACTCTGGCAAGCGCTCGGAGAAGGCCCAGTGGAGACCACGTGACATCCAACGCAATCGTGACGTAGGTCGTCTCAAGACGAGCAAAGCTAAGGCGAGGCTGACGTCGAGAGGATGGCCTAGTCGTTCCAGCCACCGAAGCGGCTGCTTTTGTACGAATTTTGAGTGACGAAATAATCTTCTGTAATCTTGTAGGGGGACAATAGCGACTTCTGCGACACACAAAAGGCATTCTTGAGAAGAGGGGAGTTCCTCCCTCCCCTCTTCTCTCGTCGTGGCCGGAGGCAAGACACTCACCTTCACTAGCTGTCAAGGTTCCTAGACGGGCATTACAAGCGAGGCGTTAGCAACATCCACCAGGTGCTTCCTTTTCGAGTCTTTTTTAACAAGACATTGGTATGTTCGATGTGATACTGCTCCTTTAAACATATATAGACCAAAAAATGAGTGCTGAAATTTCGTTGTAGTATCCCTTTAAAACGTATGTTCCCGCGTCAGTTAGGCCACACAAATTCCTGCAACGGTTTTCTACAAATGTGTTTCTCTTGATCATTAATATCGCATTACATCGAGAAGTTTTATCAGCATCCACATTATACCGCGTCGCCAAAAAAAAATATTCAGCGGTGCAGAGCCCTAGTTTCTAGTCATCCATGCCTCATTGCACACTACTCAGAATGCTTGGAAAAAGGCTAGTCGGTTTCGTACGATACTGAGTGATTTTTGTGCTGCTTCAATACCGTTAATTAAAGATAACAGTGCAATGAAGAAAATTAAATGGGAAATAGGTGTACATCATTATTTTGAGGACTGTCTCAGTGCGATTTCAATATAACATATAGCAGCACAGTTCAACCAACAAAAACGAATATGTTTCCCAGCTAAAAATTCCCATTAGGTTCCAATTCGAATTTTCCCATTGGTTCCAATTAGGTTTTTGGACAACTAATTGGTCACTGCCAGTGCCAAAGGGCCAGTGTGGTTCCAGTTGGAACATACAAAAACCAATTGGTCCCAATTAAAACCAGTCGGAATTCCATTTGGATCGAATTTGAACTTTTAGCTGGTTGGTTTAAAGAAGATCCCACTGCACGTGTTTTTTTAACCGAGTCCTTGGTCTCTACCTTTCAATATTTCATAAACGCTTTTCTAACCTAATAAATGCTTCCAGGATTGACCGACAGACCATAATCCATGGCGGTATTTTGTCATTCCGGCCACTGGTGGCTTACCAACCAAGTTATCAACCAAGTTACCAACCAAGTGACCAACTAAGTGAACGTCCCGCTGTAGGTCCGAACTCTAAACGCCAACAGGACAGATCAAGCGGCAAGGACTTCACTTTTCTTTGATGTGCTAGAAATTTCAGAGTGTTTCTAACTGCTCGACTGAGATCACATGGTTCATAAAGCGCGTTTGCAAGACGAGCCGCGTGTAGCTGACAAAAGCGTCTCCGCCTGCTTTTCTCCCCGTCACGGAACGACACCAGGCATGCGCATAAGACGTAGCCTCCTTTATCCTAGGAAGCCTGTTAATGGGCAATATGCAAAATAGCAGCGCCCCTAGCAGTTCAGGAGCACTCTGGGAGCAGGAGACTATCAACGAGTAGTTTCGGTTTTGCCGGGTTGTGCATCTGTCCTCTCTTTCCTCTGTCATCTGTTTTTTTTTTTTTTTTTCTTTAAGCCGATTAAAGCATTAACATGCTTGCACTTGCGAGCAATCGGCGGAAGAGGCGCCCACCATTACGTTGCAAAGGCTCTCCACCGTTCATTGTGCGCGTACACGACGGGCTCTTACCATTCCCCCCTATTCGCTTCTTACTCCTACACACACACACCCCACTGTTCAAGTTGCTTCCTTTCTTAGGCTCTCTACCTCAAGAATCGTAGTAAAAAACGTCCGGCTCCTTGGGCAACGTTACCAATTTCCCCCTGAATTAAGACATATGCAAGCGCATCTTGGATCAGCTTCAGGTTACTTTATCAAGACCTACGTACATTTCAATTTCCAAAAGCAGTGTTTCTTCCTCCGACAACAAAACCTTGCACGACCTACGTCTTGCAGCGGACAGATAATGTGCAAAACTTCCTTCTCGTTTTGATGTGACGAGCATAGATTAAGTGTGCTGTTTACCAACAAGTCAGATTTCGCCCAAAGCAGGTGCGAGCACTGCGCAGCGCAGAAACTACATCTGGGAGAGGGGAGGCGTCGGTGCATGGGGGCGTCGTACCAACAACAGTGCCACCGCAGCGGCACGACGTCGGGGCCAATTCAACGTTTTCGTACTTTAAAATCAAACTTCGCCAACATTTTGACAGGAGTTGGCCTATTAAGAGCACGTACGTAAATAAAAAATAAATGGGGTGCAGTAACATTAATTGCTAAAAGCCTATAAGTTGCTTTTGTAATGGGTAATTTATAATAAATTTGTAGGCAGACTATTTGGTAAATACCTTTTCACAAACATTTTACTTTTAGAAGTCACGCAATGCTTTTTAAAAAGTCAAACTTTTTTTTCTTTTCTTTTATTTTGTAGTTTGTTGGATGCATGAAGATTTGCCGAACCAATTGAACCTCGAGGGTTTCAGCTGCAGCGGTTTTTGGAGCTGCCCAGAACTAAAGAGAATCTCAGACTATTCAGGCCTTACTCTTCCGGATGCTATTTATTATCTCTAAATTTAATATAACTACGAGATATAGGCAAATGAAGGTAACGCCAAAACCAATTCCGCGCATTTTTTTTTTGTTTGTCAATTTATTTTTTACCTTTTTTTTTTAGCTCCTTAATTAAGAAAACATTAGAGTGCCTAAACTTGTGTAAAACTTTCAGTATAAAACTAGTGTACTAGTGTAAAACTTTCAGTTCAGTTATACACAATTCCAGAGATGCCTCATAGTTGGCACCAGAGTATTCTCTCGCAGGTGGCATAACTTGGAAGTGCAATGACAGCAATGTGCAAGTTGGTGCTGCACGACTTGTTAACCGAAGAAAGCATCGAACCATTCGCGTTTGCACCACACCGGTATATGCAACTGCAGGATTCAATGGAAAAAAAAAAAAAAAAGACATATGGATAGGGCACCTTTTAGAAAGTGTATTTCGTAGCTTTCGAGTCCGACGAGTTCGAACCAAACCCGGTTAACGGGGGGTCAATATTTTCCAGATAAACTGCAAGAAGACTCGAGTGACTGATGCATACCAGTACCAAAGCACATTCAGTGGAAACACCTTGCTGAAGCAACACCCGGACGACTTGCGCGTGTCGTATGGAGAAATCTTTGGACACAGTCCACTCGCTTTGGGTTCAATGCGACAAATAGTGCTCGGATGTCTATATTTTTATGAACTTATTTGTGCCGCTTCAAGCATAGTTTGTACTTGTACATAATTGGAACGATTGATGTCATCATTTTGTATAGAGCATATATGATTGATGTCATTTCGTATATAGAGTTTTATGTCATCTCTTCGCATGTATAAACTTCTATGATAGGGAACTGAAATTTCATCAATCTACTTACTGTCATGCGGGCACATCAGGCCCGAAATTCGACACTTCAATTGCATCGGGCTTTGTCGCAAGCACGACCACTTCGAAATGGAAGCCAGAAGGGAGCTCGTAAGCACAACGAACAAGTTTGTGCTTTCGTATAACTTTACGTTTTCCAACATCTGCGCTAGAGTATGTAAAAAAACTCTTTTGCTATAGTCTGCTCGTGAAATATTTCAAACAAAGCCAAGTTTCATTAAAAAGAACAACGAAACAGCTTCACAAACAACATATTCGGAACCCCGAATACACATTAAAACACTTTATTATGGAGAGACATTTTGGACAGGATGACTCCTCGAACAAAACAACGACTAAACTGGACATTGCCTCGATGCATTTTATCAATTTCATTACGGTACTGTGTACAGTAATCAATTAAAGAAAAGTTGAAACAAAAACTTAACAACATGTTCTGGAGTGCATCATCACCTGCACATAAACTCTAAACAGAGAAAGAAGTTGTCATTAAAACTTAACGAGATGTAGCACCCTGTCGTCGTGGTTAAAATGCGGACGCGCTTCCGCGCGCGTCTTAGAGTTTGCAGAAGAATCCTCCCGCAACCGGCAGCGTCTCCCCCGTGATGTATCCGGCGTTTTCAGACACCAGGAAAGAGACCACCGCGGCGCAGTCTTGTGGCGTTCCCAGCCTGAGGACAGCAAAAGAGTCGCCGTTCGGGCTACAGGGTACCGACACTCCATTTGCCGAACGTCTTCCGAACTCCACCATCGTATTGCCTAGTGTGGGGTAACGGTTCGAAAATGCGAGCTTCCCGAGATTTGGGTACAATGCAAGGTTATGTTGAGATAGGTACAAGGCTCTGTTGAGGACTCTGTTAAAGGACAGATGCAAAGGAAAAAAACATTTCTTTTAGACAGCTTAGATGGAAAAAGGATGTCATAAAACGATTTTACAACGAAGAAAAAAAATTTTTAGAGCTATATTTACGGCGCTATACGAATTTGTAGTTGGCGCTCGCGGGAGCCGCTGCTGGTCACATGGTAGGCCCGCGCGCCGCCGCACGCTGAGCGTTGTGCGAACACCGCTTCAACGCGTTTCTCCACGCCGCCGTCGCCGCCGCCGCACAAGTTCGTCTGCTTCGGGGCGCCGCCACCATCGTCTGACCGGCGCACAGGTCTATCACGTCTGCTTGCGCTTTTTCAGGAGTTTCCTTTGGGCTCTAAAAGTTACTTATTCATCTTAGTTTTTTGTTATACTTCAAACAAAGATGAATAAGCTACTTTTAGAGGCCACAGGAAACTTTTGAAAGAGCGCAAGCACCACGTGAGAAATATGGACCAGTCACGTGACAAATAAAGGCCACTTTTCCGCGGCACCCGCGGGCGCCAACTACAAATTCGTATAGCGCCGTAAATATAGCTCTAAATTTTTTTTTTCTTTGTTGTAAAATTGTTTCATGATATCCTTTTTCCATCTAAGCTGTTTAAAAAAATGTTTTTTCTTCCTTTGCATGTGTCCTTTAACATTACTGGAGGACGTAAAAGCATTTCCTGCGATTTCGGGTACGGCTTCAGGCGACGGACAGCTATGCTTTTAAGCAACCGAGGTGTCACTATTCTGAGGCGTAGCCTATTCAGTGGCTCTAGAATAACGACGTACGCATAGTTGCACGTGGTAGGCCGCCAGGTCGACGAACGACGCCCGCAAACATTGCAGATGTTCTTCATTGAGCGAGCTTTCGTACAGACAAGCATTCCCAACTGGCAACAAAAAAGTGTATGCTCTTTCCTTTGGGTTCCTCGGCGTGTTTTCGCCTTTCGAAAGGGCGATTAATATATTGACCAACTAACAATGTATGCCTAGTTTGTTTTATGTCATTTATTTGTCCAGTTCAAAGGAAAAACCAACAAAAGATTCGCTATATGGCCATTACAAGCTGCCATATCATACTTACCCTAAAATACCACGGGAGCACCCACTTCATTCAAGTGCCCACTATTGACATTTCATAAACTTGAGAATTCTGCAAGTTAAACGTTAAGCACCCGATTCTACCGAACAAGCGCCCATGTGTAGATTAACCAAGTTTTCAATGAAAGTGTGAAGGCGCTCCCCCATATTTTATGGTAGTTTTGAAATAAAATTTTATCTGTAACCAAAACAAAATTCAAATTTATGTTCTCTTAAATCTTCATACTTCAATTTGAGACATGCACCATCTCAATCTGAGATGGTGTGTGTGCATGTCTTATTTTAAGTTCTGCCTCGTCTTGGGCTGAAGTGTGGAAGTCATTCATCAGCTTGATTACGTTTTCACTTTTTCATCTCTTTATTGTTAGGTTTGATTCGATGGCATAAACTTTTAAAACGTAAATAAAGACTGAAAACGTACCCCCAAACATGTAATAGTATTAAATATGGTTATTCACAGCAGGTACATAGGCAACCACGAAACGAGAATAAGAGATGAGACCATAGTGACACTACTGTTCATATTTAAATGCAGCTGTCACATTTCTTCATCGCTGTTACAACTCCAGCACAGTTTACAAGCAAGTGCAACTGAGCTGAAATGAATCAGTCAATAAAATGATGCAAACATCTCACCTCTTCATTGGCACCTGTGACAGGATGGCTTCTTCAATGGAAGGTTCCTTCCAGAGCTGTTTTGAGAAAGAGCAAAACATAACTCAACAGACACTCAGCTCACGCAGTCATCTTGAATGCAAGCGTCTAATATGAATGATGCATCCCCATTAAGTAGTGTGGTGCAAATATTCATATTTTCTAATAATTGTCTTGAACAATAGGTTTTTTTATATTCACTTCGAGATAAACTCTAATATCCGTATTTTTCCACGTGTTGACAGTGGCGGCCTAGCCCGGTTAAGCGTGCTTCTTACCGAGCACCGCTGCGCTGTGGAGAAGCAACACCTAGTGAGCTAGCTTCCGTGGGTGTTGCGCGCTCAACAAGGCTAACGCGTCGTGGTCAAAACTTCAAAAGTGTCAATATTGCAGTCACAAGCTTAGGAGGAAGGAAACAAACTTTTTTAATGTTAACATTTACACTACAGTAAAATTTTCAAAATTAAACTGGCTATTATGTGAGAGAATATGCTAGGCCTTTGCTTAGCATACTCTCACATATTTTCTCTGACAACCTGCATTCATAATTCATGATTGTCTTTTTTACTGTTTTTTAAATTCTAGATTTTAAAAAGATATTTGCATATACCGAGGAGATTTATAAATCTCCCCGATTGGGTATCGCTGAACATCTCTATAGGTTTAATTTTATGCCAAATGCATCGTTCACTTGCCATTACAATGTAGGCAATAAACTTTCTGAGGCCCACTACATAAATATAGCTAGATTAAAATTAGCTTAAACACAGACAAGTGGAAGCTTGGGAAGTACATTTCTGCGTTCAGATGAGTTTTCGTTTAAGCATGGAGTACGGAGTACCAAAGGCTCGGGGAAACTATTCGATATTATGTTCGAAATTGTTCGGCCAAAACCATTATTCGCTTCAAACTCAAAATCCATTATTCGAACATGCCTTCCATAAAGTGTGGATTTGCATCTCTGCTCAACGCCATCAATTTCACTTGTAGACGAGGAACTAACTTGCAACAATTTTGTGGTGTTCCGAGGCATATTTATAAAAAATACCATAGCACCATTCTTACGAGAATTCAGGTTTTACAGACCCCTTCCAAAATCGCACCTTCATTTGGTAGAACTGAAAATGCAGCAAGGTAGCATGCACAAAAGACAGAATCAGGCTAGCAAGTCTGTAAGATATGTAATACTGTCTTCCAGGCTATTAAACTCTTCAATCTCAAGGAGCCCCTATCTACCAAGACTGATAGCGCAAGAATCCTTTCCGGTTTTGGCAATGATGCAGTGAAGCAGTACAAAAGCCTAACAACCTTGTTAGTACCAATGCATATAACTACAAAGTGTTTGGCCCATATCTACACATCAAAGAGTGGCCTAGATCTGCTGCAATACCGTTAAGACCGGTTATAACGAAGGCTGTTATAACGGAATAGCGGCTACAGCGAAGCAATCACGATTTCCCATTCCCTTTTGCACTTCGTTGTAACCAAAGTCGGTTATGACGCAATAGCGGCTACAGAGAAGTGATTTCCGATTCTTGTTGACTTCGTTATAAGTGGTCTCAACAGTAGTGCTTAAACTTTGAAAACACTTGGTGTGCGCTGTGTCTGTGTCTTGCTTCATCTGGTCCTTCATCCTTTGAGCTGTTTTGATTTTCAGATACAGTAAAACCTCGTTATAACAAAATGGGATATAACAAACTAGTGGATATAACAAAATAATCATAATTCTCCTTGCTTGCTAATAGTGGGAAGAAATGGACAGTGGCTATAACAAACTAATGGTTATAATGAAATAATTACGACCACTCCTTCAACCTTTTTATAACGAGGTTTCACTGTATGTCATACAAACTCGCCCAAGCTTCATCTTTAGCAAAACACTTCCCTTAGGAGCAGAGGTGGTCGAGGGAATTTTAAGGCCTTGGTAGCCCTCAGAGGTACTCTGGGGAACCTCTGCTCTTCTTGGGTACCTGGTTTGAGAACCCACGTTTCAAGCAACTCTTTGCAGTTATTATAGACATGCACGCTTCGCAGCCTTTTCCCCCGTATTGCAGTCCGTGCAAAGCTCCGAGGAGAACAAGGTAATCGTTGAAAGGGTCTACAGTTGCCAAAAGGGTTCATTCCTTCCAGCCACATAAACAGACACCAAAGGAGCCAAAGTTATAAGCTCTTACTACGGCCACGGGTGTCATACTACCACGTTGAAGTAAAGTGTAGAAAGCAGAGGCTTCGCAAACTGGGTCTTTTAAGCTTTCACAGAAGAGGACCTAGGGTAGGCCAAACTAAAGCCCCATAGATAAAATTTACAATTCGCACCTCTTTAAGGGTTATTCGTAAGGGGGAGAAATCCCTCATTTTGCTCCCCAGGATGCACATCACATAGTAACAACGTCACGCCGCACAAACACTACCCACCTTGGCATGGGATCTCTTTGCAATTGGCGGAATTTTGTTTGCGTGTCTGGCAACGTTTCAGATTTTGCTCAGCGAGATGCCGGTGGTGGCATAGAGATTGCCTTGCTTGTGGCTCGCGCTGTTGAGCATGTCGTCCGAGGCACCCAAAGGAGCCTTCAACGTTCATCAGTGCCCTCCTCAAGCCACTCCTCATACAACTGGTTTTTATTCCATGTCCTTTGCATTGCATTCCTTTACGAGCACCAACAACCGTTGTCGTGCAAACTCACGTGACATGTGATGCGAGCGGGTGGCACGCGTCTTGGAAAGGGCACATGCCACGCGCATTGGTGCATCTGTCGCTATACTTGTAGGACAAACGTCGATGTACGGCGCCTGTAATGCGTCTTCGACCAATTACCGGCGTCCTATCCCGAACGCGCTTCGAAAGTGGTCCCAAGTGGCAACAGACGGCATCGCGGGAGCCGGTGCGTCACATTGTCGGACATGGCAATTCCGGCAGTTGGCCGCAGACGTTCTGGCAAAACGTACGAACGAGGACGAGCGTCGTTGTCGTCGCGGCGTCCTCCCTACTCTAGGGTGCCAAAGCTTCCGTGGACGGTCAAGCCGAAGGGGCTTTACGCGGAGTTCTACCAAAAGAAAACTCCTCCTGCGGGTTAGACTTACGGCTTCGCTGAACTTGGTCTTGATGACGCCTGGAGCTATGCAGTTTACCCTGATGTTGAGTGGCGCCACCTGGTCGGCCACCGCCCTCGTCAGGCCGAGGAGGGCCGTCTTAGACACCGAGTAGGCTCCCAGCAGCTGTTGGAGGTGTGGGAAAGCGATGAACAGGCACTCTGATATTTTTTTTACAGAGCCGTGCAAGTTTGCTTTCAGGCTACAGTTCGAAACTTTGTACAGGCAAAAAAAAGACACGAAATTAACCTGCAGTTAATTTCGTGTCTTTTTTTTTTTCCGCAAGAATAGATTACTCATCGCTGAACGCTCAGTCCCTACCCAAACGTGCCACAGGCAGTCAGACCGGACGCCAAAGTTTCGTAACTTGCCATCCTCAATCTAAAAAGTCGCAAGTGACTTCCTGAAATTTCGACCGAGAAAATTAGGCCAGTTTCCGGTAGCAGACGCCATTCGTCACCATCCATTTGCTGGCTTTGTGGGTGGCCGTTTTCTCATTAGGAATTTCCGGAAACTACCTGTAACCTTTTAATCGGATGACGGTCAATTCCGACACTTCGGCCCCCGTCCCCAACTGCTCACATCAGCTGTTGGTGGGAGGTGACCGAGCATTCGCCAATGCGTTTAAGTTATTCTTTGCGGTGAGAAAAGCCCAGTTAACATTTCTCCCAGACACGCCCATATCTACAGTGAATGGTGCTGGTAACATCTGCGTTTCTTTTGATTTACCACTTCGGAGAGTTTTCGACTGCTATTTTGGCACAAAAATGTCTGTAAAAATAAACCAAGTGAACTGAGTGCAATGCACCTCCTCATAAGAATGTCTTTAGGTGGTTCATTTATCATATTCAAACTTATTCTTAGTAAACAAATTCGAGCCTAGTGAATTGTTTTTTACCTACCTAAAGCACTGGAAATAAACAATAAAAATTACCTGGTTGATAACGTTACATACTGATGGCACGACATAAAGCAAAAACATAGAAGCTTCTTTGAGATGGGAACCCTAATGCAGGTCCAGCAGATTCCAGAGAGTGGGATAGCATCCGTGAGTAGGACCATTAACCAAACGGTTTTTACCGTTTTTCTTTCGAAGCACAGGAAAAAAAAAATAGAAGTTTTTGACTTAAATTTGTTTCCCTGGTCATGAAATTTTATACTATAAGTGCACTGCCCAAGAACAGCTTTGTGGAAAGCTTCACTGCAATCTGTTCATTGGTTTATTTATTAAAACAAAATATTTATGAACTAATAGTGCTCACATACACCCTGGAAATGTGCAGGTTTAGATAGAGGAAATGAAACCTGGTTTTTCGACCCACTGAATAAGTTATGTACCGCAGAAAGCTGGAACTCCGCAAGAATGTGACGCTAGTGGGAGTGATAGGATGCTGAAGATTGAGCGCACCATGTTACCTGGACCAAAAGGTACGAAAGAAAAACAAAATTTCTCTATGAGCCGACCTCCAACTAAGCCTAATATTCATCAAACCGAAACAGACCTCTCGCAAAATCTAGGCGATCCTGGCGGCGTAGCGCTACAGTGTACTAGATTATAGGGTAGTGTTTGGGCCCGCGCGGGTCAACAATGAGAATTTGCAAGGCTGTGTGTGTAGACAATAATTGCGGCGGTGCAGTTGTCACGGTAGAGCAGAAAGTCGCTGCAGACCGAATATGGTGCCATATGTGCATTTGCACGTGGTGCATGTGCCCTATGCTAAGAAAACTGCCGCGCAGTGCCCGACCTGACCCTACTAGAGATGAGCTGATGTCAATTAACACCTATCGTAATCTATGCCACGCACCTTACACGAGCCGCTCCGTGCCAACATTACCCCGTAATTCTTGTGCACTGTAGCCGTGCCGTGTAAAGCATCTTGGGAACCCGTTGGCAACAGTTACGGTTTTGAATTTCAAATTTCGCTTTGCGACTTCCCGTCACGACCGAATGCAGTGCTCACATTTTCGACTACGGATATAATGCTGCTGCACATTTTTTATGGCTCCCGATGCGCCAGGGTTTATACACACGTAAACACAGAACTACGATAGAAGATGGAAAGAAGAATGCTGGACTAATCATTCTGTTCCAATGTCTCCTCAAAGTCCTTCGTCAACGGGGCAATCAAAACTGAAACCAAGCCACTGCTCTCCATGGCCAAAGAGGTCCGATAATGCAACGCGCGCAGTGTTGCATGCAGAAATTTTTGGAAGTACCCTATCCGAGATTGTGGGCACCTGTAGCATTTGCTTCGGTGAAACAAACTTGTCAGTTAGAAGGATGATATTGTTTTTTCTTGCTGACAAATTTAGCTGGACGTAGGCTCTTAGAGAAAGTTTGTTTTTCTTTTGTGTCTTCCGATTGAAGTAATGTCATGTGCTCAAAATTTAGCATTATATCCCCACTGCTGGCGTCATATTCTCACGGAGTTTCAGGTTTCTGCAATGCATGGTTTATTTATGCGAGCCGGAAAAACCAAATGTCATTTTCTCTATCTCGCCCGGCACTACGGCAAAGATTAAGTGTGAGCTGCTCAAGGACGCACCTCAACTACACAAACTCTTGCACAGCTGGAGCAGATACCAAAGCTACGAGTTATGGCTTCTTTAACTCTGGCTGCAGTACATCTTAAAAGCATGAGAAGCATAGTAAGATGTGAGTGTATGGGGGAGGAAAAAAAAAGAAAGGGGGCTATGTTATCGTGCCACCAACGTTTGACACTATATTTCGGTTCCTTGTGCTGTTGCGTGTCACTATATCAAAAGCGCGACCGCAGTAATCTTGAAATAAAATATAAAGATGGCTCACGGGCATGGGCTGGTAACCGGCGATGGACGAAACATACACAATGGACCCACCGCTGCAAGGAAGAAAAAAAAGTCTGGTTATGCGCAGAATCCATTTACGTACATCCATCTACACCAGGGGTTCTCAAACTTTTTGGCCTCACGGAACCCCAGGAAGCCTCAAAAACTGCCGCGGAACCCCCCCCCCCCTCCATATTTGCCGACCGAGCAGCAACAGATGCACAATTGCAGGCAATTTTGCTTGTGTTGCTTCCCAATATCCCCACCATATCAATCGCAATGTCAGTACAAAGTGAGATGAAAGTGCTTTGTATGGTCCTTCCGGGCAGCATGCGACATGGGGGGGGGGGTTGCAATTTCGGTGTTCGTGGAACCCATGAGACCAGCTCGTGGAACCCCTGTGTTCCTCGGAACCCAGTTTGAGAACCCCTGATCTACACAAAGGGTACAACAATACTATGCGTCAACAAACTTAAAGAGAATGAAACAAAAATTATGGAACTTACGTCGATAAACGTGGATTTCAAACTTTGAAACCTTGCACACTTCACAACTCCTAAACAATTACTCACCCCTCCAAAAGTTTGATTTAAAAAAAAAGATTGAGAAAATTTTTTGTGCGTGACATTGACAACAAATAACCCTTTCGCCAAATAGATCAGCCAAAAAGTATCTATGTAGTCGATAGACAATGAAACCCTTTGTGGAGCGACGGTTAGAATGATGGTGACACGGCGTCATTTTTGAGATGGGTGAGCGGTTGCTACATTATGTTAACCGTTATCCAGGTACCTGCTTTATGGTTAAGCATACTAACACGTACTGACAAGCTAATTGTCGCTTTAAGACACATAACTACTTGTAAAAACGATGAAACTGCCTACAAATAAAAAGCCCACATTCCTGAACAGCGCATAACGTAACCAAGAGGTGGTAGCACAGTCAGCTGGTCGGATCGATTACGAGCATGATAGCAAACTTGAAATATAAAATAAAGACAAAACAACTTGGAAGAGTGCCACCCACACATTCAACAATAATTATAGTCTGCTGGCTGCGTCGTCGTTGGACCCATTATTCTGGCCGTAACCAAAATCAAAACAACGCTCGGTGAACATTTATGTGCACCCAAATTGTCACTCGTCATGTGCCACCGTGATACAAAATGGCACATGAACTCGTGCAATGGTTCGATCGCTTTTAATTTTTTATTTAAGCAAAAGGAAGAAAAATGTGCCTTTCATGCTTGCCAAGCTTTGTTTTAGTCCTCTTCACGACCACTCATAGCACACAGACACTCCAGAAACACCCCAAACAGCACAAATGACATATGAATGTCCACTAGGACATCCATAGAGGGTTAGGACATTCTAAGGGCATTCATAGAGCTAAGTGTGCTACTAGAGATGTTTTTTAACTGTAAAGGAAGAACAGTACTGATGACATATTCCGCTGAAATAGATGCTCAGTGGTCCGACGCCATGATAATTAAAAATATGAAAAGCGATTTTCTTTGTACGACACCTTCAACACCTTAACCGCCCAGGACGAGTATAGCTTGTCTGCTTTCCCCAGTTCGTGCAGTCAACCGTTTTGGACGAACCAGGCTCGCTCATGGCTTAGTTTGTGGCTCGGCCAACAAATGGCAGCACTGTATTTTTTAGAGTTTTGCTCCCATTCTGTTTGTGGCTAGAAACATAATTTTGAAAGCAACAAATGTAATTTGAAGACAACAATTAAGCAGTTGAGGGTCAGAAATTACATAAAACTAAAAATGGTTAAGGGGTTAAGCAGCTCAACTGCAGCAGAGTACATGTGATGCCAGGACATGCAAGAACCATTTCCTCCAATAGCAGGTTCAGCAAACACATTCCGCAAAGCCTTTCCTTGTTGTCTCAGCTTAAAAAGTGGCGGCTCGGACGAGGCTACTTACCCACGCTTCTCCAGGTGTGGGACGACTTCCTTTGTCAACAGGAATGCACTTTTAACGTTGGTCTCGAATATCTGCGAGAAAAATATTTTAGACACGCGATCATAAGAGGCAAGCCTTAGGTTTTGTCCTATGGATCCCAAATGTAAGATTTTTGCTCTATGACTACGTGCTAGCTGTCAGTGGTGACACACAGTGAAGCTGATAAAATTTTAATTTGTATATAAAGACGATCGTGCAGCTTTTAATGCTAAAACAAAATGTTGGGCTGCAATGATATGATAGATTGTGTCCCTGGTGTGACAGCAGGAATGAAGCTACTCTTTCCTTTCCATAAGCTTGTTTATAGAAAAAAGAGATCTGGTTCTTTGAGACATCAGTTTTCTTTTTTTCTTTTTTTTTGTTTCATGAAAGAAGCTCAGATGTGAACGGAATTTAAATGAATTGTCGAACGAATTCGCACCTTGTCCCAGGCATGCTCTGGTGTCTGGAATGAAGAAAAAAACACATTGAATGTGCAATGTGCAAATGGTGCACACTGTTAAACAAATTTCTACTGAACAAACACACAAAAAAGGTGTGCACAATCTGCAGCTTCAAGAAAAAAAAAGTGCTCTGTTGTTTTCACAGTTATCCCCACATGGCACCAGCACATTTTCAGCCAAATGAACTCGGAGAAACTCTTTAGCCATTAAGACTATAGGGTGTCTACCAAAATGGCATTTTCAAATTCCCCGATTTTTCCCCGACTATTTTATCTGAATTCCCTCACCAACTCCAAAGGGGAAAGGGTGAGTCTGAAGTGCAGCTTTTATATGAAAACACTAATTCCTATTAGGTATTTTTATGTTTACAGGATTCTTTTCAAAAAGCTAGGAGAACTACACTAATGTGATCTGTGCAGATGGGTTATATGGCCAGGCGTACATACCATAGAATGCTGTGCATCCACCCATTCCACCCTAAGTGCCCTACACCAAAATTTTAAACACCCCCTATTTTTTCGTGATTATCTTCAAATTTTCAGTGGGTGCTTGCTCCCTGTTTTACGGTAATATAAGTGGTTAATCGTCAAGTTAAGTCTCTTAACTAAAATTTGTTGATGATATTTTTTATTGTGCAGATAAGCTTATAATTGCTTATTGGAAACTTGCTGAGCGTCATCGAAAACCACTAACTTAGGAAAATTTAGAAAGAGTGAGCGTGTGAAAGGTGCGGTGGTGCGCTCAAATTACCGCTCAAGCAAGGGGTGGAAGGTCGGCAGTGCAAAAACACGTATGATAAGAGACGAAAATACTGCGGTGGTGCATCGTAGCAGCTCTATAGCCTTGTGCCTGTTGGGCGAGTGGTAAGTTTAGAGCACCACTGCACTTCCGAAACACCCCAAGTCTCTCAATTTTACTGATTTCGTGGTCTTCAACAACACTTAGCAAGTTTCCAATTAGAACCGGGTTTATCTTCACTAATTAAGAAGTTTAAAAAATTTTAGGCAATTTATTTATTGTGACGATTACCTCTTGTTTTATATATAACCTATCTGCGCAGACCGCACTAAAGTAGCTTGCCTGGCTTTTTTATAAATAGTCCGTAACGCCTAAAAAAACACCATAGACATCTGACGGCCCGCAGCAAAGTGACCAAGCATTGGTTACCTCAACTTGTCAGTCTACTTTTTTATATTGTTTTGGCTGAATATATTCCCCGTTCTAAATAAAACACTGCACAAACTTAAGTCCTTAAGATGAGTTTTAAAGTTATGGCTAGTCCCTTGGCAACATGCTGCAATAACACCCCTACCTGTTTTTCATTAAAAGTGAACCGTCGACGTGTCACCATTTTAAAAGTTAAACTGATAAAAATAACTCTAACTGCGTTTTATTAAAATGAAGGTCACGACGTTTCGAGGCCAGCTCGACCCCTTCCTTGATCACGGGTGACTGATAGTTGGGGTGTGGCGAACGGCTTGCTCAAACTTGTTTTCCTGGTGCTCTCCGCGCGACACCCAGCAATCCAAAAAGGTAGGTGCTTGCATGGAGTGTCCCCGCAGACCGGTTTACATTGTTTTGGGCCCTTTGGATGTGCCACGACTCCAACAAAATCCGCCTCTGCCAGTCTGTTTCCGTGCCGAGGACGGAGCTTTCGCCAAAGCCGACGACGTGGCCCATCTTCTCTACATGCTCAGCAAGCGTGCTGCTGTGCACGTCCCTCTTCTGGACACCGTACCAATGCCCGCAAGACATGAGGGTGGCTCTTTGTTTCCCCAATGTACGATCCGGCGCACTCCTTGTGAGGGATTTTGTGTTCGAGTCCCTGTGCCCTCTCCCGTGGTGGTCGATCCTTTGGTAGAGGGAGAAGGCGGCCGACGGTCAAGATGGGCTTCTGAGTCACGGTAATCCCGTATTTACGAAGAACGCGGGCACGAGTCCCACTTGTCCCCTTTATGTCTGGGACGCACATGCGGCTGGAAAGGGGGGCGGCGTCCCGTGTTCCAGGAGTGCCACAAACTTTCTTGCACCTACGTTTCCTGATTGCGGGGTGTCGTGCGGGGAGCGCCGGGAAAACAAGTTTGAGCAAGTCATCTACCACAGCCCAAAAATCAGTCACCTGTGATCAAGGTGCCGAGCTGCAGCCTCGAAACGTCGGGACCTTCGTTTTAGTAAAACGCGGTTAGAGTTCCTTTTATCTGCTTAATTTTTACCTACCCAGGCGGAAGACCGCCGAAACGTTAACTTTTACATTTTAAAGGTTGCAAACAAAAATAAATGCCTATTAGCACAGTGTACCAAAGTGCTCAAGAGTCGAAACTGACGACAAGCGCAAGTGTGAAGGTGTAAAATTGCTGATTTACTTCTGCGCGGTTCCATGCGATTCAACCATTATCTTTTTGTTTCCCAGCTTCAGAAATTTTACCTCGTTTTGAATGAAAGAGGCTTACGATTCTGCCTCATCTAGAAGTCTTTGTTTATTATCTTGAACCACACACATGTCTTTTGTTGACGTTCAGAGAAAGGAAAGCTCAATTTCCTTGACTATGCTGACGAGGGTGGAAATTCCCCCGACTTTTCCAGACTCAACAAATTCCTTGACAATTTCTGGTTTTACAAGTTGGTAAACACCCTGTAGATTTGATTCCACTCTTTACTCCTCTAGATCATTCTTTGTGTGACCTTACCTAACAGCTGAGATAGCATTTTTCTCAGAAGGCTCACCTAAAACAATGGTCTAAGGAGGCATTAGCATATGATCCGTGACACAGACATGTTAAAACCAACCACCATGTCTGTTTGATTCATTATCTTGTAATGAGGCACAGGCAGTAAGCCAAACAAGAAATACTTCTGAAGGACTGTTTTTGACGGAGACTTCCTAAAAGTAATTGTCATGTCTGTCCAATTCGCTTCTTTGTAATGTGGGGTTTTCCTCAATGAAATTATATTTTTTATTGTTTATTCTTTAGAAACAAAAGACCTTAGCAGAGGGTAAACTATGTTTGCGGTCTTAAGGAATACTTATAGCTAGAATAAACTTACAAGCTTGTCAAGATAGACTAGCTTTAGCCAAGAAAAATATTGTGCAAGCAAGGCGTCTAAATCGGTAGTCTCATTTCCAAACTTAAATTATGTGTGGTCACATTGATACACACCTAATGTTAACCATTCTTACTGCCTTCAAAATTACCTTTCCTCTGAACATTTTGTAACCACAGCAAGACAGAAATATTGGTTGCTACTTGTAACATGAGACAATATGAACTTGATGCATTGGAAACTATTATACCATCAAACATTCAAGCATGTAGCAGCTTTTATAACCTTATATTGACACCTCAGTTGCACCGTAAATGTCCAGTGATTTAAATTCAGACATCATTTGATCACTTCAGAAATGTATGCTCCAAAAAGTATCTGATAGTCACAATACAAATTACATATAAACATTGAAAATGCTAACCAGACTAACCGTTTTGACTAGCTATCCCTTTCTTAAACCTAAAGTCCCACATCTATGGCATACACCTCTGGAAAGTTTTCTAGCATTTACAGAGCAGAGCATTTTTATTCTCAAAGTAAAACCTCCAAAGTGAAAACAATTTCTCCAAACACTCACTATTGTCTCTCTCCCTCTCTCTAAAAAAACAAGCCTCTATTATCATATCATATGCCTGTACCAACCAGCATTACAAGTCTACCACAAACATTCTTTACTACATTAATATATACTAGCACAAAGCAGAATCTTCCAATGCCAAAATCAGCTTGTTTTCTTTTCTCTCCAATCTTTGTAATGTTGGTATGCCCATTACATGGAATTTCTACAAGTCTACTCCATCAGTGCCGACTGAAAAAGGTTGGTCAAAGCATTACGAGAAACTGGTATGCTAAAAATATCATCTGGCTGAGACATTTCTTTCTCGTCACTTGGGCGAGCAAAATGAAATGAACACATCTGCGACCTGACGTGGAGAATGATTCAAAGGGTCTAGATGACTTGCGAATGCCATATTGCAACTTACGTCCAGAACAGGCATCATGACTGGATTGGTGCCTGCATTGGAGACAAGGATGTCGATACCTCCCAACTTATCAATCACCTGCAGACAACCAAAGGAAGCGTAAGTTCACAGAGTCGATATCAGTGAATAGTGATTCGGACAGACTACATAAATCGTCTTCTTAATGTGGCAAGTCGTGCGGACCTCATTAATAGTACACCTTTTGCCATATTAGAACTAAAGATCAAAGGAGAATGCTAGGAACATAGCTGCATACATGAACTGCATGCACTAGCCTTATGTGTATAAAACATTAAAGTAAATACAATCAAAATAAGGCATTGACAAATAAATGTGCATAGAGCCATTTGTATGGGTACTGTTATCTAACAGTTACTGCTGCTTATTCCATTATGTGCAACACGCATAACTACACTCACAACATACTCCTTGATTCTTGGGTAATTTAGCAAAAGGTACACTGCCTTCTTAAAATATGTCTGGCGGACTGCATAAATAAACACAGGCTGCAAGTACCGAAGTTGTGCAGGCTCATTTTGCGAATATTTGAAGTAATCAAACATGAGCATGAATGGTGATAGACATAAAAATAGTCAAAATGTGTGTTACAAAATTAACTGCAGATGTTGTGGTGCACATTATGATGGCAATTAAATTGTAAGCGTAAGCTTCGGGCGGCCCTTTACACAATAAGGCAAGAAACTCGGTGAAACACGTTGAAGAATATGAAATCAATGCCTTTGCCAAGGTGCAGAGTGGAGAGCGGAGCGACAAGTTGAAGCCACTTTATGGTGGCTGCGTAACATGATTCCAAGATGGCAGCGCCCATGCAATTGGGGCTGAAAAGGTCTCGCATTGCATCAACTTTAAAAAAAACATAGATGTTATGTATCTACTTTCCCGCTCTGGAGAAGAGTTTTCCCCCTCGAAACGCAGCTGCGCCGTAGCAAAGCCAGATATGCGGAGTTACAATGTCTACCCGTGGGTATTGCATTTCCATGGTGCACCAGTGAACGGTGGAACGCACTCAACGGAGCTAGTTGACCCGTCGGAACGGACCCAGAACAATGAGCGATTGCGAAATCTCACAAGCTGTCCGTCAGTGCTCCAAACGAAAATCAAATCAAATAGTGCTTTACTCAAAGCAATAATTGCAAGTTTTGAAAACTCCCCCATACCTATCGTAACGATTCATGAGTGTAGCAATGCCTGAGCTGTTAGTTACCGTATTGATCAAGAGAAATTAAGTTTTGGCAGACTTTTGCAGCAAATTTATTTAATTGTGGCGAAATGTAGCAGAATGTAACAGGGTAAACGCTTTAGCACAGTTTATAGCCAAAAGTTCAATAATCACATCATTGCGTTAAAAAAAAAAAAAAAATCTTGCCGAAAAAAAGAGCACTTGCTGCCATTGTCGAATGCTATCTTCTAAGACAGTGTAAAAATTATTTTTAACTTTTCAATTTTCTAACTTTCGGAATAAATTATGTCAAGTTGTGAAACTTTGGCATCCAGTACTAAACTGCTAGCATCACATTTGCACCCAGTTTAAGCTCTCTGAAATGCTCAATTTACTTACGCTGAATAAAAACTAGGGCATGCTTTCTGTAGTTTCCTTTGCAAATGTAATTGCAACAAATTCTGCAGGCACATTATCCTATTAGAATGGACTGTAAATGTGTGCAAACAATATGCCAAAATGCAACTGTAGTAAAAAAGCATTTAAAAATGAAATTCTCGTTATATATTACCAGTTTGATGAGGTTGGCCCTGTCTTCTGCCTTCCCCACATGACATGTGGCTCCTATGACATCGAGTCCCTGGGATGATAGTTGCGCTGCAGCTTTTTTCACTTTCTCTTCCTTGCGACTGCTGACCACGACTTTGGCACCGTCTTGGGCTAGCCGTTCGGCTATGGCGTAGCCAATCCTATACAATCCAGTTCAGAGTGATTAGTTTAGTTCTGCATGCAAACAGATGAATGAAATGTGCCAACCAATGTGTGCTTTTTTGTTTAAATCAGTAAAAGTACAAACATCTCAAAGCATTACCCTAATTTTTTAGTGCCGTTTCTATTTATAATTATGTATAAAGTGATTGTAGAAAGTAGATGATATTGCAAATTATTACTCCAACCACATCTATTGTTAATAAATAAAAAACACATTAAGAAACTATTTTTTTTTAGAAAATGCACAGAAATTGCAAAAATATTTTTTTAATAACACATTTCTGTAACCAAAATTATAACTTTACTGGTTCTACCAGAAGTTGTCACAAGGTTACAATTTCGAAAACCACGTCCGCGTGCAAGTGTAGTATTTATTTCTCGTTTGTAGGGAAATCTGGATTTCATTTTTTTGGTTTAGTTTTTATGACTGCAAACATGTCGCAAGCTGCCTGAGCGGTTCCGGTTCTGTGCTCTATCTGGTGCAACGGTCACGGCTGCTGAATCCTGCCGCTGCTGCGCAACAGCAACCGATCATAGGGAGGTTTTCGTAGACCGCGTTTCTCCTAGATTCTTAGATTCGAAAAGCGCCAGAAAACAAGGACAACCGAAGGGATAGACGAAACGATGCGCTACTTTCAACTGAATTTTTATTCGGAAAAACAAATATATATATATACACCCGAGCAACCATTTGCTTGTATACTCAAACTTCTCGTGAGATGAATTGAAATTCCTTATCTGATAAAAGGACTGAGGAAGTGCTGATACATGCACTCCCTCCCCTAAGCGCTCCGCAACGAAGAAGCCGCTACTGCGCCTGCGCGCCCATGGCCTTGACTGTAGAGTTCCGGGTATGTATCGTAGCAGGTTGCGGAGAGCCGTTGCGGGACGGCGAAAACGATCTACGAAAACTCCCGAATAATGTTGAAACGCATTATCCTTATCACTTCACTTCTTTTCTTTTAGTTTTATCACTATTTTTGCACAATGACTCGCTATTTTTGGGGGTCAAAGCACTAGTTTTTTTATTGCACGAACCAAACGTCTCTCCATATGATAAAAGAAAAATTCGCAAGCCACAAATCGCAAACAACAAACGCACAACCTAGAAAAAAGAAAAAAAGGATGGCTGCAGTTGCTTTGTGCGTTTCGAAGGCCCGAAAACATGTTGACCGTCAGCAACGAGATTGATTGGAAAAAGAACAAGAGATGACCCCGTCAACGAAAGAAAAAAAGATAAACATGAAACGTGAAAAATAATTTACAATAAAAAAAAAACAATAGGAAGAAGAAAAAAAAAAACACAAGGCCACCATGTTGCCTTCGGTTCGATTGCCCAGGGGAGCCAAAACCAGTTTCACGAGAATGCGCAACATGTAATTTGTCCGTGAAATGCTCGCCACGAAAGGGTACTCGAGTTTATAGTAGAGAGGCAGCCGAGGGTATCGACAAGGCTAAAAAGGAAAGGACTTTCTCACGGACGACGCGGCGCAGCGCGTCTCGCAAAGAGGAAACGCGGCATTACACGGAGCACACACGCGTCAGACAGGTTTTGTGAGTCAGTCATCGGGTCGAACTCCTGGTTACCAAAGGGATGCGAAGGCTGGGACGTCTTTTTCGAACGCCCGGCATCTCCAGAACGGGAGGCACTCACTTGATCGAATGACGTTTTAGCGAACGCCCACGTTTCATCGAATGACACTTTAGCGAATAGTTGGACGCCGCGAAGCGGCGTTTTCGGGTGGGCCAAGTGAGTTCATATTTTTGTAATGAGTTGCCGCAGACTGTCGCCGCGAAGCGGCGTAAAGCGCAGCGCGACGGATGGGTTAACGCGCGCCCCCGTTATTCGCTAAAACGACCATTCGCTCAAATGTCGCCGTTCGCTAAAATGTCATTCGCTCTTGTGATATGGACCCCTCTAGAACGCGCCGCTGCCTTTCACCGTGCTTCGACAGCGCGTGCACGCTCGGACCTCACGAGACGCATAAAGCGCCATCGAAGGCAGGAATCGCTCGTGCTGGAACAACAGCTAGCCATACAGCGAACACTAGCCCACAGAAGAGCGAGTGATCTAAACTTCATTCCTCACCAGTTCGACAAAGGGATGTGTATGTCCTATAAAGTTTATAACGTCGTAACATACTGAGGTCTGAACAGTTGTTTTGCTGCAACCAAATGTACAGAATCGTAAAATTCAGTTTCACCCGACACGATATCGTAGGGAACGGGGGAAAAAAATGCGGTAATTTGCTTCTTTTGTATGAACTGATGAAAAATAAAGTCCCAGAGAGACAGGGCCTCTAGCGCCCTATCTTGTTTAAAAGTTACGAGCTATTTCTGGGCATTTTCTACGAGGAAACGGAGTCCGTTTCCGCGGTTGCAGACGACATTCTTCTCCGCGTAATCGGGGGCAGCTGCGTTGGCCGCCATTTTCTCATTGAAAATTTCCGACAACCGCGTGTCACTTTTGAATAATCAGACAACGCAAAGTTCTGAAACTTTGTAATCCGGTCCCAACCGCTAGCGCTACAACCCCTCGTAGTATGGGTTTTCGACGACGTTTGCTTTACTTTTGCGACGTGGTAAACGCGGTTATCTTTTATTCCGGACACGCCGGTATCGAAATGTATCAGTTTCCTGTGCCACGGCGCAACTGATTTGAATGCTTTATTTCATATGAGCGCGGTCTATTTGTCCTTTAAACAGTATGGCTGTAAATATTAACCCCTAAAACTTTAATACGAAAAAAAAAAAAAAAAAATTGGAATCGGAACACGTCCTCGGTAAAAGTTAGGGGTTATGATGGTGTTGCTTTCAGCCGCTAAGCAATGAAACCCGCTCTGAATCCAGAGTTTTTGAAAATGAGAATCTCAAAATATTCCAATACGTTGTTTTTAATATTCCACTTCCGCTATTCTGTGAGTAAAAATAAAAATAAAAACGCAGATTTCAGCTTCTCGGACTAAAGGGTCAGCTTCTCGGACTAAAGGGTCAACGGATAAGCACAACAACGTAGAGTAGAAAATATTAACATATTTTGCGGGTCAAAGGGGTGTTTTAACAAAAACATCATAAATCGGGTTCTTAACGTGTCGTGCTAGGATTTACTACAGAGCTGCCTAAAATTGGTGGAAGCTTCCGCCAAAATTGCGGAAAGATTGGCTCACCTGAGCAAATCAAGAAAAATCAAAAACTATGTCTTCCCTATGATTTGCGTGTACACTAATAAAATATGTAACTGTGGCGCTTATTTGGGCCAAATGAAGTGAAGATTGAAAAGCCAATTCTGTTTAATTTCCATTTCATAAATTTTTCACTCGTAGTAAACGCCAGAATAGCCCACAACGATTTTCTAATGATATTGAGACAAAAGGTTTAGCGAACACTTTTCCATATAGACAAACCCAGTTTTTAATTGTTTTTCTTTTGACTCTGTACGTTTCATGTATTCATACTCAGAATTAATGAATGCAGCAGCTTCGAACACCTCTGTAGTAAATCTATGAGGTCCCTTCAAACCGGCATCGATCCATGTGACCCACGCAATTGATTAAAGATAAAGCAAAACATATTTTAAAAGCGCTGAAAAAAAAAATTAATATGACGGAGCAAACTAATTTTAACCGCCATTCTATCTAACCTTGAAGAAACTTCACATTTGCCCTTCAAGTTTTAGGTTTTAATTAAGTAAATAACTGAAGAGAAAATGTATTTGACATTCCAGGACAGAAGTTTAGAACCCACTGAGAACGCGCATGGCCAGCTACTTCGCAACCTTGAAGCAACTCCATTTAAGGCCATGCCACATGATGTAATCATTAAATAGTCAAAGCGTGCTGCAAAGCCACCGTGGGAATATCCTGCCTCTATAAAATAACAAGATTTCTGTCAACATAAACTGCATCAGTTACACTTAAATTATACTGTCGCATTACGAGACTGGCATCTAGATTTGGCACTATAGACTTTAGTGGAAGTACACACCAAGGTCTCAATGGATTTAACCTACTTCAAGATAAATCGTAAAAAATCAGCTTTCTCCGCTACGATTCTGTAATTCATCCTGAGGCTGGCTGGAGGATTTGTTTTATGAATATATCGAAGGGAAAACTTGTCTTAATCCGATGTTACCAACAATAAAAAATAAAAACACAAATTTACATTGACTACAGCCATTGCAAGTTTGTGTTCTTTTTTTTTATTGGTAAAAAGTTTAACACCCTGTTGATAAAAAGAGTTAAGCTTTTTTTTTTTCAAATCAAAGTTAAACGCACAAAAAAAAAAAAAAAAAAAAAAAAAACGTTGTTACGGGACATTAGGAAGTTTGATTTATCGAAACCAGAAAAAGGAAATCGTTTTGAGCCTGCTCTCATAATTCACTCCTTCGTCCACTCAAATATTCAAATGGTTTAGAAGAAGGTTTCCCTGGAATAGTGGATTGCTGGGCTAGTTGGTTGATCGACATAATGAAAACAAAAAACAAAAACCGCAAAGGAGACGGGACGAAGTCGGAGAAAAACGCACACACATGACAGGCGTTAGCATTTGTCCTGTGCGTGTTCGACCCTGTCCCGTCCTTTTTCGTTTTTTTTTTTTTTCGTTTTTCTTTTCTGTTTTTATTACGCCATTGGAACCTTTTGGTTTTTCTTTGAAACTTTTGATTAGGGAAGGTTTCCTTTAATATTTTGATAGAAAAAATTCACCACCTAGTCCCACTTCTATGGTGTATTAAGTGGTATGCCAAGATCATTTTTTGCGATTTATTCAAAGTAGCTTAGATCCACCTCGCACCCGAGTAATTTTTTGTAAATCGGAGCTTAGACTTAAATTGAACTATCGAATTACGAGACTGGCAAACAGGACTGTGTAATTTTTTACCGCTTATGCAAAAAAACGCGCAAATTTAAACCCTTCTAAATAACTAATAATATAAAAAAAAACGTCATTTAGGTGCAGTCGCGAGTTGCTGTACTTTTCAACATTTAGAAAACCCGAGATCGGCGAACGACGACCGTGAACGAAAACACACGAAGAGGTTTCAACGACACACTTCGAAAATCTCTATGAAACCACGAGAGCGCTTTTACAAGGAAGGCGTTTCCCCGTACCGGCACTCGCCAAACACTGTCAAGGAAGGAGCAGTGACAAGTGACAACTTAACAAGTCGCTGCGCCACGCTTCATGGGGATATGTAAATGATCAATGGTTTCACAACGCCCTTGCTATACGTGTGCGAAAAGTGAGCGAGTTGAATCGTTTAATTTCGCATTGTAATAACACCGGTTTCATAGCTGCTCCTAGGCGCTCCGTACGTCTTTTTTCTATCTTTTTTGTCAATTGGAGCATAGGTACGAGTAATACAACCAAATATACCTTGAACTAACTAAAGAAAATCAAAAAGGAGTGACTTATCAGGGATATCAGAGAGAAGACTTTTTCAGGGAGATAACACGGGTTCAAGCATCACATGACGTTTGTCGTTGAGTCCAAGTTCGGCATATCTATTCCCGTTTATACAGTTCTATCTCCTACACAAGTATTTTTATGGGTGTCTAAGCTCGTTGAGGTCGATATTGAAATCTTAAAAGCGTGTGTAATTAATTGTACGTTCGCTTTCACGACCATGTGCTTCAGGTAGGAGCGGTTTTAGAGCCGATGAAGGACGCGACATCGGTGCTTTCAGAGAAAGTACTCGCGCACAGGATGACTCAACTCCACGGGTTTCGCCAAAAGAAATTAAGGAACTCGTGGACATTACTACAAGATTTCGTCACTCACTTACCCTTCCGTTGACGCGGTCACTATGGCCACTTTCCCTGCGAGGAGTTTGGAAGGCGTCGAAGTCGACATGGATCTGGCGACCGGTGCACTCACAGTCTGGATGCGAGCCAGCCTCGACAGCATATTCACCGTACTCATGACTGTTTACACTGCGGGTCGAACGTTTACAGCTGATCGCACGAAGCTTGACCGAGGAACCGAGAGGAGTTGGGAGAAGAAACTTGTTAGTCGAGAAGTGAAAGTAAAGTGAGTTGTTGGAGGTCGCACGAACGTAATGAATGGAGAGAGGAGTCGCGTTCGCGACCGCCACGCCATTTGCTCGCGCTGCGGTCTGTGACTGTACTTGACACTTCCTGAAATGGCGTTCAAAGGCGGAATTTCGAGGTCAAACCGACCAAACCAACTGCAAGCTCGGCTTTTCAACAAACTCTGGAGTGGGTCGTTACTTTTAAATGCCTTTTTCGCGCGTCGCATGTTCATAAAACGTAAAGTAATTACGTTCGAACGGATTTTGATTGATTTTGAGCGAGCGCGCAAATGAGGTTTCGTTTGTAACAAAGCGCGCTGATAGAGTCCGTTGCTACGTTGCCTTCGGTTTAACCAGTCCGCTACGGCAGGGTGGCTGTACGAATAAGCGTGACGCTAATTTCTGGTTTAGCATTGTTCTTGCCGGTGGTTATCATAATCTACCGTCACGCTTACTTCATTTCTTGGTCGCCACGGTCGCCATGGCAGTTACGGTCTGTCGGTTTACGTTATGATACGCTTCTTAAACACAAACAAGGAAATGTCTGCTATAAGCAGATCATTCAGTTGATGTATGCATTTTCTTCTTTAAATTAGAACGCACACCGAGAAGTTTTGCAGCGACAAGTAGACTATACGTAGACAGCTGCGCAAACTTTATAGACCGCAACAGTGATGGGAAGTACGTACCTTAAGTACATTGCACTTAGGAGTACTACTTCAAGTAAGTTTGAAAAACGTTAATTTACTTCAAGTGTATTCTCTGAAAGAGTACTTATCTTTACTTTACTTACTCAGTCCAACGGTTTCTTTTTTTTTTTTTTTTTTATGACCGCTGATTTGCTTCAAAATTGACTCAACGCAACGATAGACACGGTTGTACCAGTCCCCCAAGTGTTGTGTAAAAAGAAAAAGTTTTCGCGAAGTTATTGAATTTTCGCATTTCGTTCTCATCGTGTTTCTCAAAGCGAGAACCCCTACCGGCAACACTGAAGTGTGACGACAGCAATGGTACAAAGTGGGCAATAAACCTCGTTCCCAACTGATTACAAATCTAGCCAATAAGCCGTAATCTGGTCTTGCTGGTGTGCTTTACTCGATCTTAATTCAACGCCAGGCACGGACGCACATCTAAGTCGGATCCTTTGTGACCGCATCAAAACAATAAAAAATATGTTTCTTTCAGTTTTTTTTTTTTTTTTTTTTTTTTCATTTGAGCAAATCAGATTAATTTGGTTTAAATCACTGTAAAAAAAAAGTCCGCTCCTCGCGGAGTATTACTAATTTCCCCTATTATGTGGAGAATTAGGATATACATGGTGTTTCGCGAAAAGTGGACAAATTCTTAATTGCGAAAACCACGCATCGCAAAAAAAATAATAATAATAAATAAAAAAGGCTTGTGTCGTTTTGGTCCTGGGCCAGGGGCCCATTTAGGAAAATTATCAAAGTTTGGGATTAGATTGTTAATTACTTTTGCGTAATTAACTTTTTAATATTGTGTTTAAGGGTATGGTTTTAATTATAAACTTGCTGAGCATCATCGAAAAACACTAAATCAATAAATTGCAAAATGATAGAAAGCAAGCGAAACATTTTACGGCTTTCTGAAAAATCGCTTCGACGGGTTTTTAGGTTTCAGTTTTCAATTGGAGCGCATCTCGGCACCGACGCACCACGCCCCGTGGCGAAATAGTGCAACCAGCCTTTGCTGCGTTGCGCAAGGACCCGCCAAAAATTTCTCCTTTTTTTTCCCTCCTTTTTTTTTTCAGAAAGCCGTAAAATGCTGCGCGTGCAGCATTTTACGGCTTTCATTCTGCAATATGTTGATTTAGTGTTTTTCGATGATGTTCAGCAAGTTTCTAATTGAAACCAAGCCCTTAAAAACAATATTAAAAAAGTTAATTACGCAAAAATAATTAAAAATCTAATTACCCCGGACTTTAATCATTTTCGTAAATAGGCCCCTGGCCCAAGACCAAAACGACACAAGCCTTTTTTTTTTTTTTTTTTTTTTTTGTTGTTGGGACGCGTAGTTTTCGCAATATCGAATTTGTCCACTTTTCGCGAAACACCCTGTATGAATGTGTATTTTAGATTAGATGTATGTTATCTTATCAAGACGCGCACGGTTTCAAACGCCAAAAAGCATCTCTTCTTCCTCCGACAAGCAAATATCGTAAGAACTACTTCTCGCCGCGTATAAACAATGCGCAAAACTTGCTTTTCTTCTTGAGGTGAAAACGAGTATAGATGTATTTTGAAGCGTCACAGATTGATTGGTCAATACCTGACACTGAAAACAATGCGGAAGACAGAATTATTGTAAATTTAAAGTATAGTTTAGATAAACTTCTTTTTAGTGAACCCCGCCATAAAATAATAAAAACAGCCTGACATCTTTATTTAGCGAAAAAGTTTTACTTGCCTTTTTTTCTTTTGCCTTCTGATATCTTTTTTTTTTTTTTTTTCGGTAACCATTAAATATTTAGTGTGTGTTTCTTGTAACCGACGAACGAAGTAGCTGACGAACGAAGCAAGCTGAACGTTCCGATTTGCTCAGAAAACCATTTTGTGATCGTGTTCAGCCTGCATGGGCGTACCAACCGGGGGGGGGGGGGGGGGCAAGGGGGCGGTTGCCCCCTCCCCCTACTTCTCAGAGAGTGGGGATGAGGGGTGGGGAGGGGGGCAAGGCATGTGTTTTGCCCCCCCCCCCCTCCCTAGTTCTCAGAGTGTGGGGGTGAGGAGGGGGGCAAGGCAGTTTTGCCCCCCCCCCCCCCCCCCCTCCCTGAAAGAGCCACCACTGGGTAGGGCAAACACTGGCCGGCGGTGCCCAAGGGATACCAAGGGCACTGCTCCCCGGTTCTGGGGAGGAGAGTCTGGTATCTTCCGCACACACATACACACACACTCAAAAACAAGTTGGTGCGCCACTATCAGCCTGGTACAAATGTTTTATGCTTGATGATTCCTTGATCTAAAGGCTACGGAAACGAAAATTGAAATATTCAAATTTCGTCCGGAAATGAGTAAAGCATGACGGATAATAATCGTAAATGCTAATCGCAGGTTTGTATTTTGAACGACTGGCTATATTGTTCGTTTCAAATGGTGCACTCGAGCAAGCGCTCGAAGAGAAGCGAATGGAGACCGCGATGCGTCATGGGAAATCCGGCGCAAACAAAAAGAGAGAGAGAAAAGAAAAAAAAAAGATTCCCCGCATTCATGACGTAGCAAGGCTGACGTGGTTATAAGTAGGGTGTGCATTTTCCGGTTTTAACCGAAAAACACCGATAAACATCCGTCGGTGACGAAAATATAAAATCGGTTAAAACCGAAAAACACCGGTGGTTGGATATTTTCGCCCTGGTTAAAACCGAAAAACACCGGTCGTTGCTAGTTTCCGACCAAGCGAAACCCTTTCCCCGTAGAGGTTCGTCAAACGTGTTATCTCGTGGATCCTGCATTCTTCCAGTGTTTATACATGGCTTGCAGGTGGCGTCAGTCCGCCCTCCTTTCTGGGGGTCAAGAGCGTCTGGTGAACGCAGTGGAAGCTAAGCTCTCATACGCCTTTCCCCTACTGTGTCTCCCATGGCCCCCTTTTGTGGAAAAATTAACACAGTGGAGGGTAGGCTCTCACGTGCCTTTTCCACATTGTGTCTGGCCAAGTGATGTCGGTGCAAGCCATGTATTCAGAGGTTGCTGTGGTTCCTGGAATACACTGCCAACGTCCATGTCGTACAGGAGCGTGCGTTTTCATAATTGCGGGTTGCGAACCGCAAGGAACGTGCTGCCATGACGGCAGCATGTTCCTTGCATGTAGATGCAAGCATGAAAGTATGCTTGCATCTACTATAATAACCAAGTGTGAGAAATAGTTGCTTCCTAGAAAAGAAGTGTATGAACTATGTGAATAAAATTGGAACTCTCTCTCTGTGATCAATCGCTTTTTTTTCACCGATAATCACCGTTTTTAGCCTCGTCGTGAGACGTTCCACCGAAACACACCGGTGTTTTGAAAATAAATAAACACCGAAAAACATCCGCCGATTTTTCTCACAAATAAACACCGGAAAGTACACACCCTAGTTATAAGCTTTGCCGTTGGTGGCGTCGTCAGCGTTGTGGTGGTGTCAATAGCGTCAACGCGTCAAAACCAAGCCGTTCGAAGTACCCGTGGGATGACGAGCGTGTGGCTGGCCCAAGGAGCACGTAGCTTCTACAACACTGTCAGCTTAGGGGAGAACGGCGTGGGGAAAACAACTTTTGCCCAAATTTTAAGTGGCGGGCTAATCTTCTAGGGTGAGAATGGCTGTGTCCGGGTACAGAAACGAGGGTTCGAGCAAGAGGGGACTCCCTCCTTTTCATCTTCTTGAACTGTGAGGAGGAAAGCTATGAAGGAAAATGTTGAATTCCAAAAAGCGGCGCTGCTCCGATGGAACTTGCTACGTCATGACTACGTAGCAAGTTCCCCAACGTTGCGAGATCACCTCCCAGATAGGCTCCACATGCATCCACCAGGTGCACATTGAAAGATCGCTTAATTAGCTTTAAAATAAGTTTCTTCTGCCTTTTAACGAAAGACTGGTATTTTTGAGGTTATGCTGCAACATGCAACACATTAAAGCTAAAATATGAGCGCTGGAGTTCAATCCCCACCCCTGCCCGTTTCGATCTGGATGAGCATCGTATACCGGCGTGCGGTCGTGTATCACTACTGCGTGGTGCACGTTAAAGACCCCAGGCTAGCGGTTGTACCACGCTGGCTAAATTGCTCATCTACAGCGAGTGACTCGTCGGAACCTTAAAACGGCTGACCAACTACACGCTGTATAAATATCCACACAGCCCCAATTATTATTGATCGCTGGAATTTCGTTTCCGTACCCCTTTAAATACAACAACAAAGAGAGTATGCAAAGCGCAAGTTCGTCTGCTTCTTTTGCAGGGATTGTGGTGACGTCAGAACGCTGAGCTCTGATTGGTTCCGATTGAAGGATAGTGGGTAGACCTCAAGGCAGCTTGCTTTGAGGTCTACCCACTGTCCTTCATTCACAGCCAATCAGAGCTCGGCGTGTTTATGACGTCACCGCAACTCTGCGCAAGAAGCAGACGACTTGCTGTCCGCATAGAAATTATCAAATAGTAAACAAACGATACATAATTAAACAATAGATTAATTTTGCACAAAATGTTTGATTTAATCCATCATAGTAAAACGGGTTTGATTTAAATCATAATTATAAATCAGCTTGATTTTTACTCTCTACCTTGCTTCTGCATGTGCTCTTTGTACTGCTTGTGGTACCGACATGACTTTATAGACATGGCGAAATTCCCTCCCACCCAGATGCACATAAATTCCCTCATTCCTTACTTTACATATTTCCTCTCCGCTTTCCAACTTCACCATAACCAACAACGTGAGACCCAGCACCGTACCGTGAACAAGATTTGTGTAGTGTAGTCCCACCCAGAAGAAAGAGCACTGAAAAGCAATCCTGGAATCTCTCCTAAAATTTATTACGTTGGTGACAATCCAGAGCTGTACTTGAACTGACCACGTGGATATGCAACTGCGCCACGCTTGCACATAACACCACCGTAGACTTAATACAATTTCTCTTTGCTCTCTCTTGTATTGCAGGCCCCTATCCCTTTGATGTTGATGCTAAAAAGTCACCGTCGTATTTCCCCTCAATAAACGCATTGCTCCCTCACACACACAAACACATAAATAACAGAAGACAGAGAACCGGACTGGTGAATCTTCATCGTGGAAACTCGAGACAAAGGAACTCAAAAAGTGACAACACAGAGTACTCACAGCTTGGCAATTAATGCCAGGCTGAATGCCCTCAGTGTGCAGTCTGAAATTTCTCCCTAAAACAAGACAAAACTACGCATTGTCTTTCTTCTTTTCACAACAACCTAAAGCCATATTCTATGGTGAGCTCGGAACCTCAAGGTGTCGCCACTCCTCCCTATGGACACGCTTGGACTGGTAGAACAAATATTAGCTGAAGAATAGACCCTTTTCAAGAGCGTCAGATTTGAGCCACCGTGGACATGCAGAGCCACAAAAATAGGTAGTGGCAAATTCACACAAAGGCTGTGTTGGGGGAGCAAGAAAACGGTGGTGTCTAAAAGGTCAATACCCTGCCATGCGACCACAGTGACGAAGTTAACGAAGTCAAGCAAACAAAATGAAAGGAAACGAAAAGTGAAGGTTAGTTATGGCTGCGTCCATAGGCAGCTCACGAAAAACGTTTTTATGTCTAAGAGCGTTTAACTGACAGCACACATTTTCTGGTTCCGCGCAAGCGACGTCTTGGGTTTATTCGTTTAATGGCTAGGAGTGACGAAGAACCGGTGGGAGTTTGGCCACATTGTGTAAAACAAAAATAAATAAAAAAACTACAGAAGACGATGTTAGCCGTCCGAAGCAGACGATGCTTCTTCCCACACAGGCAAGGCGTGTGCGTAGGTCTTTCCTTAGGCGGTCTATAAAATCGCCCAACCATGAATCTACACGCAAAAAGAAAAAAAAAAAAGTCCAAGGCGCTATCTTCCCTTTCCAGCACGCACTTAAAAAACAGGAACAGCACAGACAAGAGACTTCATCAGATAATACAAAATGAAAGATGCAGCCAGTGTAAAAGACAAAAGAGAATAAATAAAGAACGAGAAGGCGGAAAAGGGAAGGGGCGTCGTAAGAAAACAAAAAAAAAAAACATAAGCACCTTACCACGTTCGGTCAGTTGTTTTTGCGTGGAGGCCGTGGCTACGACGTATGCTCTTTGCTGTGGACAAACTATGAGACGAAGATGTGGTTCAAGGTACGTTCCAACGTCGTTAACTTCTCTTTGGCCTTCGAGAATTTGAAAGGATGCGCCATATTACTCTTCCGAACGGGCTGCATTGCAATCCTACGACGTCTTTCACGGTGGTTGAACTCGGCGTGGCGTTTTTTAAGAGAGAGAAGAAAAACAAAACACTAAAACTGGTCGTACGGGGTTTAAATTGCAAAAACGCGTGGGTTTCGCCAGTGCCTCAGTAATTGTTTCGTTGTAGATGACGCTTCTGGGTTTTAATCCTAGTTTCTAACAACGTTAATTTCGCGAAACTGCGGATAGGCTAATTTCGTTTCCGCTCTTCAGCAGACGACGCACGCCGCGCCAACGCGTGTGTCGTCTGCTGTCGGATTAAACGTGCGTTATTTTCTTAAGATTTTTTTTTTCCGCGTAAATAGTGTGTTTATGCCAGCGAATGTGTCACTAAATGTTGTAAAATTACATGTTTCGTGGAAGGATCCTATCCTCCATCTGAGACAGCAGCACGTGGTGGGCAACGTTGATGTTACGTCTGAAACATATTTATGATTAATTTAGTTTTTAATGCGTGTTTTACGTAGTAAACTGGCTAACAAAAAAAAAGTAAACCTTTAATCCTTGTATGGCATTTAGACTTCAACACTATTTCATAATATTGTGATATTGATTGATTCATTTGTTTACATACAAACGGCAGTGAGAAGGAAATATTCCATTTTATTACCTTAAAGACCCCCTTTTAGGGGTATTACATAAGGGGTGGGGTTACAAAAATAATCGAACATAGGTGCTAGTCTTCAGGATGAGAGATGATTGGTAACATTTTCGAAGAAGATTGATGGGCAGGTGATGGCAGCGATGTGGTGGGGAAGGCCGTTCGAGTCTGGAACTGCTCGGGGGAAGAATGACGCGGAAAAATAACGAAAAAAATGACTAATTTGTCACTTATTTCATGGAGGCGCAAAATCGTGAAGCGTGTTAATGGCGTTCTTAAACAGTTTAACAATGAATACAATAGAAGCAGGAAGGTGGTTCCATTCCAAAGAAGTTTTAGAGACAAATGAATATAGGGTCGGACTACATTTAAATATTCTAAGCTTAAATGGTAAAACAAAATGGCTAGGTGGCGTAAGCTACCGCCCGATCCAAAGGGCTCAGCCGTATTCATCCATCCATCCATAGATGAATATGCCTATATAAATAATATTATTACGTAATGCGCGATGTAGAACATACATATTTAAAATTAAAATACAGTGGCAGTTAAACAAAGGAAAAATGTTATATGGTGCCAACAATGCAAAAATCACAAGGGGATAGCGATCTGGAGCATTTTAGAGTGAATCGGACGTGGTGTGAACCTTAAGTCGTACCTGATGATTTAAAATAAAAAAAGTGTACCTATTACAGCGGAGCTGTTAAGGGCTAGTTTCCCCAGGATCGTGTCCGTCCGCACAGAAATGTCGACAAAATACTCTGGTTGCCGCCGTCGCTCATAGATGGCGGTAGCTGTCCATCGCGTTGCGCTGGCCGGTTGTCTGCTTGCCACCGTCGCTCATAGATGGCGGCAACCTTTCCACCCTGGCTTGCCGACTTGCGGACGGCCATTACTTCATTCCCACCATAGAACAGCTTCGCTGGTCTTCCTTCTTCACCAGAGTGCAGAAAGGCTGAAAGTTTTATAAAAAAAAAAAAAGTGCGAAATTGTCATACCCGATATGTTGTATATAAGTTAATGTCAACTGTTTCCGCATGATAGTGAAAGAAATATATATCAGTTTTATTTCAGACGACTCGTACTCGCCTCACTATGCGTTGCGGTCACGCCGTCGTCCGTTCTGTGGAACGTGGAGATACCCCGCCCACCTCCCAAATCTGTCTTCGGATTTGACTCCTCCTCCGGCTTTCGGTCAGAACACTGCAACAAGGTTGCCTCCAGAAACCAAATCTTCGCCAAACTGACGGGCAACATTTCCCTCCTGATTTCTGCGACTCAACAAGGCGTCCGAGAAAGCTCCAAGTTCCTGCAGAAATATGGTAAGCCCCCCCCCCTCCCCCCCCCCCCCCCTTTTTTTTTTCTCGTCTTTCCTCAGTTTGCTTTTATCTATACGCCGCTAAAATAGACACAGGATGTTTACAGAGAACGCTGCTGGAATTCTGTTGAAGGAAAGCGTTCCGTATTTTTGATTTACGGATAAAAGCAAGGGCATATATTTGTCCGTTCGTGGTAACCTAGCTCTGTACCGCTTGGCCCAATTAAAATATTGAGCCCTTGACTACAATAGGGAATTCTAGAAAACCATTAGCTGTGTGTGTGTGTGGGGGGGGGGGGGGGGGGGGGGTTACAGCTAATAGAAGGGGAAAAAGCGGTCGCGGCATCACCAGGACGCGCGCTTAAAAGAATGCTTCAAAGGATCCGGTAGTGCGGTACGCGGAACATGGTAACGGTTTGCTAAACGTCCCTCCTAATACCATTAGCCATGAAAAAAAAAAAGTCTACAGTAACCGTGTTATTCAAGATATATTTCCCGCACAAGCTGACCCTTATCCGAGATAAATAGAAAAGTATGCAGAATTGTTGTTTTAAGTTTCTACGAAAGAATATACCGTAAACGTGGTATCAGATTTATATATATATATATATATATATATATATATATATATTATGAAATGGCATAAGACAGAGGGTGGATTCATACCCGATCGATATTGCGCTCTGTACATTATTGTTAGACAGTTGTGGTTTCAGAGCCGACTCTACAGGTGAGCGGCATAACACTTTGTGACACAAAGCGTCATAAAAAAAGGGGGAGGGGGTGCAGGACCGCGCTTTTTTTTAAGCTTTTTTTTTTTTATTTACTTGAAGATGGCGCTCGACAAAAACTTATACGCTGCATCGCCGTTCGTTTTTGGAATGCTGTTCTTGCCAGTAGGCTTCCCAACAGTCCCGGATTTTGTGGGACTGTCCCTATAGTTTTCATACAGAGTCCCGAGTCCCGACTCGTCCTAATCTAAATAAGCTACGCTTCAGAGTAACGGCACTTGGCCATATTGTGTCTTAAAATCATAGTTGCCAGTCATCTGAAGCTTTATCTGAAATCACAGGAAACGTTTTTCCGCCCTCCACAAATGATTAAACAGTTCGCTACAGAGAGAATCAATATTACATCGTTTTCCTAACACCGCATCTAATGCTGAGGAAGTCGCACCTTTGAATCATGACGATCGCCAGTTGCGCCTGCTCTGCACAAGCACCAAAATGGCGGCGCCCACAACAATGTCGAGGAACAAAGTGCCGATACTCTAAGAGCAGCTCATTTAGTGACTCTAGTAGGGACAGCGCTATGTCCCGGACTGGTGAAATTAGGGCCCAGTCAAATACTTTATGTGACTCGCGCGCGCCATACACGAACTTGGAACGACAGTCAACAAGCGAGAGAGAGAGAGAGAGAGAGCGACGTCGGCGAGGCGGTGAACTGAAGCAGAGATAAATTATAATAACGACGGCTAGCGCTGGCTTGCTTTCTGCGGCGAGCTTTAGCCATTAGCCGCCTTAGCATGCTAGGTATGGCAACACTGTAGTATGGCGATCCCATGGCGATGCTCGGTACTTCCGTGCCTTGCACTGGCGCTCACAAGGCCGTAGCCTCTCGACAGACAGTTTTTTTTATCATGTTATTATCGTCATCAATTTGTGACAACCCAACGCAACTTTGTGACAACGTTTATACTCAGAAAGAAGCTATCTTTGGACCACTGCTCTCATGTTTATTAACACCGTGATGTCGTACATAGTAGATAGGGACGTATAAAAAAAGGGGGGGGGGGGAGGGGGGCAGTGGATAATACACGTCAGAACAGTATAAAGTGACGAAGCATAGAACGTTTTAACGAACGGTGGTGAGAAGAATGAACGGAAACAGCGATTCTGTAACAGGAATTTGTACAACATGAAAGAAAGCAAAAGAAGTATACAGCGAGAAAGTGTTCCAAAATGCGTTCTCTGCGCGGAGCGAAAGGAGGGTCTCTCGAAGTTGTTGCAGCTGCCGTCGGCGGACCAGAGATGCAGAGCCTTGCGGGGGCAGACGCTGTCGGGCCTGTCATTGCAACGCATTGGCAGCACTCAATGGGAAACGTAGGGAACGCGTGATGTCGACCAGTGGCGTACCAACTTGTTTTTCAGGGGGGGGGGGGGGGGGGGCAAACCAGAACCCCCCCTCCCCACCCCAAGGCCGGGGGGGGGGGGGGGGGAGGTGCCCTTGGTATCCCTTGGGCGCCGGCGGACAGTGTTTGCCCTGCCCAGTGGCGGCTGTTTCAGGGGGGTGGGGGGGGGGGGGGGGGGCAAGCGTTCCCCTTGAAGTTGAACCCCCCAATTGGTACGCCCATGATGTCGACGCAGCCGGACGCGTTCGGAGGGAACAAAAGCATATGGGTGCGTTTGGAGGGCAAACGAACGTACGGTACGAGGTGCACAACCGCCAACGGTTTATTATTAAAATTACAGAAAAAATAATGAATTCCTCGCATTAGTTTATCTCCTACAATGCATACGAGGGCTGCAGTTAGTCATAACTTAAACGTACCATTAGAGAGTCTCAAGGAACCATTTTTGCACGTCCGATACGGTACGCGATGGGCTCTCCGGTACCAACCGCGCATTTGCGAGTGTACTCTGGTAGCGCATGCGCAGTTCGTACCGGAGGGCCCATTAAAGTACTTACGGTCAAGGACTCGTTGATTCAGTGGTACATTATTTTGGAGTGCAATTCCGACGAAATTGAGGCAAAACTCTAACCTTTCGGCAACAATAAAAACAAATTATTCCCAACTGTAAATGTCACCCCGTGACGTAATCTAGCCATTTTCTCCGCTACAATTTTTACGTGTTGTAAAACCTATTTTGTGATTAGACCCGACACTGCAACCAATGTAGAGCCGAGAAACGGAAGGAGAGGAGGAGACGAGAGGTGACGTAAGAACGCCGAGCTCTGATTGGAGGGATTAGGGGGTAGACCCAAAGCTGTCTTTGTCCCATGCACATGCAGTCGTCGAACGCGTTAAAATGCGAGTATCAAACTCCGGCGTCCCGCGTTCTAACGCGTTCCACGAGTGCAGTGGAGACAAGGACAGCTAGCTTTACGTCTACCTAAAACCCCTCGATGTGTTTGCGTTTGTCTTGCGAGTAGCTTTAAACGCGCCAATGCTCGAGGCCCGTTTCTATAGCGGCCCTTGGAAGCGAATGGCGGCGATGCACCCGCTTCGTAGCACGTGTCTGTCTCGCACGTTTCCAGAACAATCGTTGGCGGTACTTGTAAGCGTGCATTGCACCGAGGGCCTTTAGGTCTATATACCTAAAGCAACTGGATCAAGGGAAAGTACCAAGCTCCCCGTATATGGTTGCTGTTTTGGCTCATGAAATGAGCAATTTATCCTTGAGCCGATCTCACCAAGCTTCCCACGCATGCGTGACACCGCCATAACTGTAGTCCACAGGAGGCAGACGCCAGTTCACGAGACAGCTCATGCCTCCTCGCGCTCTGCTCAGGCAGAACTCCAGCGGGGTTGTCGCGCGTGCAGAAAAGACTACAACTCCCACGATGCATGGCGGCAGCGGTGGCGGACTCAAACTAGCTGGTGAGATCGGTCTATTCACTGTTGATGGGTAGCTTCATAGAGACGTAGATTTCGCTATCCTGGCGAAACGAACGTACATCTTCGTACCACCACCCCATGCTGTGTCGGTGCTTGGAGGCACTGGAAAATAATTTTGCTGTTTTGAAATACTCAAGAAGAACAATATATTTGCAAGAGATTCGTGGAGAGGGGCATGATTGACAAGTGGATTCCATACACAATGCCAAAGACGCTTATATTGGCGAGGAACGTTTCCAGTACGATGACGCTCCATGGTGATCTTGGTGCGTCCGGATTAAAACGACCCCCTCGAAGCTTCGGAGATTTGAAGGGCCCAAAAGGCGATTGCCATATATACTTCGTTCAGTCTTGGGCAGTAACTAGTTACAAGTAACGCGTTACCGGTAACTAGCTACTTTTTACGGTAACTTTTGCCTGTAACGCGTTACTCTTTAATACTGGTAACTTGTAACTGTAGCACTGTTACTTTTTATTGGGTAACTGTAACTGTTTAGGCCGTTACAGTTACTTTTTTTTACTATATAAATTAAAACCTACTGCAGTGGACATAGAGAAATTGCCATCTCGAAGTATTTTTCTCCATACTCCTCGCGGACAAAAAGAAAATGTTTATATATAAGAAGAAGAAGCGTGGCCACAAATTGAACAAACAAAAAAATTGCCTGGTTTGGCCCACGACCGAGAATGGACGAGGGACGAGTCAGCACGAAACCGGGAGATAAAAGAAGCGGCGCCCGCGGTGGTAGGGGCTGCCGAACAACGTCTGTTTCACCGACTTTGGCTCACTCTTCTCTCGTGGGGACCATCTGGGGGTGTCGGTGGTCGTGCGATGTCTCCGGGTATTCCGCCCGTGCTGTCGTTTTTACACCCAGCCGTTTGCCGCTTCCTCATCCCTATTAGTTTTCAAGGAAGCCGTCCCCGTATTGTGCAGAAAGCCGGCGCTTGTTTAACTTGTTCATTCCCTTCGGAGCCGCTCGAGTGAACACGGTTTCCACAGTTGGCGTTTCGGACATAGATGCCGCGGTGGTCGCTGTAAACTCGTAAAGTACTAGAAGCCTTTCCCCCTTTATTCTTTGGAAGCTGTTTGACCTGCTATGTTTAGGCCTGCTTCCGAGTATATCCCATAAGGTAATTAATTATGTGACCATCTCTTTCCTCATTCGTTTCGGAGGGAAAAATAAACCAAAGCGTTCACTGACGCGGGCTGATGATCACTTTGAAAAAACAATTGATTCTAAGTTATAACAATTATTGCAAATAAATTATGCTTATCAGAATGCTGAAACGGCGAATGACGCAACAAATAAACACCCTTCGGGTTTAAATTTTTCTTATTTCTCAGTTTACCTTTCCTCTCACTATAGTGTAACAAATAAAATAACATTGCTTTGTTTTGTGACTACTTCTGTCCAATTCTTGTACTGTAACGAGAAAGTAACGGCGCTACTCTTTTTGCAGTAACTGTAACTGTAACACGTTACTTTTTTGAAACCGGTAACTGTAACTGTAACAGAGCTACTCTTTCCCCCTAGGTAACTGTAACTGTAACACTGTTACTTTTAACTGGTAACGTGCCCATGACTGACTTCGTTTCACCTTATGTGCGAGCGAAGGCAAAGCTGGAAGCGCGAGCACGAAAACTCGGTGCGTTCAGGCTTTGCTCGAGCGCGCGAGCTTGGGAGAAACGCAAAAAACGCTGGTCTCGGGCTTCTAGCTTTGACTTCGCTCGCAGACGAAGTGAAACGAAGTATGCACGTTTGCAAGTCCGGCTTCAGGGCGCTGCCATCTTGCCTGTCTGGGGTGCGCTTGGACCAGTCATAATCCGATTACGAAGCCTTGCTAAGGCGTCGTAATCGGATTATGGCCGCTCCCAAGAGCGCACCCCACTGAGGAAGATGGCGGCGCCCTGAGACCGGACTTGCAAACGTGTATAGCAACGTGGTTTTTGGTTTTGTTCTAGGCATGACACCACTGTTGTAAATAAAATTTTCTAACCAGACGGATAAGCCAATCGCCTTGCGAGGTTTTGGGTCTCCTGTACGTTAGTATTTGTTTGTGTTTGGCTAGCAGGCAGGGAACGCAATGGCGCTACTTTTCCAGGGTCCAGGGACTTTAGGTCTATACTCACTAATCACTGAGACCAGAGCTCGGCGTTTTGACTTCCCGCTCTCTCTCGTTTCCTCCTCGATCTCTCAGTTTCTCGGCGCATTGGCGCCGTGCGCGACCAAATGCGTCGCCGTGGTCGGCGTTCCAGGTTTGGCCAAACGCTCACTATGATGTGTTGGGTATAGGGGCTATTCACAGGAGGCCATATTTGTGGGTGCTGTTCAGAGCGCATGCTCAGAACGAGCTCACATTAATAGGTTGCTAAGACCGCCAATCTTGATGGTGTGGAATGCATGTTGCAAAAGAACTGCGGAAGCTCGCCATCAGCACGCGCTCAGCATTCGCACACACAGCTATGGCCGCCAGTGAATACTCCCTATAATTTCATCAATGGAAATGAGAACCATGTCAGACTGTCAACTTCGACGGTGTTGGTTGAAAAGGGTGCGATTACTACTAAACCTTCACCGTACGTTTTATTCACACACCGCATGGGTTGTCGACGGCCATCAATCATTCAGGCCGTGAGTCAGATGAGTCAAAACCGTTTTTGTGCCTTTGAATCTTTTTCGAAAAATGAATCAGCCTGAGTCTGAAAAAGCAGACGCATTTGCACGTCGAGTATCACTATACGCACACGCACAGGCATACACAATGTAATGAACTGCAATACGAGGATTTCTGGTACTTACTGCCATTTTTTTTTTTTCCTTTTCCCTGCAGGTTTTCAAGACTCCAAGTACGAAAACATTACCTGGCCCCGCCTGAGGCGCAGACCCAACGCTCGCGTTTTCGAAACCGTCGCCTACGCGTCGCAGTTTGCGACCGAGTACATCGCACGAAGGTACGCGTGCTCTGACAATCGGTTTTAGGCCTACGCGTGCAATGAGGGCAAGCACACGTCCAAATACAGTCGCCGCAAGTGACGGCATTAGGGAGTCGTAGTAGATCGTTTTCAAGGGCCCGCTACCGCTACGAGCGCGCGCTTCAGAGCATGCATCGAAGTGGCAGCGCGAGCTCCCGCTACGATTAGCGCGGCCTGAAAACACGATCTACTAAAACTCTCTATTGTCGCTCAACAGTCAATACGCTCGCGCCATTAGCCGATAAGAGCGCCGAAGGGCGAATCGCTAAGCAAGAATCGTGAACAATAATAAGCGAGAATTGACCACCGGAGCAACTTTCTCGAAATGGGAAATACAGTGATCTCATTCGCTCGAGTTCTTATCGAACGCACACGGAGCGCTATAGATGGGTGGTAACCAAAAAGAGACATATAACTGCAGGAGCAGAGCATCTAATTGGTTCTTAACGTGCCACCGACTGTAAGGAAGAATGGGTATATAGGGGGTTTCGTCGAATCATTCGAGCCTTATCACAAGACTGTGCATTTTAAAGGAGCTCTCGGCGAATTGAGTCTTCTTTGGGATCATTTGAGTCAATTTAGAGGTCATCTAAATGCAGATTCGAACAGTTCAATCGGGCGTATGCTCGTGTCTGACTCGTGCCGTAAAAGATAAAGTCAGACAAAGGCGCACAATCTGTGCGTGAAAGATTACGAAATCAATGGCGTTGCTCGCGCACTCCGCGTCGGCTACTCGTTGACTTATGGTTTGTTCTAAAATGTTCTCTTTCTCCGACGCCCAGGCTCCGACTGCAAGCGGTGGAGGTCGGTCTAGGCGTGTCCTGCGTGGACGTCAAGGACACTGCCCTCGGCCGGATCTGTCCTCCCGACCTGGCCCGGTCCGACCACGTCTGCCCCCGCAGAGCTCTGCATCTCAGGTCCGCCGATGGCAACTGCAACAACTTCGAGAGGCCCTCCTCCGGGACCGCGTTCTCTTCGTTTGTGAGGCTTTTACCTGCAAGGTATGCAGATGGTACGTCTGTCGCCATCTTGTTCGTCTTCTCTCATCGGCAGTACTTTCCCACGTTGAGTCATTGCATTTCATGTGCATGCTGTGATTCCTGGTATGTTCACGTTCTCGATATATCATGGTGTATCCACATGGTGGGTCTCGTTAGGATAATGCTATACATAAATCTGAGTTTGAGACCTTGTCTTCCTGTCGCTTTTTTCTTTCTCTTTAACGATTGATATTTTTATGTTTTTGCCCAAGTCTCGGCTAATTCATTAGTATTTCCCCCGCTCGTCATTCAAGTTGCAAATTTCGCTACACAAACCCGAGTTTCAACAATGCACAAGAGTATTGAACATTTTTTAGGTTCATTGCGAAGATATAATGAAGGTCGTACTACCCTTGAATTTTCCCTTGAGAGCGCTGGAGATGTTTTATGAAATCCAGAATATGACCATTTTGACTGTTTTGAGCGCATTTTGAGGCAATTTTGAAATTAAAATTAATTAGACGACAAAATTGACAAAACGAATGGTAGTACGTACTAGAGACATCTCCTGACGCAAACATGCAGATACCAAGATGTCTTGGTATTTGCGTATTTGTGTAAATAATGTTGACAAGGCATTTTCGCAAGATTTATTTTCAATGGGTCCAACAGGATGGCGGCATCAGAGCACCAAATACCAAAGAGCATCTGCTCTTCCTGTTTTCACGAGCTTGCACGTACGACGACTCGCGGCACGAGTCCTTTGCTCGGTGTTGGGAAGTACTTTAAGTACATTGTACTTAAAGTACTACTTCAAGTAGGTTTAGGAAACTTGTACTTTACTTGAAGTACATTCTCCGAGTATGTATTTGTACTTTACTTAAAGTATTTTTTTTTTCTGGTACTTTCTGAGGAAAGTACAATTCCCGACTTCAAAGTACATTCCTCAAATTTGAATTTGTTAAATTTGTATCACGAAATAATGCTTTGTCAACTCTGAAGAAATACTGAGAGGGATATTCCACTATCACCAGAAACGTGAGCAGACGACGCATCGCTCCGTTTGTTCTGGGGGCGGCTTTCCTGTAGCTTTTTGAACTCTCGCTACTTCTCGGTCGGTCAGCGCAAGCAAGGAGAGCAAAATTATTCATAATGTAGCACCTGAGACTGTAGTACGGAAAAATTAAATTTTCAAGTCGAAGTAGAAGACAACAGTGGAGAACGTCACAATGTTTTGAGACATTCTCTTTTGTCTTTTCTTTCTATTTGAAGGTTCCTTAATTTCTTTCACACCCCACTCTCTGGTGTCACATTATGATTAATTATCACAAGCTCGCTTGCACACTCACTATTTTTTTTTTTCATTAATGAGAGGACACTCTTCTATGAGGATTGCTTGCGGAAGCTACGGGGCTGACGTCATGCTCTAGTACATTTAAAGAGATGCTGAACCGAAATCTGGATTACCCAATACACGCGGCAAAAGCGTGCAGCGGGATACTACAAACACCAAAACATCACTCATACAGCGATATCTCGAACGGATGACCGTATTTTTTCAAAAAAAGAGGCGCATTTGGCAGGAATGTTGACGTCATGTTTCTCCGAGGAAGAGAGGGAACGGCCTCGCGTCTTCTCCGCCTCGCGGCCTTGAGGGAGCGAAGCGAAGAGAGGAGGAAACTAGATATCTTGACGTCACGCGCCTCGTCGGCCTGGTTCAATCTTTATTTCTTTTTCCAAAAATACGGCCGTCCATTTGAGATATCGCCTTACGAGTAGTGTTGTAGGGATTGTAGCGTCCCGCCTACATTTCCAGCATTGTTTTTTTTTTTTTAATCCAAATTTCGGTTCACCATCTCTTTAACCCCCTTGGGTGCAACAATCCAGTGCAAGGAGCGCCAAATTCAGAAAACGGACTTCTGAATTCAGCTCCGTTCCAGAAAATAACTGCTTAGTGGCCACTTGTATTCGCCGCTGTTTTTTTGAAAATATAGGTCATGCACCCCTGATTTCTCCTGGGCAATGCATACCAGTTAAAAAATCACTGCATATAGGAATGAAAGGGCATAATGAAAGATTGTGGTAAAATACTTGTACTTTACTTTGAAAGTACATTGTATTTAGAGTTATTTACTTCAAGTACATTGCGGCCGATGTACTTAATACTTTACTTAAATACATCACGTCTCATTTACTTTGTACTTTACTTGAAGTACCTTTTAGATGTACTTTACCCAACACTGCCTTTGCTTGACATCGCCGAGATCAGTTTTCGCGTTTTACCGGAGAATGGTCTGTGTAAGATTTCTGTCTGCTGTACCACAAAAAAAAAAAAAAGGACCAATAAGAGGCTACGCATGTGTGATGTAGTGATGCCATGGCAATGTTCTGCGTCTCGCTGACGAGCGGCGAGCTTTTACTTTCACTTTAAAAATGATCGCGGCCGATGCCACGACCCACGTAGTGTGCCACGTAACCGCGCGCGCTACGCGAGTCCATAGCAGACTTTTGCCTATCTTAAATACTCTACTAAAGATACTGTATCTCAAATACTTTTGGTAGTGTTTCCGCATCTTGCAAATACAATTCGTCTATTTGCTGCTCTATTTTAATGGCATGTCTCACTATCTTGTACTCACTGAGTACAAGATAGTGAGACATGTAATTAATATAGAATTAGCCAATATACTAGACGAAATGTATTTGCAAGATATCTCAAGCAGTGTTGCGGAGTGGCCACTCCGGAATTGGGATGGTTCCGGAATCATTCCGCATTTTTGCGAACCCGGAATGGAATGGGAATGGAATGGGGCGGCATAGGCTGGGAGGAATGGAATGGGAATGAATCGAATTATATGGTTTTTTTTTTTTTTTTTTGCCTCGAACGAATTGGGAATGCAATGGGCTCGGTTCTTATGCGAGCTCTGTCGAATATCATCTAGGGCAGGAATCTCCAAACATTTTGGCTAAGGGGTCGAATTAGGAACCTGTCACAGTCTCAAGGGCCGGGGAAAAGATAGTATCTATAAATAAGTGGGAACTAAATAAAATAACTAAATTAACTGGATGAATACATATGCTTTAATTTGAAATTCAATATTTAGCTAAATTTGACATTACACAACCATTGTGACCAAGAAAACTCATCAGGCATAAATCAAAGCGCTTGGGAACTTAGCACATTCGCGCAGCGAAAAAAAAAGTAATTAGAATATGATAAAACCAACGTTGCCAATTTGCAATACTTGTGACAGGGGACACTAAGCACAATGCACGGGAGAACGCACATGACTTTTAACAGAGATCTAAAGACATGGATAGTTAGATAGTGCTTATTTGACCCTGGAGGGTCGCAGCATCATAGAAGGGCCATTGGCCAGTACCTGAGGCCTGTGGTGACGCAAAGCAGGAGACTAAGAGTGTTGACGCAAATGATGACAGTGCTCAATGAATAGTGCGGCGAGAAGACCCGCGTTACGGTGCTGTTTATCTCGTTCTTTTTGGTATCTTCGTTTGCGCATTTGGAGCGCGTCGCGGGCCGGCGTTTCGAGATCCCTTATCCTGCAGGGTCTACGGGCTGATGGCACGATTCGCTAGCCCATGGTATATGGCTCTTGAAACAGCATCATTGCACTGGCTGGAGGTGACTGACGCCTTGATTGTCTCACTGGCGTATAACCCTTCGAGGATAAGGGTGAATCCCCCTTCATATGAGAAATAAGTGATCACATTCCTTGTCATCAGTCGCCCAGTGACCAGAAAAACGAAATCTGAAAATGACACTGTGCACAATGCATAATTGCAGTTTGGTTTTATCAAAATAGACTTGTTATCATCCATTCTTCTTCGTCTTTAATCATCGCTTCTTTCTTTTTGCATCTTTTCAGTGTGTTCCTAGCCTCTAATTTTTCTGACGTCCACCTTCATGTTTGCTACCTGTTGTTTATAACTAAATCTATTACTTATTTACTGTCTCAACGCTGTGGCAATCGGGAAAAAGCAGTCATTCCGCGCAGGAATATCCCGAGTGAGGACGTCGACGGAGGGATCGCCGCTTCCCAGCCCCCGCCTTATCAGCCAGTCCCTGACCCTCGACCTGAACGATCCTCATCCACGAGCCACACTGATGCTGATGCAATGGGGTCAGTTCCTGGACCACGACCTGTCCTTGGCTACCCTGTCGGTATCGCAGAGCGGTTTCCCTCCCAAGTGCTGCCGTCCCTTGATGTCCTTCGAGGACGTCCATCCTGCCTGTCTAGCCATCGGGGTGTCCTGGAGGGACAAGTTCTACAAGAAGTTCGACACCACGTGTATGGAGTTCAGCCGATCGGCGCCGGCCGCCAAGCCAGGATGCAGGTTGGGTAGGCTGGATGAGGGATATCACCCACTGAAGCTATTTTGTGATGCGCCCCGTGCTGTAACGATGCCGTCCCGTTCCTTGATTCGCACAACTTGCCTGTGAAAGTTGAAGAGTAGATAATTTAACTGAGTTGCCCGGTTCATTTAATTCAAATAACCTTAAGATACACTTTAACAGTTTTTTACAATGCGAATTGGGTATTTTCGTCGCACAGACATATAATTTCGTTGCTTTTATTTATTTTTTTTTAGGGTGGGTCTGAAAGAGAGTTAGTACAGAAGATTAAAAAGCCCGACGAGGGCACTGCAATTAGACAACATTGTAAAATGTATAAAGGCTAGTGTAAAATAGAAGAGAGGCATTGTATACTTTGATTGCTCTTCCAATGAATCATACTGCAGAGGTATCTTGCTGGGACAGTTTTCATGTGCGCGCAGTGCAATAAATTACGCATAGAAAAAATGGGAAAAGAGTATCCCGAATGTTTCTAAAAATGTTGTTGCCCGAGCAAGGTGACGAAATAACATCATCGCATTGCAGGTCCACGGGATCACATTAATCAGATAACGTCCTTCATCGACGCGTCAACTGTGTACGGTTCGACGCCAGAGGAAACACAAATGCTTCGATCTTTTCAGAAGGGTATGTTCTGTATGATTGTTTATATTTTGCAGATTAAAAATAAAAAATTGTGGTTCGAACGTTTTTTTTTTTTTTTTGTTTTTTCTTCTTCTTTTTAACAGGAATGTTGCGCAGTTCTGAAGTAAAAGGCTTCAAGCCATTGTTGCCTCCCGGGACCGACGCTGAGATCCTCGAATGTCAAGAAAGAGGACGGAACTCCAAGTGCTTCTTGGCCGGTAACTGTTTACTAAACACAAATCTAACTTTCACAATTAGATGGGGTTTAGCAAGGACTGCCCGCCTACGAAATATTGCTTTTTTTTATTGTTTTGGGTGAGCACTAGCAGTCGCGTCTGCATATGTCACGCGAAGTGAAAACTTGGAGGACGCTTAAGCTTCGCCTTTAAGAGTGGAACGCGATAGTGAAACGTAACTCCCGCTCGTTCCTAAGCCGTGCAAACGTATACTGTACCTTGCGTGACCTATGTGTCTGACTCGCAACCGAAGGATCGCGGGTTCGATTCCCTCCTAAAATGAAATCATTTAAAAAATGCGGCGACCTTTAATTCGCATTACACATGTAATGTTTTCTAACCACATTCATTCCACGCGTGACGTCACGTTTCACGTGAACGTTGTTTGAAATTCTCGCGCGAAGTCATGTGGCTGTGACGTCATGAACCTATCTACCAATCAGGATTTTCGCGGCACGCTACCGACACTGGATTTTCTGCGACACGAACTCCTTAACGCTATCGCGGTAAAGTGCCACTGATGTTATTATCCCTAGAACAAAAATTCGACTTTATACAGAAAATTGCTCTTTTACAAGTCCAGAAGAATTAAAATCCTTTCCTCACCAAGAAAAACGCCTTCGCGTCTGCTTTGCCACAGGGCATGCGCCGTGTTAATCACTGCGATCGATCATCCACTGAATGCGCTGGCATTGCTTTTGATATATGAATTCAATTACATATATGATCAGTGGGCCTATTAGGCATATCGCTTGCGTCCATATGGGCCTTTGCAAAGTACAGGGTACCCCCTAAAAAAATGTACAGGGTTTGTTTCACCGCAAATATAAACCACCCAACGCCGAACTCTCATTTTCCGCCGATGCCGAAGTTTCAAAACTAACTAATATCTTCTTCAAAAGTTATAAGTGATTTTCTCAAATTTTTGATGGGAAAATGGCGGCCAACGGAGGCTCGTGCTACATTTGGGCAGAGAATGGGCGATCGGCAAAGCATAGTTTGTTTGTGTTTTTTTTTTTTGTTTTTTTTTTTGCGGAAAAAACAAAAACAAAAAATAACGCTGCAATATATATACATATGTACTTTTTTTTCTTCTGTGTTATACGTTTAGCTTATGTTGGGAGAATTCCCAGTAGAAAGCTGGTGCACTGGTATCTAGAAATTTGGCTCAGAGTAGTGCTGTCTTTTTCCAATTTTAGTTGTTTTTTTTTAATGCTCAGTCTTCAGGGACATATAGCTCTGATGGCCTCCCAGAATCTGATGACGAGTTCATACATAAAACAAATCAGCTCTGCTCGTTTGTAGCGTAAGAGTGTGATGTGTATGATTGACAGGCGATTCGAGGGTGAACGAACAGCCTGGTCTGACAGCTCTGCACACCATCTGGATGCGTGAGCACAACAGAATCGCCTCCAAGTTGGCCTCATTAAATCCTTCCTGGGATGACGAGAAACTTTTCCAGGTTTGTGGTTCCTCTCGTTCCCGATAATTATTTGAACAATGATGCTAGCCACCGAATTCGGCACAGACACTTAAGACTGCTCCCGTGGAGGAGTGCGAAAGAATTCATACACGCAGCGCGCCACGTCTTCCGTGATGATGCATCTGCGTTGCTGTGCTTTTCTTTGTGTTTTACTTCTGAAACACGTGCTTGATGACTTCGATTTAGGTGCCGTTTCGCTCAGCCAATCGGAATTTAAGTACCGTTACACTCACCCAATGGGAAGTTTAGGTGCCGTTTTTAGCGGTTACAGACAACGCCGGCTTCGCTCCATGGGACTCTTAACGCTCTCGTATTAAAATATAGTTCCCTCTAGATCTATGAATAAGGTACACCTAGCGTATCGACGGACACCGCCATTTTTGTGCTTAACGCAGAGAGGGCGCCACTGGCGACCTCTACGATTGGAAAATGAAAGTTCCGTAGCTTTGAACTGTTTTAACATTTTTGGAGGACAAAAAACCGCTTCCTGTGGTTTCAGATCAAGCGTCTGTTAACTGGCAACAATGGATTTTAGCAACGAGATGGCCGAAGGGTCCTTACTCTGAAGCACATGGCTTAGCAAGAAAAGAGGAAGTTTAGCACATTATTCATGCGACGCGCGAAGTACAATTCTTACAGGATTTTGTTGCCGAAGTAAGAAACGATGGTTTTTGCGTTTGAAAACGTGAACGTCTTGATAAAAGAACATGAAGCTAATCTAAGATGCACCTACATGTATCTCAATTCAATGCTTGAAGGGCGAAATAAATAACGTACCACAAAAAGCCGTTTTTTTTGTTGTTTTTTTCAATACAAGTATAGTTTTTGTTAATGCTGACATTCCGCGTTCGCAGGAAAGCCGTAGAATCGTCGGAGCCGAGGTTCAGCACATCAGCTTTGGCGAGTTTCTGCCCGCGGTCCTCGGGGAGTCCGTGGCGCAGATCTTCGGCCTCAAGCTGGCCTCGTCCGGCTACTACCGAGGCTACGACCCCGCGGAGAGTTCGGACATCTCGAACGTATTTGCGGCGGCTGCGTTCCGGTTCGGCCACAGCATGGTCCCGCGGTCCTTCCACCGGTACGACAAGAACCACAGGCTTTTGCTTAACGGTATGCAATGGTTCGGTTTGAACGCCGCGATATGTCACTTGAGAGGGAGAACCACATGGAGTTCACGTATACAACCCCCTTGTAGTTGCAGGTTCATGGCAATATTCCAGAATTGTTAAATGCCAAAACACGATCCATGCATGGGGACGGCCTGTTAATCCTGTAGCACCGACTCCCTGAAGTAAAAGACCAAACTTTCATTCCAAGAGGAATATTTTTATATAACAATTCCTGCGTTTAATTAACCTCCAGAACAGACCAAAAAAAAGTGTTGTTCAATTTCAAAACTTGATACAAGTTGGACATTCGTGTTAGGGGCTAACACTTGGCAAATTCAGTGGAGCTGCACAAATATTTCAGATCGTAATATGTCTTGTTTCATGTGTTTTTGTGTGGAGGAAGGGAGAATGATACAGCCATCTTGCCCTTCCCTCCACCCAGTCGAAGGTGTTTAATTGTACCGCAATGAAACCTTTATTTTTCAACTACTTTTGTTTCACTAGCGCGCGGTCATTAAAGACTTAAAAGGATTGGATTATTGAAGAGGAGCAGTCAGCGGTCCGGTGACGTGGAGACAAAGGCGACTAGCTTTAGGTCCACCCACTGGTTATTCGAACCAGAGCTTGCCTATCTCTTCTCCTCCTCTTCCTCAGTTCCTTGGCACATAGGGCCTTTTTTCTCTTTGATGTGCTTTTCAGACACGCCGCTCCACTCGGAGTTCTTCAACCCGACGGAACTCTTCAAGCCCGGCGGCGTCGACCGGCTGGTCCTAGGGCTCGTGAACCAGGCAGCCCAAAGCGTGGACGAGCACATGACCTCGGAAGTGACCAACAGGCTCTTCCAGCCTCAGGGTCGGGATTTCGGACTCGATCTCATGGCCCTCAACGTCCAGAGGGCCAGGGACCACGGCATCCCGGAGTACCTGGCCTGGAGGAGGTACTGCGGACTGCAGGAGGTCCGGTCCTTCGAAGAACTCGCCCAGTTCACGGGTCCCGGTACAGCGGAGATGCTGAAGCAAATTTATTTGTGAGTCGATTATAATTTTTTAATACAATCCTTCCCCAAAAGTGTTACATAGAAATCTCTGAAATGACTGGGGGGGCGAACCCCCCCCCCCCCCCCCTTTCCTCCCTTTGTTTCTACGCCGCTGAGTGTCATTAGCATCTACAGGAGATTTTCTTATCTCCGCTGCGCAATATACATAAAAAAAAAAAAAAAAAAAAAAGATAGAAATTATGTTTGCTTGTTGAACTCTCCGGAATAAAAGAAAAAGGGCCAAGTTAACCCTGGCTTTCGTTGGCAAAGGGGGAAATTGCGTTAATTAGTTAGCTAATTCAACAAACCGTTTTGATTATCCTTTTAAATTTTTATTTTTGTCGACATAATTCGGTTCCGTGTTCGGGGGGTTGATTGCTCTTCAAATTTGGGGGGGGGGGGGGGGGGGGGGATGGAGAAGGGAGGAAGGAGGAGGAAGAAAATTTTTTTTTTAATCGGAAATGTTATAGCCAATTTCAGCTGAAAAAAAAATCTTTAGATAGTTTGCACTCGGTGTATAGTTCGGAGGAGCCAATTTTGGCTGAGGGCGAGAGATATACAGTGCCAGTATAACCTTGTTTTCATTGTTCCGTTGAAACAGAAAACGAAAGCCCGGAACCAATGACCTTCAACATTGAGGAAACAAAGTTTGTGTATAATCTGCACAGCGTCAAATATAAACCTTTAAAAAAAAAAAAAAAAACGGATTGTTTATAGTCCGCGCAGCACAAAATATTAACTTTCAGACATGTATATAGTCAACGTGCTCTGCACCTGATGTCATCTCGTCAGCTCTCCTGCCACCACCAGAGAAGAAGGGAAGGAGGAACTCCCCTCTCGACGGGACACCCTCTTGTCTGTCCCACGCGTAACCGGACGTCGCTATTCTCCATCTAGATGATTACAGAAGATTAACCCATCACTTAAAAATCGTACCATACAAAATCATCTTCCCCCTCTCTCTTTTCCGTGAAGGTGCGAAGTGGATGATGTGACATCAGTGCAAAGCATGTATATACACCGGAAAATATGGTACCTGAAAAAAGTCATCCCGGTGCCACGTACAGGAGGAGACGGAGCAACTTCAACGACAGTAAAAAAATTTTCTGAAAAAAAAAAAAAAAGTTATGCTGCACATTAGTCTTTTTTTTTTTTTTTGCGGGGAGAAGAAAAAACGGGGTGTTTTCGAGCGCGCTATTCGGACGTAAAAAATTCTCATAAGTATAGACCAATAAGTTGAGTGCAATGAAACTTTTCACAAAGGTGATTTTAGGTGATGCCTTTATTATACTCAAATTTTATTAGTGCAGGTTTCAAAACAAACTTGCAAACCTTAAAAAAAAATAATAATGCACACAAAGGAAAACGAAAAAAAAAAAAAAAAAAAAACGTCTGGCTGTTACTCACAGGTGGCATCACGTAAAGCAGAGGCTAAAATCAAGGGACGCGGATAGATTAAATTAGATTAAATTGACGCAGTCAAAATTCAGTGTTGAACTAAAAACACTACATGGCTAGGTGACGCAAGTTACCGCCCAATCCGAAGGAACCAGCCACCATCCATCCATTTACGGGAAAGCTTCTTTGATATCTTTTATATGAATACCTGAAAGCAGATCAACCAGATTCGAGAGTGTGGTATCATCTCAGTGTCGACCGAATGGTTTTCGAAAACAGATTTTTCCAGGCTTAACCTTTTTCCTCTATAGCTAAGCTCATCAAACTTCAGTATAATGAATGCACCACCTAAAGATATCTCTGTACAAAGTTCCAATGCAGTCCATTCATTGGTTTATATATACGAATGTATATTACGCATGCCTAGCGCTCGAGAACACAACGGAGCAGGAGTTATAACTGGTGTAAAATCTTTCGGTTTAAAAGAAAGCGGTTCGAACTCTATTGTTTCCTAGGTCCATCGACGACGTGGATCTCTTCCCAGCGGCACTCGCCGAGAAGCCAGTGCTGGGCGGCGTGGTTGGACCCACTTTCGCCTGCCTGATTGCCGAACAATTCGTACGTCTTCGAAACGGAGATCGCTTCTGGTACGAAAACGGTGGCTTGGCGTCCTCGTTCAGACCCGGTAAATTTCGTACCCTGGTTCCTTTGTTTTTTTGTTTTTTTCATTGCCTCCGATTTTTTTACGGCGAAGCTGTTAAAGGCCGACGTACACTTCGCGCTTTCCACTTTTGTCCGCCACCTTCTTTCCTATATCCTCTCCACATTTTACCTTGCCCCAACCTGGCTCTCGCTCGCAGCTTAGGAGAGGGGAGCGCTAAGAGGATTATCTTCCCTGCAGAAAACCGAGGTTGTACGTCGGCCTTTAAGGGCTTTTTTTCCACAGTTTCGTGTTCGTGGACAAATAAATCACGACACAACCCTCTGGACGGCTACCGCCATCTATGAGCGGCGGCGGAAACCAGACAATCAGCTTGCCGGTTGTCTGGTCGCCGCCGTCGCTCATAGATGGCGGAACATAGTACAGCTCTGCTGCTCTTCCTTCATCACCAAAATAAAAAAGCTTAACGTTTTTTTTTCTTTTTTTGAAAACGTACTCGGGACTGTTTAGCTATGATGTTTCAGGGAAGAGAGAGAGAGAAAAAATGTATAAAAGTTATGGAGAGATTGGTATGCAGTCTTAAAAACAGCGCTGGGAAATAGTGGAAAACTTCTCATATCCAAACGTACAACGACGCCACGTCCGATCAATGAAAGGCATACACACGACTGAATTGCGTGATATAGGATATTTGGAAACCCTAAGAAACATCTTCATCTACAGAAGAAAAAAAAAATAACGAGATTATGTTACCGGCGAAGTAACTTGGTGAACTTAATGCACGACGCACAAGCGAGACGTAAAAAGCAAGACGCGAAATCGTTACAACCGAGAGACCGCTCGCCAGAGGCGCCTCATTCCCATTGGCTGGTGTAAGCTACCATTTGACCATAGCGACAACCAATGGCGTTCTCGTCGGAAGTTGCGGTATGAGTTTCGGTTCCTAAACTATCGCACTGAGGTTTACCGACCCAAAAACATACTAGACGCAGGACTCTCTCGTCAGATAGATATATGACCAAGGTCCTGCGCCGAATAATAATTTCATATTTATTTTTCTTAAATAATTTTTTCCAGACCAACTTCGCGAACTTCGCAAGGTTTCACTGTCCCGTGTGCTCTGTGACAACTTGGACGATGTCGACACGCTCCAAGTCAGTGCGATGGAGCAGAGCGACCAAAGAAAGTCAGTATATCTTCGGAATACGATATATAACTCCGCATGCTGAGCGTCTGTTTTACACCACGATAGACCGCAGCTGCCGCTACGAGGCACCGCAGAGCCTCCGCTTGCGGAGCAGAGTATCGCCGTCACTCTCTCAAATAGATGACTCCAAGTATTGCGGAGAAGCGACCGTCGCTCTTGCAGGAGACACAGGCGCAACGAGGTGGCGGTTCATCACGCATGCGCGGCGACCGTTGGGTCGTCTGCTTGTCGGCGGCCACTTTGAAACAGCACTTGCGCTGTAAAAAGGATGCAATAGACTTATTGCTAAATTACCCAAGCATCAAGGAGAATGCAGGGAATGGTGTTCCACGCGCCAGATGCGCACGCCTTCCCCGTATAAAAGACTCTAAGTAAATAACCAAAATAAAGCGTTGACGAACGCGCGTGCAAGATGCCATTTGTTTCAGGCATTTGCTTTAGAAAAGTTAGTACTGCTGACGCTTGCACGTGCGGCGCGTGGAACACCATTCCCTGCATTCTCCTTCATACTTGGGTAATTTAGCAATAGGTCTATTCCAGGTGTCTATAGGGTACCGCACGATGTCCGTTTGGCAAACGCGAAGCGGAAAAATACCATGTCTTATATCCCACCCCAAAACCTGTGGCTCTGCAAGGTCGCTTCCCCGCAAGCGCGCCAGTCAAATTTGACGGATGTGACCTCTAGCTCTTCTCCTCCAATGAGAAGTTGGTGACGCGAGGAAAATTAAGGAAGGCGATACTATGGCTCTGTCATTTTACTCTGCCGGAGTCCAAGTCCGGAGCTCAGAGATTGTCAAGACGCGCACTTGGAGCATTCCGTGCCATCCATCGCAAGGTCAATTCGTGCGCACCACTGACATTTGCAACAACCTGTTTTTCAGAAATCGGCGACGGCCGTGCTCAAGGATTCCCGAAGTCGACCTCTCTTACTGGAAGTATTAATATATTTGAACCAATAAATTATTCTGACTCACGGGCAGGGCGTTGCTGGTTGTTGCCTTCTCTTTTTCCTGATGTTGACAGTTCACCCGAATTTGGGGTCGAGAGTAAAAGTTCTTAGATAGTCCGCACTCGGTGCATAATCCTCACCTGGTGCTTAGACGACACAAAAAATCTTCTCATTCACAAAATCCGTCACGTCTCCTCATAATAAACAATCGTAAAAAAAAAAAAAAAAAAAAAAAAAAAACTTCTATAGTTTGCACGCGATAGATAGTCCGCACAGCCTAAAATTTCAACTTTTAAACATGTATAGTGCGCCGACTATAGCCCGGAAAATACGGTATATTATTCGTATTACAGGATGACGCATTTTAAAGGGCCACTGGAAATTCAAAAACAAAAATGTTTTTTAAGCAGTTTGGTTGAGACACGCGTGTCAAAAAAATAAATTTACGCGAAAAAAAAAAAGAGCAATATTGACATTGCGAGACTCAGTTTAGTCCGTAGTCACCTCCTTTCCACCTGTTTTCTCTCGGCATTTCGGGCGCGTGGAGGAGCTTGGCCTTGGCCATCATCGATGAGGTGGAGAGAGTGTATGACCATCGCATTGAGGTGGAAAGAGTGTATGACCATGCCGTGACGTCATGGACTTTACGCGCAGAATTTAAAATGATCTCGCGCCGTCGAAATTGCTCTAAATTTTCTTTTCCCGTAAAATTTAATTTTCGACACGCGTGTCCCCACTAATTTTTTTTTTTAATTTACGTTGTTTTCCTAATGCCTTGAAAGAGTGTAGGTTGCTGTAAGTTAGGACGAAAGGATAAACATCTCCGTGCATATCTTCAGAGAGGCCCCTTCACACATTGTCAACCAAATAAGAGATACAAGACCGGTTTTTAAGCCTCTTGCGACGGCTCCGTAGCAGGTCATCCGGTCCTAAGCTGCTGCAGAGGCTTAAAAACCGGTCTTGGCCGGTCGGTCCTACCCGGTAGCAAGTGTGTGAACGGCCCTTTAGATTTATGAGAAATACATTCTTTACGGCGACACGATGTAGCGCCAGCGATTGGAGCCAGATTCAAAAGTTTCGAAACTTCGCTGTCTAATTCAAAAGATCTTCAAAAATATCCAATAAAAACCATTAAACCCCCCTCCCCCTCCCCCTGCACCCCCCCCCCCCCCCCCGAAAAAAAAAATTGTTTATAATTTTTGATTTAGGCAACAACAGGTCCTGAAGTTTTTTTAATATTATCCCAATTACTAACGCTGCACTCGGGCAGAGACGTACGGAACGTTAGGAGATGCGGAGATGCCAACGAGGTTGAGGAGATGCGTTGTTTATTTCTACCAAGCGAAATTCTTGTTCTTTTTTCTCCGAGGCAGTCGGTAAATCCCGTAAATCTACCACCTAACTGCATATTCGCGAACAATTTCAACAGTTTAGTGTACTGCACTGAAGCACACTGCAGAACTCTCTACGGAAAACGAAACCAGAAATTTGTCACCTTGGTTACCACCTCATTGGTTACTACATTTGTTTACCTAATAAACACGACGTTCAAAATAAAGGTTTGACAAAGGTTTTATCTCATATTTATCAAATCTCACACTTTTCAGCTATGCACTTCTTTGAGTGGAAGAGCTTTGACGAGCGCTCAGCCACTCCATCGCCAGCGACAATAAATATTGCCGTCCGGTTTTGGTATCGACGAGCAATGCTGCGAGTGCTACGATAGTGGGAAAAAAATCCCTCCACCCCAGCCTCCAATTTTGCCCAGGTATGCCTCATTTCCTTTCCCGCATACTCGAAAGAGACCTCTCAACGCTCCGTACCCACGGACATGCTTGCGGGGCTCGTACATAACGGACAACTACTCCATGCTAGCGCTCGCCAGCTGATGTCAAAGATGTCAGCATGCCAACACGATTAGGCTTTCTCTTCGAGTGCGAATGATACCGGAGCCGTAAAAGCTAGTCATGATCGTATGACATCGGCAACCTGTTTCTGGGTGATCGGAAGCTTTAACGAAAGCCTGTTGCCCAACTGACTTTTCGTCAGTGAATCATCGTAGCTGCGGCGAGATCTCGTGATCGCTCCTCTGGAGGTTGCAGTTTTCGAAAGATTTTTGTAGTGACAAGAGGTGCAGGCGGTGTGATATCGAGTTGGCCTCATCGCGTAGGTTAGATCCACCCAACATTAACCAGCACATTGCCTAAAGAACAAATTTAAAATCGGCTCCAGTTTTCTTTTCTTTTTCATCTCATTGTTTGGTCTTTGCTCGTGGCTACCAGTTGTCAGCACAAAACAACAACAACAACAAGCTTTTACTATAAAGTATCTTTCTCCCAACATCTTTCAGGAAGATGTTTGAGGAAGGCCATTATTCACGAATTTTTGCGGCAAACCGATCTTGTGTCATTTTGTTTGTTGGCGTTATGATCGATCGGAGCCCATGGTCCACCAGGCAAGGCCTTCGGGTGTAAACCAAGCAAAAGTCGAAACTCGAAAGAGTTGAAACACGAATCGCGGTAACCCGAAAGTCTCAGATTCTGACAAGTTTAAATCATATTTCGGTTAACATTCTTCTTAAGCACAACGAAGGTTCTGGTAGTGCGGACGCATTCTGACGATGGAATGCAGCTGTTGAACCACGCATGGGGATGGGACCGCCAGTTGCATGAACACTCCTTCGCTGGTTCCATCCCATGAATCACTATGATTGGCTCCCGAATGCTCATGGGGAACGACAGACACATCCCATCGTTTTCAATTTGTTCTCAAAATGCACATAGTCTGACTTCTCGAGCGTGACCTCTGCCACCTTTACTCTGTTTTACGTCCCAATGTTTACATATCCGGAGTGCAAGTTCGTCTGCTTCTTTTACGATGGCTGTGGTGACGTCAGAACGCCGAGCTCTGGGGGCTATGTTGCACGTTTTAGACCCCCAGGCAACTAGGGAGAAGGAAGTGACGTCAACAACACTCTTTGGATGTTGATTGGTGGAGTCGCTGATGACGCATTGCGTGGTGCTTAACCTTAAATTGCAAGCTTCACCCTTGTTGGTGTTAGACTGGTGGCGGCTGATAAAACCCGTTTGCTCTACTGATTGTCTAACCCCTGGTTAGCTCAATTGGTAGAGCGCTCCACCTGTAATGGAGAGGTCCCGGGTTCGATACCCGGACCAGGCAGATTTTTTCGGTCGCGCACCAGTCACCTAGCTGTGTTTGGAGATTTGTGTTTGTCCCTTGTCCCCCTTGTTCCCCTTCTCCAGGGTTTATTTTCGTCATTCATGTCCAGCTCGCTTGCACCTTTGCATTTAATTGCATTATAATCATAACCTTAAATTGCAAGCTTCACCCTTGTTGGTGTTAGACTGGTGGCGGCTGATAAAACCCGTTTGCTCAACTGATTGTCTAACCCCTGGTTAGCTCAATTGGTAGAGCGCTCCACCTGTAATGGAGAGGTCCCGGGTTCGATACCCGGACCAGGCGGATTTTTTCGGTCGCGCACCAGTCACCTAGCTGTTTTTGGAGATTTGTGTTTGTCCTTTGTCCCTCTTGTTCCCCTTCTCCAGGGTTTATTTTCGTCATTCTTGTCCAGCTCACTTGCACCTTTGCATTTAATTGCATTATAATGCTAAGATACGTTCACTCACACCTACGTCACTTCCTTCTCCCTAGTCTTCTGGGAGTCCAAAACGTGCAACATAGCCCCCCAAATTTGCTCTGATTGAAGGTTTGTGGGTAGACCTCAAAGCAAGCTGCCTTGAGGTCTAACCACGATCCTTGAATCAGCCAATTGGAGCTCGGCATTCTGGCGTCACCACAATCCGTGCAAAAGAAGCAGACGAACCTGTGCTCCGCATTGTATGGTACCAGCTGGGACGCATCTCTTGTATGTTTAGCATCCCACAGTGCCCTCAAGTGGCAACAAATTATGTTGGAAGGGCAGGCATGTCACCCTGTTAGATGTCGCGACCCTGTGCAATCGGTACCTTAAGTTTAAGAGCGAACACGAGCGTTGCTGTCGTCGCAGTGTCCCAGCTCCTGGGTGCTGAATCGTCCGTGAATTGTGAAGCTGAAGAGCAATCCACAGCAGAACGGTCGTCTGCCGTATCCACCTTTGCTTCTGTGGCACTGCCAGGATCATGACAGGCAACAGCATGACGATTCTATGTCGTATATGCACTTCTAAGCCAGCTTTGGGAATAAAATCATATGCACGTCCCTGGATTTTATTTACGGAGTTGGCTTAGAAGTGCAAATATGATTCCCCCCTCCCATACTGCAAGTCCAGGCCAAGCCACTATCTACTCATTCGATCCCCTCCTCCTTTCCCCCTAAAGGGGCCTAAATAAATGTTTTACTATTATTATCTGGAGTGACCATAATCTACAACGTAGAAAGCAAGGCAGGGGGGGGGTTGGGGTGCGAGCGGAGTTTAAGGAAAAAACAAGCTCTGCTACTATTCAGTTCACTGCAAATGCACACTTCTCCAAAGTTTTTTTGTTTAGTTGAGTACACAGGCACCTTCCCTCTTCATTTTAAACAAAACCAAAGCGTGCCAATTATGGTAATATAGAAAAGTTCCCCAAACAAACGTCTGTCTGAACGGAACATATAGGCAGATGGAGCTACATAAAGAGCTTTGAATTGCCTCTATGGGAGGTAAAATTTTTAAAGTATGTTCCCTTACATTCTGTTCGTTATATTTATAAATTGTATTGGGTATTCTTTTAGATTTCTTCCACTTGTTTAGCATTCACTTAGCAACTATGCATGCACATTCCCATGCAAACGGGACGTGAGGCTTCATTGAGAATAAATGTGGAGATGGCGAAAATGCGCCACTGAAACTTCTCGTGTCCTGGCCAAAACAGGACATCTGGTCACCCTACTACAATGGCGTCATCAGGCGGGAATCGAGGGACCACAAATGAGGACATGGAAGTGCACCAATAGGGGTCGGTGACGCGTTCCAGGTACCATAGCTTTAGCTGTGCCTCGACCTGTGCCTGTGGCACTTGGCGCAACAGTGGGTGCCGTCATCCACGGATAAGCAGAAGAGACACCCTGCCAGACACCACTTCCCTCCCATAGCATAAGGTGTAGTGTTTTTCTGCCTTGTCATCACTTTCAAACACCGCGGTTTAGGTTTCGGGCGATGCGAGAGCGGTCATGCCGGCGTCACTGCTCTGGGCGGTGGACAGCGGTGGCCGGGTGTCCACCCTGTCCACGGGCGGTGTGCGGTGGCAGGAGCTGCCGTACTCCGGGATCGACCTCAAGAGGGTGTCGGCGCTGCGTTCGTGCGCTTGGGGGGTGGCCAGCGACCACCAGGTGTACGTGTTCGTTCCACAAGGGGACGTTCCCATACGGGTGCCTGAGGTCACCTACGAGAATCAGGTGGGCTTGCTCTCGGCGTCTTTCCATCGTTAAAGAAAGGGAGACAACAGACCCTTCTCAAGGGTTAGAGTCGGACATACTCTATTTCACTTTACAACGTACCACAAAAAGCGTTACGAGCCATGAAGTCAATACAATGCCGTGCGATTGTCATGTTGTCTTCCAAAGGAGTGGAGTGACCTGCAGGGTGCGTACTGGTTACATGATATGTTTGAAGTGCTAGATAGGCTGGGGTGCTTCATAATGTCTGCTGCGGTCCACCCTAAGGTGAAACAGAGCATAGCTACAGTCACAAAATCTACTGAATGGCGGCGATGAAAGAATGAATTGCCCAAAAAATGCATACCCTCAACTTTGTCAGTCATTCAAAGGTGACACACGTAATAATTTTTCATAAAGACATTGAGACCTCTCTAATCGTCAGAAACGCCTCCTCGTAAAGACAGCAACAAAAAAAAGCTATCCTTTGATTGGCCGTGGGTCAAATGAAACATTCTCTTGGATTGGAAAGTGGAGTTTGTTGAAGGATGTCCTCGAGGTCATTAAGAATTCAGTACTTGCTTTGTTGCTTGTAAGTCTCTGGATTACTAAGTTTGGTGTCATCCTGGGCGGTCCAGATATCCAGTTGTTTTGCCACCCTCTTTGTGAGATCCAGATATCCAGTTATTTTGCCACCCGCGTGACTGTGAGAGGTTTCAATGTTTGTATAGAATCAATTTTGTTGAAGAAAGCTGTAATTGTGTTTGAGGTGCTGCATGTGGTTATTTTGCATTTTTTATTTTCCTGCGTCAGGTTTATTAGGGAGTTCGTTCAGCTACTTGCCCGTGTTTTTACCCTTGCTTCCGTAGTCATATCTTGTTGTGGGAGCGAATAATCGAGCCCTGCTTAAAGTTGCTTTTTATTGCTACTGTCGGGGAAACATACGACTGGCCATTGCCTCACTCTTCTCATTCTCCAAACTCTGTCAATGCTATGGTCCCCGACAGCTTAAGAAACGTGGGGTGCCGTTTGTTGGGTTCATGATTCGTACGTTGGCACTCTTGCCGGCTAACGCCACAACCTCATCGGCCATGGAGCGGCAATTGATGCTTGGTTGTCACTACGTCCTACGTTTTCTTCGGCTGTCAGTGACCACAAAAACACCGATACAGTGGAATATTTTGCGCTCAAATTGACTTGCTAAAAAGAGAAGGGAAGTGCACTCTGCAGGATCAAGGTTCAACCACTCTCCGGTATTGCACGCGTTTGCCCTCGCATGCCATCGTCGGATTCTTGCAGTGTCGCCTCCCTCTCTCGCACGATAGATCTACCCGATGCACTCGTCGTTCCCGGTATGCCGATTCTCGTTTCTTTGGGACGTAGCGCTGGAACCCAAGGGAGGGCTTCTGCTCGCGTCTGCTTCCGACGGACCGCCCCAGCTGGAGCAGCCAGGACGGACTCGTAGCCCGGTCCAAGGAGTCCATCCGACTCCCGTCGTCCGGATGGCAGTGGGAGGGCTGCTGGTACATCGAGGACAACCTGGACGGACAGCCGCTCGGAAGCGAGGTATGCCCGCCGGCCGACTCGGGACCGCGCCTCCGCAATATATCAAACAGATACGAAACTATGGTGCCTAGAACGCGTCTTTGAATGGTGTGTTTAGCGTCCTATTCCGCCCATGCATCTAAAGTGGTCCAAAAGTTGCAACAGATGGCTTTGGAGAAGCTGGTGTGTCATGCCATCAGATGTCGCGATCCCGCCGGTTGGTCTTAGAAGTTCCGGGGAAAAGTATGAGCGAATGGGAGTGTCCCCGTCGTTCTGGCGTCCCGTCTGCTTGCTGCTGAAGCTTCCGTAGACTGTCAAGCTGGAGAGCAGCCGGCAGCAGAGCGGCGTCTGCGAAATCCACCACTGCTGCCATGCTACCGCCAGGATTGCTGAAGGCAGCAGCATGGCACTTCTGCGATGTCATCAGGCAGGAATTGAGGGACCACTTTTGAGGATGTTGTAGATGCGCCAGTTATTGAAGATGCCTTCCAGGCATCATGGTTTTGACTACCGGTAAAGCGATGCACCTTGGGACTTGTTGTATGGCTTCAGTGCTGGCAAAGGCTAAGGGCGTGAGCGTGTGGTTTTCAAAGACGCTTTTTGTGTTTGGGTGCTCGTGCAAACAAAACATTCTCTAAACTCTAGAGCTATGCTCTCATGCCCGTGCCTTCATCAGCACTGAAGGCACCTTGTGGATTACCGGTTTTCACACTAGGTTTATGGGAACAGAGGTATGTTCTCCTGGAGTATCTTCGGGGGTTCCTTGGGGACTCTGTGGAGTTTCTTTTACGTCCAGGTTATGAGAGTACCATTGGTAAAGTCAGCTACATAGGGTACTCTACATAAACATCTTAACTTTTGTGAGAAACTAATTTTTTGCAAACTTGTTGATTTAAAAGAAGTATGAAAAAATTGGTCACGGGAATACATCTGCCCCACTCTTGAAAAGAAAAGTGCTTTATTTGTCGACCCTGGCTAGGTAGTGCAAGCTACTGTCTCTTATAAAGGGTACAGGCATTACCATTCTTTTACTAGGTGCTTCCCACTTCTGTCTACAATAGTAAAGGATACCCTTTTCACACTGTGGTTAGTTATCTTATTTTATACCCGCCTATTTCCCTTTTTCCTTAGGGACAGGGTCCCCCATCACTCTGGCGTGTCTCTAAAGGTTCCCCGACAGATCCATGCTTGAGAATTACTGCCCTACAGTAAAAAACAGATAGCATATCACAGTGGCGTAGCCAAAAAATATTTTCGGGAGGTGTTTCAAGGTGCTGATGCAATCACACGCACAATAAAAAAGTATATATATATTTACATATATCCATACTTTTTGAAATGATATGCCTGGCTATGCGCCTGGCATATCACTTCGAATCGTGGAGCATTGCCCCCGTGAAACATTTCCAAAGCTCGCACTTTGTAGATTTTGCAAAATGTCGAGCCTGCAAAAACACAGTTGAATATTATAAAGAATTTTTTTCTAGAAGGTAAAACTAAACTCTTTTTTTCCTCCACGCATAAATTAAAACAGGTTGCTGTTTAAGTGGCCCTTTTGAATGCAATCTGCTGTTAGTTAATTAATTCTAGAGCCACCAAGAAAACCTATCTGTCAGTCACAGTAACGACACTACGGCCATGTGGGTCCTTAAATTTTTGGTTGCTATGGTGCCTGCTTTTTCCCTTTTGTACCCCGTCGAATCAGTTGAAATGCCCGTGGAGGACGGCCGGTTTGTCGTCTGCTATCGGGATTGGGCGTGCTACCTTTCCCGTTAGAATGTCCGAATGCATGTACTAGGTGGTGCTGCAGTTAAACAAAATGGTGCTGCCCAGAGAGCTTTCAGTCGAACGGTCTGTACTAACCGCCGTTTCCCATCAGGGCTGGAGTTACTGCGTGGACTTTCCGTTCACGTACACCCTCGAGAAGAAGTGGAACTCCATGGTCCGCCGTCGGAAGTGGATCCGGCATCGGCGGTACGTGGCCACGGACCGTTGGGCCAAGGTGCGGCAGTTTAACGAGAACGTTGGAACTCGCTAGGTACAAATAAAAAGGCACAAAAGGGACCAAAACAAGAGAGTACACAGGGCAGGTGCTAGTCTGTCTATCTCTCTTGTATTTGTCTTTTTTGCTCTATTTTATTTTTATCTTATTATGTGTCAACAAGCCTAGCAACATACTTTTCTTGAAACTCATATATTTGTACTTGACTTGCTGTTGCTGCATTTTGGATAGGTGTAAAAAACTCAAAGAGCAAAAAGAATTTGAAACGGCAGGCCTTCAAACCTGAGTTATGCATAAAAATGTCAATTTTATACTTGGGAGAAAAAAAAAAAAATTTAGGAAGAAATGGATTTAAGTTGCAAAATATTTTCATTGTTCAGGATCTGAAAAACAGTCTTCCTCAGGGGCTGTAATAGTATTCTCTGCTTTTATGAATTGAACGTTGAAGCCCCACATATTCTGCCAGATGACAGAAAAAATGGATCTGGCTTTAATAATGTGTAGCTGTTAAACTAAAAAGTATGAACTTTTTTTTTTTTTTCCCCCCTGAATGCAACTTTGGGAAGCATGAAGGGACCTGAATCAATGCTGTATGCGTATTTGATGACGCACATCTCGAACAAAAGAACGTTCATGACAGTATTTGCAGAAATAACTGAAGTGAAGCGAGTCTGTTTCTTTATAATTTATCGAAGTGCTGGTATTTGATCACATAATTATTCAACCTAAACTGAAACGAGTCTGGAAAGAACTTTTGCATCTCCAATTCTATATACTGTTCCCTGGATTGGGTTGGATCGGAGGCCAATCTCGTTGGTGTGGTCTGAATAATGGTGGCGATGTGGGTTAGTTGGTTCATAGTGACGAAAAGGCAAACAGTGCACAGTAAACGGGGACTAAAGGAAGTGCAAACAGGACAGTTGAGAGTCAGCGCTTGTCCTGTTTGCACTTCCTTTAGTCCCCGTTTACTGTGTGCTGTTTGCCTTTTCGTTGATGTGGTCCTCTGCTTACCTAAGTTTGATTGGCGTGTGGTTACGTTAGGTGAAGTTAGGCTAGGTTGCACTGCTTTAATGTGTATATGGATCGTCTCTGTGATTGCGGTGCAGATTGAAGGCGTCCATTCGGATCCCATTGCGGAACCGTTTGTGGACATTGCCGTTGGCGGGAACGAGGTCCCCGGTGGAGATCCGGACCACGTCATCGTTTGGGCCGTCACCGTGCAGGGACGTGTGAGTTGCTGCTGCTCTTTGAATGAAGATGTAGGGCGTCGGCCGAGTAATCTTAGCCCTCGTTGCTCCCACTTCTAAAACAAACTAGGCGTTGCCAAACGCTCCGCCTTCTGCTAGGACGCGGCTCCGGCGGTTAAGGTCAGACTTCAAAGTTTCAGAATCTAGTAGTTTAGCATAAATTGAAAGTTAGAAGCGATTTTTTGAATGGATGGCTACATCCTTTTTATTAGATGATTGCAGTCACAAAAGCTGTCACAACTCTTCACGATTCTCGTCCCAAGACGAGAATCGTGAAGATATAGAGAATTAATTTGTTTAAGGAAAGACACTACCCAGAAAAAAAATTTCTGCAAAAAAAGTTGATTTTGAAAAATGACATATTTATATCTCCCAACTTCTAGAGAGTATTCCCAGAAAGTTTCACTAGTTTACACTGTATAGTTAATATTTTGTAAATTATTTTCTGTCCACCGATGCGAAAGAAAAGGTAGGGATTGGAGCAGTTGGAACACATCTTTCTCCGTTCCACTTTTTGGCATAAAGGTTCACTTTAGAACGAGAACTTATATTAGTTGCGAAATTTAATATAAACTGAATTCAAAATGGCAAAAAAATTTTCAAGACCAGGGTCTTTCCTTAACCTAGCAAACTTTTAGATTTTTTATGTCACGGTGCTCAGCAGCAAAAAGTGTCGATCAATCCGAGCGCTCGCCTTAGAAAGAAAAGACTCCTTTTGATTGGCACTCTTTTCTTTTTTACGGTCTCTCCTTCCATCTTTTGGGGCATTCCACATTTTCCGCCACAACCTCCACTCAGGTGATGTTCCGAAATCACGTGACGCGCCTGTGTCCGGAGGGCACCAGTTGGTCCCACATCCCCGTCCCCGAGAGCTCGGAAGTGACCCAGGTGTCGGTGGGGCCGACGGGTCTGACCTGGGCTGTGGCCTGGAACGGCACCGCCCTCGTCCGGCTGGGGGTGTCCCGGGAGAACTACGCAGGTAGGCTCTCCTCTGCCACTCCATCGGAAACGGGTCCCCGACCGGCGTGCTCGCCGCTTTCTCGTTCTTGGCTTCCCAATTTCAGTCTGATGGTGTATGAGGAGTGCAAGTTCGTCTGCTTTTTTATTTTAGGGGTTGGGATGACGTCAGAACGTCGAACTCTAATTGTAGGACAGCAGGTAGATTTCAAAGCAAGCTGCCTTGAGGTCTACCAACTATCCTTCAATCGAAGCTCGGCGTTGTTCTGGCGTCACCGCAATCCCTGCAAAAGAGTTGCAGACGAGCTTGTGCTCCGCATTGGGTGCGGTGCGCCTGGCCAGAGGGGGTCAAGTGCGGGAAGAAATGCGTGGACCTCTCTCCATGTCCGCTGGCTTCTAGGAAGGTCTTTCGTTAGCACCTTTGCTCCGCCGTCAATGCCTGTCCGTGGGTTTCTTGGACGCCTGCGGGTCTCCCGGAAAGGCTGTTCATTACAACGTATACGCATACGCATATACGCGTTTGTAGGTATGCGTACTACTTACTACGCACTCGTGCGTATAAGTCCTATACGCACAAAACTTCGGGACTTCTGACGCGTGGGTAATATGGGAAACCAAACGTACCAGTTGGGGACACATTTCAGGTGCTGCAGCGCTACCCATTCCTTCGTCGAAAGGTGTGTTTTCGAGTGCCAGGAAAGCTTCGGGGGTGTGTTACCTAAGCCGCAAGAAGCACACGTTGGATGCAAATCCGAGAAATCGTGATTTGATAGCCGGATTACGTAGGAAGCCTCTCTGTAGTAAACACTGACGTAACGAAGGTATGGATGCCGTGAACCAAAGTGAATATGCTTCTAATACTGCATGGTACTGGCACTTGAGGTACTGATTAGTACTATACATAAATAAATAGGTACTAGGTATATCCCAGCTGCATACAGGAATTCCATTTAGTTGAGCTTTTATTGAGTACTGTTTAGAGCTTAAATTGCATTTAGTGTAGGAGCATCATTCACATCAGATTAGTGGTTTGCAGTTAGTGAAGGCTAGGCTTAGATTATTATGGCCTTTATACCCTGATTGGTAGAATACATAATGTATGCTGTAATTGACATAGTAATATTGGCGAGGAATTAATTTTTGCAACTTGAATAATATTACAAAAAGTAGGTCCCGCAAATATGTTTACCTCTGGTGACATGTAACTGTATAGTATACCAAAATCTTGTGCCCAAAGAATGTTCCCAAAGGTCACCCTTTGCCAAATTCACGACATATTGAACCCGCGAAAATAAAGTCGTTGACAGTATTAGGTTTTGGTTAGTCCTATTTAAACTTAGGCCAGTGTGCGTGTCTGTCCTTTCCATACGCCTTCTTCCTGCTTTCTTGGCCTCAGATTGTAGTTATGTCTAGGTTATATCCAGTATAAATACTCACACTGAATTAGTGGGCTTTAACTAGTGTCGATGCAAAGTCTAGGATAGTTGCCAAATTTAGAATAGCTCGACTTGTATTTCTGATGACTTGAGCAGTGCACGTTGGTCTTTGATTAGTCTTTAGTTAGATTAGGCTAGGTTTTAAGATATGACTTTGTGTGGGAAACTATGTTAAACCTTGATTGGTCAGGGCTAAGGCTTAAATAAGAGCCAGGTCCTGGTCACAGTCTAGTCCCACGTCCACATATTAAAGGGGAGTTTGTTGCAAATCGAGGGGGAAAAACGTGGCATCCGCCACTCTTTTCCGCTTCTTGCGCGTTACTTGACTCGTCGACTGCTTTGTCACAACTGGTAACCGTTGACAAATTCGTTGATTCTGGTTGATGTGGATGCAGGGTCGGACTGGGCAGAGGTGGCCGCTCCGGAGAACGACGACAAGCTGCTCCAGGTGGCCGTCGGACACAACACTCTTTGGGCCGTCGGGAGAAGCGGGACGGTAAGAGTTCTTTTGCTCGTACGCTCCGTGTTCGTTTGCTGTCGGTAGAAGTTCTCGAAGAGAAGTTTTCGGGAAGCCTCATACCATTTACAGGTCCCTTCCTCTTCTAACGGTGTCGCTAGGTGCTCCACGCAGCGCCACCTAGCTTGCGTCCACGTCGTTACGTGGCCGTTTGCAGGGTCTCCGTACGAGAGCTACGTTAACTTGCACGCGTCTGGCATTTTGCAGCGCACTCTCATCAAGCTTTGGCGAGCTTGCCACTTGGGTAGGGTCCCGCACCTGTGAACGATGATGTGATGCACGGGCCTTTTCTTTTAGGTGGTATCTCTCATGGTGTATTCCTGTCGGACGACGCCGTAGAGGTCCTTTTTACGAAATCTCCGATCCTCTAAAGGCTATTTTGCCGTCACGCTTCCGACAAAATGGCACTTGCCGCCGAAGTTGGTGGGTGTTTCAGTGTTGACGACTAGCACGGGAAACAAAAAGTTAAAATATCATTACAACAATTTTAAACCTGCTTAAGATATCATTAGTATGTCAATTTAATTCTAACGATTTTAAAATGCATGAAATTAAAAAAGTAAGCGTTAGCTAGCGGTTTTAATGTCATTTTTAGATTTCAGCCAATAACGTAACCTATCGGACAACCTCAAGGATGACTTCTAGGACGACCTCGAGGAGGATGCCTAGAGATGAGAACAACAGATCAGGACCTCACTACCTAATAATGCCAGGGAAGGCTGACTCACGCTGGTTGCCCCTCTTTTTATTTTTATTTAGTCATACTTGACCCCTCTTCTTGTTTTTATTTATTCACACTTGCCACAACCAATGGTGAGTTTTCTGTCGACATTTGTTTGTCCGCTGACACAATAGTGAAGGAACTAGCCCTCAACAGCTTCGCTGTAAAAACCGCTCTGAAAGCAAGAAAAAACAGCCCTCCTATGCCATTGCACAAGACCTATGATGCAGAATTTATTTGGGGTCCTCAAACGGCCTCTGGGTGGGTCAGAGGGTTCGTCACGGCCAAAAGCTTGAGAACCGCTGGCTTGGGAGTTCAACTGACTGGGGCATTAGAGTGGCAGCCGACATTTCGCTAAGAGACTTCGCTTTTTCAGAAGCCAGGTCTCTTTTTCAGGAGCAAGGTCAAAAGATGGCAAGTCTCCACATTTAGGATCTACTTTAACATTAAGATGTCTAAGGCTATTCTCTGCCAAGGCGGTATTCGCGCGAAATGTGACGACTGCGTTGAAATTGGCTCAAGACATTTCCTCGAGCTCGGTATAGGTCACAGGTGGTGCGGGGACTATTATGTGGCGAGTAGACTGTTTAATTTAATGGAGACGCCGAAAGGCGGTACCCAGATTTCGCTACGAGCTTTGTTTGTTCGCTTCTCGGGTGGCAGAATTCCTTCCAGAATGTGGGAAAACATAAATTAGGATGCCATTTGTTTTCGCATTCGCAGGTCTGGTTCCGTAAGGGCATTCACGGAGACGACTTGGGCTGTCGTGCCTCCATTACGGGCTCTGGCTGGGTGAAGATGGTGGGTGAGATGGCTATGATCAGCGTTGGCCCCAACGACCAGGTGATTCTCTGATTCGTTTGCAAACCGAAGCTTTTGCTCCATTGGCTGCACTGGGACTTTTTGCAGCACAATCAAATAGGGAACTAAACTTCTCCAATCTGAAAGTTTGCTGTGTTTGGTTGCAGTATATTTTGGACAGTAGCTATATTTTGGACTCTTTCTTTGGAGGGGTGGGGGTTAGGTTGTCTTTTGGGGATAAGCTATTTTCCAGGGGTGGGTCATCTCTTGGGGGTTAGGCTATTCTTTTTGGAGTAGGTTACCTTTGTGGGGGTGGACTCTTTTTTTGGAGGTTGGTTATCAGTTTCGAATAGTCTATCGATTGCTTGCAAGCTAACTTGTGTTGATATGTTTTTTTTTGGGGGTGGGGGTGTTCCTAGGAATGTAATAGTATTATCTGGTGTGGGCTATGATTACCTTTGAGGGAGTAGACTATCATTTTGGTGCAAGTTATTTTAGAAGCAATTTTTCAGAGTGTAGGCTGCCTCTTGGTGATGGATTATCTTTCGTGGTTGAATTATTTTTGAGCGATGAACTAGCGTACGGGGCTGGGATACCTGTCGGGATACTGTTGCAGCCTAATGAAATACTTCCCGATCGCCAATGGCAGTAAGCACAGCCGATCGTCGAGAGAATCAGAGGTGGCTCTTACCTTGCGCACGCAGGTGTGGGGCATCACGCGCGACGACCGTCGCCTGACCTTGCGCACGGGGGTGACCCTGCACGAGGCATGCGGCCGGGAGTGGAAGGAGATAGTCGCTCCTTTCGGAAACGCTCCGAGCCGCTCCAGCAGTCTGACCTCTCTGGCTTCCCTGGGTAGCCTGAGGCTGACCTCATCGCCGGCCGCCCCGACGCAATTGACGATGGTCACGGCGACGTTGGTGGAGGCGAACGACGCCAAGGGATTCACGTTTGAACGGAAGGCTGTCTCTCTGCAAGGGTCGCCTTCGAGCTCATTGGGAGAGGTCGGCTCCCCCGCGAAGCGGGTAAGCTCGCGTGCCTTGTGCTTCTTACTTTAAAGGCCGGTCCACACACTCGAGACAGCTTACGACCGGGCGCCTTACGACCTCTCGTGATCTTTTACGACGACGGAGACCTTCGGCGCCACCTATGGGTTGCCGTGGATCGATCGGGATTTCCGTACATTCGCTATATTTTTCGCGCATCATTCTTTCTCTATTTGCTCGAAAAACTTTAGACGACGTTACAAATGACCATTTCTCGCCGACAGTACCGCAAAGCCTTCGCTCTAGGGAAATGCAGTTCCAGGGCCGCCTCATAGATGACGGCAGCAGGACAGTATGTTCTCTCGTCTTAAGGGGGACATGGGCCTAAATTTTAAATTTTTTTGAAAAAATTCATTTTTTAATTTTGACATTTTCAGTTTTAGGAACTAATTATACACCCTTACACCAAATTTGATAACCATACGCCAAATAGTTAAGTTGATATAAAATATTTTCAACACATTGTGAGGCAGTAACAAAGTAAAGGAGTTCAATGTTTGAATGCATTTTTCTCAGTTCCACTTTTTGCTGCAAATTTCATATGAAGGAATCTTTTGTTCGAAGGTGAAAGTATTCTGATACCACAATCAAGATGTTTCTGAACTGAAATTTACTCAGGAATTGGGCTATCTACTTCATTTTGTTTTAGGTTGTAGTCCTCAGTGATAAAAAACTAAGTTTTCAAAAACTGACAGTGGACAGATATGCATCTCATAGTTTGAGGTAATAACTCTTCCTGAAATATTTACATTTAAGTTATTAAAACTAGATAGCCCGAGGTCCTATATCCCCCACTTTATATTCAAGCTGTCAAAATGATGCTTAATAGCTTGATTTGCATATCATAGATTTCTTAATGAAAAGTGACACATCATCTTATGCAGGTATGTAAATTTGTCCCAGAGAGCTGAAAGTTTGCACAGTACACCTACATCTGAAGCTAAATCTCCCCTGCAAATTTCATTCTGATCACTTGAGTAGTTCAAAAGTTTGACCTCTAGCCAGTGTCCCCCCTTAAGAGATTGCAAGAACTCGGTCGTAAGTAAGCGCAAGTCCTTTTCATTGTAGGAAAGTCAGTTTTCAAGTAAGAAAATTTTCACCGCATCAGCATCTTCGCTATGGTCGGTGACGAGTTAAGAATGCATTAGATTCTCCTCCTCCAGCGCGAGTTTTCTGCCTTTGATGGCACTTCGTCGCATGTGTGGCCAGAGCCTGGTGGAAAACAATGAGCGCATGATGGTGGTGGAGCTTCCACTAAATTCCTAGCCATCTCCAATGCCCACACTCTATCCGCGTTATAACCGTCTCGGTGGGTCCGAGGCGAAGTGCCGGCCTATGGATCCCCAGTTGGCGGGTTAGAATCCCCGGGTGGCGGGTTTGAATCCCAGCCAAGTTGCACACAATCCGACGGAGGCTCACTGCTGAGAAGGCAACGTGCAAACGAGATTTCGGTTGGCAGTAGGAAGATCCCTGGGTGGTTCAAATGAATCTTAGTTCTCCGCTGCAGTGTGCCAGATGCCCTTCGTTGGTTCGTCACGTAACACCCCGGAATTTGACTTCTATCCCCGTGCTACGAGCACACTTCGCCTCTACTATAACCATATCTTTGACGCTGGTGGGATGGTGCCAAGTGCTTTTGTTCGGAGGACGAGCGACGAGCGGCAGGGCCGAAGTGTTCTGGGATTGCAGCAGGGATTGGCTCGGGTTTGAGCCGTGGGAATGGGTTCACCTTTCGTTTGAAAAGTGTGGCAACCTTTGGGGGCTAGGATATGAGAAAGGTTTATTGAAAAAACTTTTAGCTCAGTTTGAGACTTTGTCCTTCCGTCACTTTTACCTTCCTCTTCCACGGTTTGATGTTTCCTAGGTGTCTCGCCCCAGTCTCAAGCAATTCAACGAAATGGTAAATCTTCAGTGCGTCAGACCTATTTTTCTACAATGGGGGGGTTCTGCTTTATAATTTGATTGAAGGCAGTTCTCTTGATTGATCAGTTTTTGTTTTTGTATTGTGGATGCATGTTCGCAAGGAATTTCGTGCATTACAGTTCGGGTTTGTGGTTTTCAGTATTTGCCAACAAACACGGAACATTGTGCGCCGAGTGATATTGTAACAGTTCGGTTGAACCGCGGTTGTCACCAGAAATCTTATCGGCTGTTTTTCAGTTTAATTAAGGTTTTTATCCATATACCTTTTATAGCCGAACTGCCGATTTTATGTGGATGGTCGTCATGGTAGTGCTATCTTTATTATGATATTTGATTAGGACAGCACAAACAACCAAAGGTACATTTGAGGAAGATAGTCACCCTATTTTTAGGGTGACTATCTTTTCACTGACTGTACGTACAAGTGTCGTATCCCTGCAGAATTTTATGCTTGAGAAATAAATGTGGAAAAAATATGTATCTCAAGTCCTGCGAGAAGTAAGTGTTCGAAGCCAGTAGCTTTGACTTTAAGTTAAAAGTTTCTTTAATTGACTGCGATGTAGTGAAGACCCGCACAAAAGCTATTTTAACAATTGTTTCTCACATTGTGGGCTGAAGCGCATGATATTGCCCGTGATCGGTGACTATTCTGAGTGACTTTGCAAGTGATTTGCACGCAGGATTGGGTGGATTCTATCGCAGAGCGGCCTCTGATTCACTCGTCCTCTGGTGATCTTGCGGACTGTTCGTGAGTTTGCTACTTCCTTGTTTTTATAGAATAAGCTTCCACATTTCATAGACTTTTCAATGTAACTTTCAGAAGTCCGTGATTGCAGATGCCTTCTATGCAGTCCTATGTTTTTCTGAATGCAAGACATTCTTCTTACATGTCCTTTGTTTTCATTCTTTTTCTTGAGTACACCTAATCAAAATTCCAGCTGGCATTAAGTTGTGGCCAGCCTGGATACATTGTTTGATGACCGTTATTGAGAGAAATCACACGGTTTTGATTGGGGAATTCAATTGCAGCGGCGTGATACTGTCTGGGGACTGGTCGGCGTCGAGGGAGCTCATTGGCTCGGTGATGTGGTCGTGGGTGAGCGGCACCGCTTGCACCATCGACTACCCCAACTCACTGCCGGCGTGGTTCAGTCCAACTGGCAAGTTTTGCTTGACATTTCTTTTGAGGAGAAGCGGCTCTTTGTATGTCTTTTAACGCAGAATGTGTTTATAGGCCAGGATCGCTGAGCAAAGGGTGACTGGCGCCACGCAAGATACCGTGCGCCCACCAAGCTTAATGGATCTGCGGTCGCGTTTTCATGGATGTGACTGTAGCATACCGATTTGGGGGAACCAATCATACACGCCCAGTTTCTCTGCTCCTTCCCCTTCCACCCAATTTCAACCGTCGTATCTCGGTTCGATGCGCTGCGATCGCTCGTACGTATCCGCGGCTTACGTGTCGCTGAATTTGGCATGTGGTGTTCATGTGACTCTATCAGCATCACCACTGCCAACACGTGGCCCGATCAAACGACACCGAGTCACGTGATTCGAAGCGCGACGCAGATTCTTCATCGCCCAACTTTCTCCGTAGGATTGCGACACTGGGCTAACCTTTTCCTTGTATAATGGCTTCTGCTAGAGTTGTACGGTGTTGAGGACGTGGTGCAAAGTCTGAAATGTTTTTGTTCCCCGCTCGGTTTTCAGGCAGTCGACACAACAGTGGTGGGCAGAAGGAGTCGGCCGCGTGGCGTCGGACCGTGCTCGCCCGGCTCAAGGACCGACGGAAAAAGGAAACGGAAGACTATCCTAATTACGACAGCGCCGTCGAAAAGGTGCGCGACTTCCGTTGGTTTACAGCCACACTGTTGCAACGCTGCCTTCGTGAACTGCAATTTCTTTTTGGAAATCACTAGACAAGTATTTTTACTGTGTAACAAAGCACTTTAAAGCATTTATTTTTAAAAATTGGCGCGGCGATTGCCGTCAGGCACGCAGTGATCCCCTCTGCTGCCTGTCATTTGTCCGGAGCATTGTGACATCAATGACGGCATCCCCCACCAGCTTAGTGGCGAGGAAGGGTCATCTGACCCCTGCTGATGACGTCACTCTTGCTAGTTCTTGTTTCCGCTTGATCACTTTCCTACCGTCGGCATCCGCAACAGGCAGGCCTACGTCGAAATTTGAATTGGCTGTTACGACGCTTCTACTGATAAGATTGAAATAAAACTTAAGGCACAGAATTTTTAAGGTGTCTACATTACAACTTTTACTGTTTGTTCGAATTCAAGGACCCCTTCAGCTTCCCTTTAAGGGAGCATAGCCGCTGTACTTGTTTGGTCTCCGCTGCAGTTGGTTTTGGACACATAATGAGGATGTCCGCCGACAAATTCGAAGCGCCCTGGGGGCACTTTTTGGTTGGCATCTCTATGCGCATATGTGCACGAGCTTGCAGTTATCACTCTAAAGGCACTTGCGTGGAGCACTTTTGGATTGCTTCAAATCAACCGGTGGAATTCGGCAAATTTTGAGGACAGTTCTGGACAGGTGCCATGTACGAGGATTCATTGTAACTTGCAAGCTGTAATCTTAATGTGTTTTTGGGACGGGTGTTTCTCGAGCACTGACATGCACGTATATATGTGTGCGCTCGTAGACAACCTGGGTGAAGACTACGGTGACGCTTCTGTGGCGCGATACGCCACCCTGCCAGTGGGTGCGCTGCAAACTGGAGCTGGAGAGGCACAGCTCGGAGTCCGAAGACTGCGACGGGTCGGCTATCTTGCGACTCCTCTACAGCCACGGCGGATCGGACAAAAAGGTTTGTCCTAGTAATGCTAAAGTTTCTTAAAACATTTAGGTTTGAGGCTATTTCACGTGGCGCCTTACTTTTGTCGAGCCTGCTCGTATGGCGCCGCGCGATTATCATCATCCTCCTCCTTTCTCGGTGATAATGATGATGATTACTGTCTATTCATAAAACTCCCTTGTGTGAAAGAGCCTCAAACTTTCAGGGCCACTTGGCTAATTAATGTGTCCACACAAGTAAGATAAATTACCCCACCAAAAGTTCTCAAAACATTTGATAAAACTTGTGCATGCGCAGCAAAGACGAGGACGAAGGGAGGACAGGACGCAAACGAGGTGCAACTTCCAACTTATTTTTATTGAAACTCGTTCTGGTTCTTGGAATCTACCTTCGTTACATGATGACAAACCAACTAGCCCAAACAGCCACTCTTCTCAAAACAATGCAGTATCTATGCCTTGATATCAAATTTAAAGGGGCACTGACTTCGATTTTGAGATCATCCTTTTGTGCTGACAACTCAATCTAGATGCTCTAAGCATCCCAACAAACCTGAAATTACAATCATGCGTAGCTTATTTCCTCGTTAAAAGTGTGTTCAAAGATTGCGACGCGCCCTTTTTGGGAAGAATTTTCTTATGAGTTGGTGTCGGCGAAGGGTGCTTGTCGGCAAGTTGGAAGCGATGGCTTCGCCCGCAGAGAAAAAGAGGAGTCTTATCCGAATGCGTACCTACCAGACTCTCTTCAAAACGAGTTATATTAAAATCATTCGTAATCTGCGCGTATTGTAGGTCTTTCATTGGTCCACACAATGTAGTCTGCGAGAGAAAATAGTCCACGTGTTCTTCTCTTGCCCCGAGATGAATAGGCAGTCTTGAAATATAGGACTTGCTCTATGCGGGAACTAACACATTTTAAACAATATACTGTAATATCAAAAATGACCTTTTTCAAAAATGACTTCAGTGCCCCTTGAAGCTTGACTGCCCTTCCCCCCCGCTCAGAAAATGTTGATTCTTGATGCCCGTCATTCTGGCGAATAAAGCTTTCTTACTCCCACTAGCTTCTAGAAGAATTGAAAAGAAACAGAATGACAAATAGATGCAGTCTGAAGGGTGATATGACACACAGACAGGCATTGTTGCCTGTCTGTTTCTGATATAAGTAGTTTTCATCGTTCTCGAGAATAAACTTGTGTTGCAGTTGTCCTTCCTTTCTAACTGAGATTTCAAGCATGAAAAGTTGCACGTTTGTGCATCGGCGATTTATTTTGTGCAGAATGTGTTTAGGGCTAGGCTTTCATATAAATTAGTCCCCTAAGAAGTGTAACGCAAAAGTGTAGCATGAAATTTCCCGCTAGATTTAGTGGGAAGACCTGAACTGCTGTACAACTATGCACCATTTCAAATTCCTGCATACACCAATTCAATTTCCCCGCCAAGCATAGTAGTGGGAAAACGCTTCCAGCCGAGTTTTTTTTACAGAAATAATAGGTGAAATTGTAAGAAGCGTAAAAAAAAGGTTCACTCGATGTTCGGTGCATCTCAGCTTTATCGTGGAGATCGAGCACTCTCGCAGTTTTTGCCCCGTCGCTCCAACGAAGCAACTTCCTTTGTTCCCAGATGGTGATCAACATGGCAGACGTGGTGTCCGTCTCTGACGTGTCCGACCGGGAGCGCCGCATGGGGGGCATCTACACAGAAACGATGAACAGCAAGGGCACCTTCGTCAAGGTCGCCTTCGGCTCGGACCGCGAATTCGAAGACTGGGTTTGTAAGCCATGCCTAGTCTCTCGCGCCGGGGGTGCTCCCACATGGTTGCCCGGAGTATCCCTTAGCGTTTCGCACCCCCTTCCATACTTTGAGCGGTTGGTTGACCCTTTCCGAAATTGCGCCCCATCTAGTTGTAGCTGCTGCGGCAAAAGATTTCAAAATGACGCATAGATTGCGTGCGGCCGCCATTAGGTGGTCGTGCGCTACGAGCACGCATTGGACACGAGCGCTTCGTCTGCATTCGAAGTGTGCTCGGATTGAAACGCATTCCACACGAGTGCTGCATCGGTGCTCGGCGCAAACTCTGAAACAATCGCAGGCTTCAGGAGAGAAGCGACGAGACCAACTAATGGCGCTGTCTATTGTTCAAGTTCGCCATTGTTTGGGTACGTCAGTCTCCCGATTCCTGCTTTGACGCTTCTCTTTCTCTTCCCACCACTAAAAATGCCGTCTATTGTTGATGTCGTAGTTGTAGTAGTCGTTGACGTTGTAGTTGGCTGTGAGGGCATCCGTCGTCAATGTTACAAAATCGTTAAAAAAGATTGCCCGCTGCTGCCTGCGGGAATCACACCTGGGTGCGCCGCTTGCGAAGAGGGGGCATTACCGACCGAGTCAATCTACGGCGCTAACAAACCCGTCTTAATGTAGGCTTTTTGTTGTACCTGATACGTACTGCATGTTACTACATGCACTCTCTGGAAAATAGAAATCGCAGATAAAAAAATGCCGTCGTAACACTGTCAGTGCTAAGAGCTCGTGCCGGGAGACGCGCTTTCATGCACTTCAGAACAAAAAGAAACAAACAGAACAGAGTAGAGAGGAGTGATTCCGTATTTGGAGGGGAGAATTATGTGGCGGCGTGAGACGGCACAAGCGGAGAGCGCGTGCAAAACGCCGGCCAACACGCATGATGTGGAACACAGAGTATTAACCAATGTGGAACACAGAGTTTTAACCACTGCAAGTCAGATTCCTGTTATTTCGTTCCGAACGCTTTTGTTTGCGCACCCCACGGTGCGTGGACGCGACGCCGATGCCCTACGACTTGGCTGCGACTTGTTGCACTTGCTGCTGTGACTGTGCCGTAGATTAACGCGGGACTGCTCAATTTCTTTTTTTCTTGGGAACGACGAAGTTGGCAGCGCTGAACGTCGCGACCTGCGAGACGAGGGGCGTGACCGGCGCTGCGCGTCCTGCCTCCGCGTGGGGCATCTCTCTGCGAGGGGACGTTTTTGTGCACGACTCCGACGCCGCCGACGAGAGCACGCGACCGTCGGATCTGTGAGTTCTTTGGGCACGGCGCCATTCTACTCATTTGCATCGTGAGTGTGACAAAGTGCATCGTGCTCGCTCGTGATCGCTTACTACGAGAGTACACGCTGGCGCACGGGCATCCCCCGGAGCGTTTACGAACTGCCTATAACTGTACTGAAGGTTATGCGTAAATTTGCGAGATCAAAGCCACAAACTGTCTAAGGTCGCTCGTAACACTGTCAGCATTATTCCGAGCCCACGGGGAATGGACTGTGCGCTAAAAGTCATAAATAGGGTTCCGCAGCTTTGGTACGTACCGATAAACCCCGTAAATTAACCCCCCAAGACGGTTTTATCAAAACCGGTGGAAACCGAAAAATGCCGAATCGGAGCTGTACTCGACTGAGCAAAGCCAAAGCTAGGCGATATGAAAATCTGTGTTTACGGTTTCATTTTATGTTAACCCTAAATAGAACTCCCACCGAACTGTCCGGGAGACTGTTTCACTCTTTGGAACCACACCCCCCTCCCCATTTTCATTTCTCTATGGCACAAATACATTCTCTATGTATTCAGGTCATAGCCAATGTTCTCCATAGGTCGGGAAATCCCATCCCCTCGTGTCACCTTCCAAAACACGAGTCCCGATAAATGCCGATCGTTTTTCTGACCCCGGAAATCAACACCGAAGAACACTGAATGAACACCGAATTGAACACCGAAGAAACACCCCAGATTTCAAAGAAAAGTGAACCCATTAAACATGGAACCCTAGCTGTAAAGCATGCATCGCAAACATTCCAAACAACAAATGGCACCGGTGCACCAGCGTTTTCTCGTCTTTAGCAGTCACAAGCGAGTGAAATGCGCTCCATCTCCCTTGGAAGCAAATCCAGAAACGAGGCTTTGGCCGTTACGGTGCACATCACTGCTTCGCAGTTTTGGTTTTCTATACTGGCATTTTGTTGATCGGCACGCTGCCAGGTTCTGGCGCCACCTGGGGGGTGGCCACTTTCGGGTGGTGGAGTCGTGCCCACTCGGCGTCACCTGGGCCCTGGGCCACGACAACACAGCGTGGGCCTACACGGGCGGCTACGGCGGAGGCGTCTTCAGAGGTGCGTGACCCGGGTGGACGGAATCTTTAGATTGGTTTGGCGGCATCGACCCTAAAAGTAGGATTTAAGGCAACCCAAACCAACCCACAAAACGGGCGAAAACGGCTCCCAGAGATATCCGGGGGGAGAGGAGTGACGTTAATGGTCAAGTGAATGTGACGTTTCACGGGCTCAGAGTTGAATATATTGAACTTTTTCCGGCCCCTGAGAGCACAGGACGGACCCGGAGAGGCCCTCGGCCAAACGGTGAAAGGTGGTCCACCCTCCTCGCCCTCCTCGCAAATAGCTTGAGTGGGGCGGGAGGGGAGGGGGATGGTTTGCTAATTTCCCCTTGGGAACCCAAGAAAAAGACAAAGGGAGGCTTAAGAAGCAGTGGCTTTTGGTGTAATCTCCCCCTCAAAGCCCCTGAGAAATCTCACAACGGGTGCCTTGTCTCTCTTGTGCCCGTGATGTGCGTTTTAGAGCGCAGCTCTTAGGCGCCTGTTTCCGGCTTTAGCGGCGTCGCCTTCGGCATAACCACACGTTGCGTTATGGGACGCTTCTCATAATAACGTTGCACGTGACGTCACAAAGGTCACTTTTGAAGGTCACGACCTTCACGAGTGACGTCACAAAGGTCACTTGTGAAGGTCACGACCTTCACAGGGCCTTCACGATTGAGCTTCACGAGGGTCACTAGGGTCACGAGCGATGTCACAAGGCAGGAGGAAGGGAGGGTTAGGAGAGGAGTGGAGGGGAAGAGGGTACGGTGGAGAAGGAGGGGCAGGGGGTGCGGAGGAGGAAGAGGGGCATACCCTCTTCCGTACCCTCCCCTCCTCCTCCTCAAGAGCTGCGCTCTAATTTGGCATTACAGGGAATTGTAAGCGTCTGTTTTTTTTTTTCCTTTCCCTCTCAACTTTTCTGTCTCCGGCATCCCGGCGCGCTGTCCCTTCAACTTCTTGTCCATACACTCCCACGCACCTTTAAACTAAAATAACAAACAAAAGTTGCAAAAAAAAAAAAAAAATCTGGTTGGTTTGGATTGCCTTTTACGGGGTCGTCGCCCGCAAAACATTTACAGAGTTTTTTTTTATCGCAAAAGTAAAGTATGCGTCGTCTAATGCTCGGTTTCCGCCCGAATGTAGTGCTAGTGGTGCAAACCATATGCTAGAGTTTCGGAACAAACCGTGGTCTTATTCGAAAGTCGTAAGCGACTTTTGGAAATTTTTCAGTGGTGAAAGGTGGCTAACAAAGCCCATGAATACGTGGGGTTGAATGGTGCAAACTGCTAAGAACGGGTCCTGTGGTTGCGTCGAAACTTTCACAGAATCGCTCGCAACTTTCAGATGAGATGACGGCTAGTTCCGAAACTTTAGCATGTGGTCCAAACCGCTAGCAATACATTTCGATGGAAAATGAGTGCTCGATGATGCGGAGTTTACTTTTGCAGTACCAGAACCACTGTAAGTCTTGTTTGAGGACACTCTGCTCCGAGAATGTTTGCTCGGAAATGAGGGCTCGGCAAGAACACGTGCTGCTCTGAGAAGAAGGAACACATGGTGTTGTCAGTACATCCATACCTTACTCATTATACTATAGTCTTCAATTGGGGCGGTACTACAGGCATTTTTGCGCGAGATACTCGCCTTTCTGAGGGGAGTGGCTTTACATAGCCAAATAAATATTACTGCTCACTACATGCTATCCAATCTCTGGCAATAGAGCTATACTCTATTGAAGGTAAGGAATTGTGGAACAAGCTACTCCCCCAAAGCCATCCACTCTTTCTGCTTTAGCGGAGCGACGCTGGAGACGACTCTTCTGACCCCCCCCTCGGGTGTTCACTCTGTCGGAGTGGAAGGAGGGCTTTGAGGCAGAGCCTGTCCCGTTTTTCTTAACCTGCAACTGAGTACAGACTGTTTATACGAGGACAGAGCCCCCTCGCATTTGAGCGACGACTGTTCCTTGTCGACGCGTTGGTAACGGCTTCGGTTTGGACGAGTTGCAAGCGTCACTGTCGTCGCGGCGACAGGGATGACCGGCCACAACGAGAAGGTGGGTCCAATGACGGACGTCAAGTCGGTGCTCATCTACGAGAACCAGCGCTGGAATCCCTTCTCCGGCTTTGCGGCGCGGGGGCTGCTGACCGACCGGTACATGTGGAGCGACCGGTCTGGCCTGGTGGAATGCACCAAGGAGGGAACCCGGCTGGACTCCGCCCACTGGCACTGGGTGAGTGAGTCGGCACCCGGGTAGCGCAGTTCTTTGGGCCGAAATTCGGTTTTTGTCTCGGAATTCGAGGTCTTGAGGAGCCCGAAAGGGCTAATGGTAGAGCCTAACTTGACCTTCTTTGGCCTTCTTTGGATGCGACCGTAGCTCATTGAATCGAGATACGACGGTCGTGATTTACTAGAAGAAAAACAAGCAGACGGTTGTGCATGATTTGTTCTCTCTCTCAATTTGACGCGCTACCATCGCGTTCGGGTAAATCCTAATTCGCCAAACAAGTGCCAAAGTTAGGCTTTACTGGTAGTAATTTGGCTGTCATGTGGCATTTTTGGGGTCTACATTGCCAAACAAGTGCCAAAGTTGGGCTTCACTTCTGGTTGTTTGCTTTTCATGTGGCAACTAGATTGCCAAACAAGTGCCAGATTTGGGCGTCGGTGCTGGATCTTCGATTCATACGTGGCATGCTTGGCTCAAATCTTGCACTTTGGCGATTCTGTGGGGATCCTGAGGAAAGTCATAGCAATGTCAAAGAAAACTACTCTGCCACTAATTTTAATGCCTTGGAGCAAAACCCTGTTGGGTCCAAGTTTGGCCCCTGGGCTTGCCAAGCTTGTGTCTCTTGGACTGAGTTGACTACTTTCTAGGGCAGGTGAAACGATGGGCGTAGGAAAGAAACTCCGCATTTCTATGCCCCATCATAGAAGCAGTGATGTGACAAACTGGGCGAATAAATCGGCAACGATCCTTAGGGTAGGTGTAAGGATGAGGAAAAGGAAAAGAACTACAGGATAATATGCAAATTTACAAGTGCCGTTTTTTTTAAATAAAAACTGTTATTTGTAACATTCTTGTTGCTTTGTCTTTTCTCTAGCGACTTTGAAGCGCAACTAAACGGCCGGATGATTGAGTGTTTGGGGAAGTTATACCGTTTCTCGTAGTTGGACAGGTCAGGCCAACATGTGAATCTTAACATATTATTCACAGTGAAATGAATGAGAACGGCATCGATGCTTGTGCGCCAAAGTGAACTCTGCTCCAAAAGGCACCCCGAAACAACTCTGGCCAATCACGTCACTTTCAGGGTTAAACGCTTGCTGGAGCGGTTTTCTATCTCATTTCTTGAGAAAGTCGACCGCATCTGTGCTTGAAGAAGTTTAATAATGATCAGCATGAGAGCCCCATTTCTGTATCGAAAACAGGATAGAAATTTTTTTGTCGGAGGTGACATGCAAGACAGGATCCAAGTGGGTTGTGGGCTGGTCGACAACCTTGTACTGCAGCAAAGTATGTAGTAGGGCGAGTCATAGAGTGGACAATAAAAATAAGATGATTTACATCGTGGTTTCAATCAAACCAGTTTTACTGAGATGATTTAAACCAAATCTTTCCCGCAAACATAGTGCCGAAAATAGTTTTTATTTACTGCTTGTCTATCGTTTGATGTTTTGTATGTGAATTTGTTTTGTACTGAAATCAACGACTCAAGCAAGAACACGAGCGAAACGCCGTGCTTTTCTGAACAAATCGGAGTATCGAGCTTTCTTTCTACCTTCAACTTCGTTCGTCCTATTGCAAAAAAATCAGCACGCGAAAAAAAAAAAAAATAATCTAGAAAAGTAAGGTTTTTGAAAACAAATCAAAATGCAAAAGAAAAAGAAAGAAGGGAAGACGTTTGCGAATCTCTGTAACGCGAAATTAGAGCGCAGCTTTTCAGGAGGGGGAGGGAAGTATGGAGGGGAGGGTATGCCCCTCCTCCTCCTTCTTTCCTCCTCCTCCTCTTTCTGCCGCTGAATTTACTCATAAGTGACGTGACACGAAGTCGTGACGTCATTTTCCCCCTTTAAACTTAGCGGGGAAACTGAATTGGTGTTGAGGTCACGTGACGTCAATTTTCCCGCTAAATTTAGCGGGGAAACTGAGTTTGTTCGTAGGTGGCTTGACATGAAGTCATATGACGTCATTTTCCCCGCGAAATTTAGCGGGGAAACTGAATTGGTGTTGAGATCACATGGCATCAAATTTCCAGCTAAGTTTAGCGGGGAATTGAATTGGTGTATAAGTCTGTGACGTCTCATAATGCAACGCGCGCGGTTATGGCGACGGCGACGCCGCGAAACACGGGAACGAGCGCCTAAGAGCTGCGCTCTAAAACAAATAAAGCTTTTTAGTGTAAAACAAAAAAAACAACAACAACAAGCTGTTTTTGTTCAAGTATGGCCAGGGTTACATCAATGAAAAGTTGTTGATTACACTGTGCCTTAAATTTGCAGTAATCCATCCTTTCCTCCTAATTGTTATCAGTGAAAGGGCGGATTGATCAATCAGCCATGTCTAAAAATACACGTAGTGTATTTTTAGCTACACATATGCCCTAAATCAAATTAATATGATATAATAAATCTGACTTTAATCACATAAATCTGATTTAAACCAAAAAAAAAAAAAAAGTCACAGGGAGGAAGGAGTGGAAGACAGACAAACACAGCGCTGACTTTCGTGTGTTGTTTTCTGTCATATAACAATGCATTAATACGAAACAAGGAACAAAGAAACAAGACAGAACCTTCCATTTAACCGTGGCAGACTTATTTAAGTGGGTAAAAATTCGCCATTGGAATGAGTTACAGATTCAGCACTGATACAGGCAACCGTACATTGCCACATTAAACAAAACACACACACACAAAATTTTGGAATTTTTTTTTTTTGCGTTGTTACCAGGGTGTCGAACCGGAACCGAACCGAACCGGTATTTTTTCCGGAACTGAACCCGAACCCGAACCGTTATATTGTTATCGCGATGAACCCGAACCGGAACTGAACCGGAAAAAAAATAACGGTTACCGGCTCATGTCAAAACGGTTCATCCACGCGCTGTTGACAATGGATGTGCTATCAATGCCATTTGTTTTTTAAGTGCCGTCAACTGACACACACCTCGCTTACATATTTTTCTTCTCCACTCAGTCTTAGGAATATAAACGCTGCATCCATGAATCTTGACATAGGAACCAGTATTGCACTGGTCGCGGCTTGCACGGAAGAAAGAAAATTGGAAAGCTGTGCAAAAAAAAAAAAAAAAAATCGCGTCACGGGATTTTATTTTCCTAAAATCTCGTAAATCCTAAATGCTGCTGTGTGCTCATTTCATAACACGTTTCTCGAACGCGCGAGTTCTTGAAGCTTGCTTCCATCGGAATGAGAAAAGAAAAGGCTGTGGAGTTTGATAATAATGCATCCGGTTTCGTATAGGCACTTAGAAGCTAACATATTTGTGAGACAGCGAACTCTTCTATTTTAATATTTATCCTATTACGTCCTTCTGGCGTTGCGTTCGGTGAAGTATTTTTCATATTCCGTTTCTTGTTTAATGAAAACTTCTTTAAGTGTCTAATTTGAGTTACCGATCGAAGGCTAGTTCAAATAAAGAAAGCTGTATTTTCTCCCCACTGTTCCTTCAATTGTTTACACGCCGAGGTGGCGGGATAGTTAGCGAGTTCTACTTGTAAGTGGGTTTGTAAGGAGGTCGCGGATTTTACAGCTACTGCGTCGGACCCAATTAGATGAAGTCCGAATGCGTAAACGTCGGTGAGGTAACCTTTGAGTGCACATAAAAAAACCATTCCTGGTAGAAATCCCTGAGCCTTACACTACGATGTATCCCGTTTCGTATGTGCTGATTTCAGATGTTTTATTTGTAATTTATTTTGATGTTGCAATTTGTCATTTATAATTTCCAAACCGGTTCGCGAACCGGTTCAGCGCCCCGAACCGGTTCGCGAAGCGGTTCGCGGATCGAATTAATCGAACCGGAACTGAACCGGAACAAAATTAATTTACCTGAACCTGAACCGTAACCGAACCCGTATTTTTTTCGGTTCAACACACTGGTTTTTACGCTGACGTTTGGCCAATGTATGAATATTTTAATACAGCGGAGTACAGCTACATTGATTACAGTGGGCGGAGTGCTCCATCGGGGTACTTATCCGTGCACTGTAATGTATATTGTGGATGGAACCACTTTCTAAAAGTGCGTAGTTCCAAAACTTTTTGGAAGTGCGCACTTCCAGAAAGGGGCTCTGAGAGGGCGCGGAGATACGATGGGCTAGAACGGAGAAGCTGCCACACAGGTGTTGCAATTATTTGTCCCCAGGGGGAGTCATGTCGAGAAGATGGCCCCATCTGAAGCGACCGGTATACCTACAACACAAAAATTGATTGTAAATCAATATCGTTTATGAGATAAATTATGCGAGCGACAAACAGCACCATCGTGGATGTGCGCGACCAAGAGTTTCGCTGTGATCGGCCTTCCACGATTGGAAGGCCGTTCACAGCGATTCCACGACAAACCAGCCTTTGTTGCGTCACGCGATGACAGCGCAGCAGAGGTTGGTTGCACTATTTCTCCACGGGGTGCGGTGCCGCCGGGGCCGAGATGCGCTCCGATAGCAAACCGAAACTGAAAAACCCGTCGAATTAGTGCGGTTTTTCAGAAAGCCGTAAAATGCTTCGCATGCCTTCTATTGTTGTGCAATTTGTTAATTTAGTGTTTTTTGATGACGCTGAACAATTTTCTAATTGAAACCATGCCCTTAAAGACAATATTAAAAAAAGTTAATTACGCAAAAATGATTAACAATCTAATTATCAAGGACTTTAATAATTTTCCTAAATAGCTAGGCCCCTGGCCCAGGACCAAAACGACACAACTCTTTTCTGTTGCGACGCCTAGTTTTCGCAATATCGAATTTGCCCACCTTTCGTGAAACACCCTGTACATTTAATAGCGGAAGGGTTACAGGCCTATTGACAAGTGGAACGTCTGCCGTGAGGCCTACACCGTAGCGTTCCATCCGACATGACAGCCAGTCGCAGTCTTCTTCTCTCACCTGGAACACAACAACTATAACAGTTTTAAATTCTTGAAATGTTATTAAAGCACCACAATTATCAGCGAGAGTATTTTTAAACAATAACCTTTCAGTCTACTTTTCGTAGCAGCGCCGCCACGCGGACGGGATTGGAGGCGTATCTGGGCCGCGAACCGGCCGGAGTTTCCGCTTTTTGGCATTACCACTGAAGCAGGCGATGGAGTAGACGATGCCGGGGACGATGTAGCAGACGATGGTGATCTACTATAGTGATGACGTTTAGAGGCGGAAACGCGCAGGCCTTGTCTTCTAAGTGGTGGTATAGACGCTTTGCAGCAGCTGTGCATGGACGCCGCCATAACTGACCTTCAGTTTTTGTTTCCTCTTATTTAGTTTATTTCACTTCATCATTACCATAGCAGGCCAGGCTATTGCCATATTAGATTCAACTGTGTCCTTTTCTAAAGCATCGGCCTTTGTAGAGGATCGTCAACTACCGATTCAGTTGCTCGGCATCTCGGTAAGACAAGAGAAGGTCAGCAATGGCGGCTGATATTTGGCGCGTGTGTAAAGCGTCCATTTTCAGTGTTTGTGCGTATGACGCGTGATTTGCTCGCTTTCCGAGGCGACGATCATGCCGGCGCGTGCTAGACCGAGGAGATCGCACGCATGGGCTGAGGACCTGGTAAATACTTGCACAAGGGTAACTAATTAAAAAAAATAAATTGGCTAATTGAAAAAGAAAAATAGCGGGTAGATCTCGAGACATCTAGCATTGAGGTTTGCCCTCCATCTTTTCAGTCAAAGCCAATCAGAGCTCTGCGTTGTTTTGATGTCACCGCAACTTCTGCGCAAGCAGCAGCCGACTTGCTCTCCGCGTACAATATGTACCGTCAAATCCCGTAAGGGCGCCCTTCCCCGAGTGATCTCCCATACCGTTTTTCTGGCTAAATATCTGTAACATAAAAATTCCGAAAGATCGCCCACCCCCCGATTTCCGTTGGACGTCAACCGATGTACGACGGGAATCGCGCATCAACGGCGCGATCTGCGGTACCGGTGCGTCCCATGAAGCGAGTTCATAGCGGGTTCCCGCGTTTCTGTCTGCGATCTGCGTACATGATATCGGCTCCCGTAAAGGCGCGTTCACACTCTTGCAACCGAGTACGACCGAGAAAGACTTCTTGGGACCGGATGCACTGAGCGGAGCTGGTCCTAAGAGATCGCAAGAGGCTTAAAACCGGTTTGGTCTCTCTCGGTCGCACTCGGTTGCAAGAGTGTGAACGGGCCTTAACACGCGAGTTGTTCCCGCGTGTATATTGCATCGTGAAATGCGAATATGCCAAGTTCGCGATTTGCGGTAACCGTTCCCGAGTTCGTAGCGGATTTCCGCGTGTTTGTCCGCGATCTGCGTGCGCGATGTGGGTTTCCGTTGACAGGCAAGATTGTAGCGGGTTCCCGCCGCGTCTTTACTGCACCATGAAAGTTGAATCTGCTATGTCTGCGATCTGCGGTATCCGTTGCCGTGAGATGCGAGTTCTCGGCGCGTTTCCGCGAGTCCTTCGCACCGTGAAATGCGAATCTGCTGCGTCAGCCACGTGCGGTATCCTTTCCCGTGACACAGGAGTTGGTAGCGACTTCCCGCGTGTTTATCGCATCGTGAAACGCGAATTTGCAGTGTCCGCGATCTGCGGTATCAGTTCCCGCGTCACGTGGTTTGTGGCGGGTGCCCCGGTGCTTATTAATTTTTGATAAAGTTTTGTTGCGGCATCCCCAAAGATAGCCCACCCCATGTTTGTTCACAATTTATCTTCGCATTTTGGGTGGGCGTTCTTACGGGATTTTACGGTATAGGTCTATTCTAAACCGGGGGTTTCCAAATTTTGGCTCGGGGGCCGGATTTGGGATCTGTCGCGGTCTCGAGGTCCGGAAAATAAATAAGTAAATAAATTAAAGCTGAATAAATAAGCCTGGAAAGGGGTTTAAACACAAAAATTCAAGATAGATAAAAAAAAAAAAAAGTTCCGAAGTGGTTTGATAAATACATTTCATTTTAAAATTTAATATTCAGTTAATTATGACATTATAAAGTGATTGCGAACCAGAAAAATCACCGGGCATAAATAAAAGTGCAGAGGGATTTTAGTTTAGCTCAGCCACGCAGGGCAGAAGACTGATGAGATTGGTAGGACTGATGGCACTATGACTAAAAATTAAAACAGCGCAAGGACTCGGACAAGAACAAGAAGGTCCGTGTCCTTGCGCTGTTTTAATATTTAATCATGAAATACCAACTAGCCCAAACTTCTACGTTAGGCACTATGACATATATTTCTCGCTAATCCGGACCAAGTGGGAGTTTTCCTCTGTAGCCTGGAATTGTATTAGTCCTACGAGCCAAGAGATGATTGAAAATCTTTAAAAGCGTTTTTTTTCTCTCTCGAATTGTTTACGATCGTTACATTGGTCGTACTGTTTATTACTCTTATGCGAGACTGTTATGTTAGAACGCTGCAAATGCCCTACTTTGAGTTCCAGACGGCGTGAGCGCTATCTTGTTTTCCTGTATAAATGTATTCATAGATTAAAGGGAAGATGGGGCACTTCTACATTTGAGAAAAAACGCTTGAATTGCGTTCGTTTGGCCTTTAGAATAACAGATATAAAAATTACATTTCAATGCGACGCGCCGGAGAGCCACAAGAGCAATTTCAAAATAGGGCTGAAGCCCCGCCCCCCTAGCCTTGGGCAGCCAAAAGATCCGTCGATGACGTCACGGACAGCGACTGTCTTTCGCATTTTTCTCGCGTTTACCAATACTTACGCAGCAAATGGTTTGGGTATTCGGGTTCACGGGGTAAAAATACACTAGAATTCACTTCTAACTCATTTTTTCCAAGAAGCTCCGTAGCTTCCCTTTAATTGATTGCCCAGATCTCACATCTGCTATTAATATTCACGTTCCGAGTCGAGTTTTGCGGGTTTCTCCGACTTTCCATGTGAATCACATCATCCAGACCAGTCCCATTACCCGTATTCAACACTTCTACAATACCCTAAGGGGAGCAGATTTTATGTTTTTAACCCAAATTTCGTAGCTTTTAAGATTCTTATAACTAACCTGTGAACATTTCGTTGTGCGTCATTATCAAGACATCAAGCTGTTCATGAGCACAGAAAATAAACAAATGAATAGTTCCGACACACGACATGTACACATGAAAACTCAAAGCAATTTTCACATATTTGCAGTGGCATAAAGCAGGCGGCTAAGAATGAAGATGGTGGTGATGAGAACGTGCAACGGTATATATACTATCGTAGCCTCCTTTATTTTAGAAAGCCTGCCAACTCCACGACGGAGCCATTGAGCTCGTGGCCGCCGGAAAAAGGCGCCGAGCAGCGCCGAAAGGATACCCCTAATATGGTAGCGCAGAGCCACTTCTGGGTAACCTAGAGTAACTGTATGGGCTCTGCTTGCAAGGTAACCCTTCAGACAGCGCCTGGCCTCTCCGCGAAACAACAAACCGCAACAGAGAAAAGAGGCTACCGGCGCGCGGAAAACGGGAAAGGGGCTAAAGAAAAAAAAAAAAAAAAAAGAGGAGCGCGTTTGTGTTTCCGGATTTGACCGCTGGGGCATTGTTTGGCGCTGGTAGAGGAGCCCCTGCGCACGCCCTCTTCTCTGATCTCCTTTCCCCTTTACAGCGGCCACTTTCTTTCGCGATTTGACAGGCTTCCTAAAATAAAGGAGACTCTGATACAATCTCATATGACACTACTATCTGCTAGGAATTAGAACAGGTGCCATGAGTTTGCTGAGCTTCGCGGCGCCGTTACTTTGCGCGCGCTTATTTTTGCGTCGGTAGCAGGTGGAAACGAGCAGCGGGCCGGGCGGCCGTCTTTGGGAGGACCAAGGGAAACCGAGGGCCGATCCTGACCTGGCCCGCGGGTTGGGGTTTGGAGACCCCTGTTCTAAAACTCTAAACGAATCCTGTGTGATTTGGAAGGAAACATTTGCGCGTCACCGATGTTGCGGCACTTCACTAGGACGACATCGGGTGGAGCGAATCGTCGTTTATTCAACGCGCCGTTTCTTCAGGAGCACCTTCCGTTGCGGCATGTGCCGGTCTGCATCCACTTGTTGCGTTCATCCGTTTTCTGGAAAAAGAAATGGGAGTCACGCGGGCGGTGTCAAGATCAAATTTACGCGTAATAGATTGATTCGCAATCAGTGAGGCAGATGGTGCTCATACCTCGAAGCACCTTGGCGAAAATGACCCGACGTTACCACTCCAAAATAGGCGCGCGCGTGCACATTAAGGCATACAAAAAAAAAAGAAAAGAAAAATGAAGTTTGCATCTTAAGGTTGTGATTTAGCTTGTCCGATACACTGGCTAACTGAAAAATACTCAGTCGCAGGTGACTCCCACCGCCATTACGAAGGTTTGAAGTACGCCATGCATGCATGCTTTGTTCCCGTCAATATCTTGCATAAAGCGCAATATCTGGAAGTTCGAGGACCGTATTTCCGAGTCTAGAACATTGGCACAGGTAAGGGGTCTTTTTTTTTTTTTTCAATAAGCTTCCGCGCATGCGCACAACCTCTCCCCTGGCCTTGCTTCCGGCTGTCTCCATTTCCGCTGGGCACCGTCCCGCGTGACCAACACTCTGAGCGCCTATCTTTCCGCGTATTTCGTCTACTCCTGTTTTCTGGATATCGGTAGCATGCGGCATAAAAAGCAATGAAAATTAACCGATGCAGCGGCACATTGTCAATGTGTTTTGACGTGCGGAGTCCCGTTGGGCTGCTCTCCATTTGTAGTTCGCGTACGAACCGCCACACGGCGCTCGGTACTCGAAAAGGGTCCATCGCGTATACTCTCTAAAACAACATACGCAAATTTTTTTTGAAGCAGGTACGTTTTTCCCGCGGTGCACGTTAACAAACCTTTCTACACCTTTTTTTTACACCCTTCCGTGAAAAAGAGTTTTACTATAGGTTGTTCCGATACCCCCGATAACGATACGACGCACGCGCAAAGGCGGCGGCGGAGTATCGGTTTTCGTCATCCGAGTCATCGGAGGTATCTATAGTAACAACTCTCTAATAATTGTAAACTGTCCATTACTCGAGGCAAAGGGTTTTGAAACGGTGTAGCCATGGGTGTTGTACATCTCTGAAGCACCATTTTCACAATCTTTTTTTACGTACGTATGCATGCTTGGAACATTTCTGCAGGCAGTTTTTCGCGTGACCGTCGTACAAAGAAGGCCTCAGACTGTCTTTGGTAGGGTGTATCTAGCGGTGGGTGACCGTGGCCTATATTGGTGTAAATATGTCTAATGTGTCACGCTACACATGGTGTTCTATATAGACGCGATTTTGTGGGGTCGGAGTCGGGTGCGAGGGGTCGTATAGTACCCAGTATCGGCATTGGTGTCCGTCCCTGTTGCGACGCTGTCGGTCGTCGCCTTCGCCGAGCCGGCACCATTCCACGCACGTGTTCCCTTTGTCCTGTGCCGAAGAAAAGAAAATAGAAACATTGGCAGCGATGCTTTATCTTTCAAGTCCTAGAATGCGTGTTATGGGACTTCTTAGCACAAACGGCATTGTCAAAAGCCCGCCGTCGGCAGTTCCTGTCCTATAGCATATTTGGAGGCTGGGCTCTCTTGAAGTGTATTACTCACACTCTGCTTGGGCTAAGAGATTGGCATAAAAAAATGAGGCGATAAGAAATGAATTTTCAAACGTGATGAACTATAACTTTGAGACTATAGGGAGAAAGTTTACGATGAAGGAGAGGAAGAACAGGAGTCTCAAACTCAGCTGAAATTGATCGCCAAAAAGTCATGTTTGTAGAGGCTTCAAACGCCTTCGCAAAAAAAAAAAAGAACACAAAGAAGGAAACAAGCTTTCCGCAAACGTATGTGTGCAAAACACTAACATGAACGAATATCTACAACATATCTAGAAAGTGTTTGTGTGTCTGTGGGGGGGGGGGGGTCAAACTTTTGTTGAAACTTGTCAGTGACTTCCACCGTTAGACAAAACAACAACTTGGAGACAAAAACAAACAAACAAAAAAAAAAACCTTACAAACAACAGAACAGCCTAAAAGGGTCAAATATCCACAAACGTTTTCAACTCTATTTGTAAACCGAGGAAGGGTTTGTTTACCGCATTTCTGTGGTGAACAATTGTGACGGATTTTTTTTAACAACCGTTTATTATCTCCTCTTTCGGACAATACCGCGTCGTGGACTGTCATCAAGGTTCACATTTCTGACACTCAATTAAATGCTTTGACACATCCGAGTACTGATCTTTGTTCTTAACACTGCGTTTACGTTCTGTTATATGATCATTTAGGCAACGTTTTTTTTGTTCTGTGTGACACAGACCACAATCAAACGGAATTTTGTGCACCACTCCAGATACAAAATCGGCCCCCTTTTGCCTGTGCTTCTTATTACAACTAGTATTTTCTGGGAATCTTTGTCCAATGGCCCCAAATTCTGTGTACATGTGAAACATTCTAGACTCGATATAGTCTCGGCTATAAATGGGTCTTCAGCTTCTCTATCAAGTCCTAATCAAAAGACCGCACTTATATCTTCCTCATTGCACGATGTCTTCGTTAGTGGATTCGTCTTTTAAATTGGACTACAGAAACTTTCGAAAAATAGCTTCGGTAAAGAAAGAGCTGAAAGTAAAAGACGCAGTTATCCTAGAAACATAAGTCGGGTAGGTTTGGGGTTCTGCCAATGAATGAGTTTCGAAAAAAGTCTGACCTAGCGGTTTCGAGCTTGTTCAAACCTTTCGACGGGAGTTTAAAACAGACAAAAAAGGAAGGTATTACAATTCTAAAAGACTGTAGGTTTCCCTCGTTGGTTTTTAAGTTGCAGGATAGGTCAAGTAACACGTTCTGAAAGACCATAAACTAGACTTGCCTCTCAGGGGCGTGGTCAATGAAAGCGATGCTTGGCAAAAACTTATTTCGTCTTTCCTTCGAAACTCACTGTAAGTCTTGGAAGTCAGGAGTCTTTTATCCCTTCGGTGTTTTGAGAACTTTATTACAGAACTACAGCCCTTACGCGGGATTGTTCGGAATTTGATGAGAAGTGGTATCAGCAAATCTTGTTTCCATTTGATAGGGAGTGTCCCAGCAACGTCTTGACCGCTTTTATATGGATGGATACCCGGAGAATATGTATTCAAGCAGTTGGCTAACCTAGTTTCCCTCAAAAAGAAACGGCACGACGGGGAAAAAACGGCCAAGCGAGTGGTTCTTCCTTTTTTTATTTTCATAGAATTTCTCGTAACCTTAGATCTATCGGCATCAAGTATGGAGTCAGGACAGTATGTAGGAATAATGTTAAACTAAGGCGTTTAACGCCGTTTCATTCAGAGAAGATTAGTTGTATATTAAGCAGCACAAAATTCCCTTTGACTGTTGTCTGTGTTACATCGGACAAACAAAACGTTGCCTAAATTATCATATATAACAGAACATAAACGTACAGTGTTAAGAACAAAGACCAGTACTCGAGGTGTCGAAACATTTAATTAAATGTCGAAATTGTGTACCTTTATGGCCATTTACGACGATGGTATTGTCCGAAAGGGGAGATCATAAATGGTTGTTAAAAGAATCCACCACAATTGTTCAGCACGGAAGCGCGGTAAACAAACCCTCCTTCGGTTTAGACACAGTCGAAAAGTTTTCTGGATATTTGACCCTTTTAGACTGTTCTGTTTCTTCCCGAGTTTTTTTTTTTACGTTTTTGTTTTGTTTAACGGTGAAGGTCACTGACAAGTTTTAACAAAAGTTTGACCCCCCCCCCCCCATACACACACACTTTAGACCTGTTGTAGTTATTCGTTCATGTTAGTGTTTTGCACACATAAGGTTGCGGAAAGTTTGTTTCTTTATTTGTGTTTGTTTCTTTTTTCTGTCTGTGAGTATCTGAAGCCTATACAAACAGGATTTTTAATGTGAAAGCATATTACGTCTCATGGAGTGAACCCGGCGAAAAACGGCACTCAAATTCCCGCTGGCTGAGCGAAAGGGCAGCTAATTTTTAATTTGCTGAGCGAAACGGCACCTAAATTCCCATTGGCTGAGCGAAACGGCACCTAAATTCCCATTGGCTGAGCGAAACGGCACCTAAATACCCATTGGCTGAGCGAAACGGCACCTAAATACCCATTGGCTGAGCGAAACGGCACCTAAATTCCCATTGGCTGAGCGAAACGGCACCTAAATACCCATTGGCTGAGCGAAACGGCACCTAAATTCCCATTGGCTGAGCGAAACGGCACCTAAATTCCCATTGGCTGAGCGAAACGGCACCTAAATTCCCATTGGCTGAGCGAAACGGCACCTAAATTCCCATTGGCTGAGCGAAACGGCACCTAAATTCCCATTGGCTGAGCGAAACGGCACCTAAATTCCCATTGGCTGAGCGAAACGGCACCTAAATTCCCATTGGCTGAGCGAAACGGCACCTAAATACCCATTGGCTGAGCGAAACGGCACCTAAATACCCATTGGCTGAGCGAAACGGCACCTAAATTCCCATTGGCTGAGCGAAACGGCACCTAAATTCCCATTGGCTGAGCGAAACGGCACCTAAATTCCCATTGGCTGAGCGAAACGGCACCTAAATACCCATTGGCTGAGCGAAACGGCACCTAAATTCCCATTGGCTGAGCGAAACGGCACCTAAATACCCATTGGCTGAGCGAAACGGCACCTAAATTCCCATTGGCTGAGCGAAACGGCACCTAAATACCCATTGGCTGAGCGAAACGGCACCTAAATACCCATTGGCTGAGCGAAACGGCACCTAAATTCCCATTGGCTGAGCGAAACGGCACCTAAATACCCATTGGCTGAGCGAAACGGCACCTAAATTCCCATTGGCTGAGCGAAACGGCACCTAAATACCCATTGGCTGAGCGAAACGGCACCTAAATACCCATTGGCTGAGCGAAACGGCACCTAAATTCCCATTGGCTGAGCGAAACGGCACCTAAATTCCCATTGGCTGAGCGAAACGGCACCTAAATTCCCATTGGCTGAGCGAAACGGCACCTAAATACCCATTGGCTGAGCGAAACGGCACCTAAATTCCCATTGGCTGAGCGAAACGGCACCTAAATTCCCATTGGCTGAGCGAAACGGCACCTAAATTCCCATTGGCTGAGCGAAACGGCACCTAAATACCCATTGGCTGAGCGAAACGGCACCTAAATTCCCATTGGCTGAGCGAAACGGCACCTAAATACCCATTGGCTGAGCGAAACGGCACCTAAATTCCCATTGGCTGAGCGAAACGGCACCTAAATTCCCATTGGCTGAGCGAAACGGCACCTAAATACCCATTGGCTGAGCGAAACGGCACCTAAATACCCATTGGCTGAGCGAAACGGCACCTAAATTCCCATTGGCTGAGCGAAACGGCACCTAAATACCCATTGGCTGAGCGAAACGGCACCTAAATACCCATTGGCTGAGCGAAACGGCACCTAAATACCCATTGGCTGAGCGAAACGGCACCTAAATACCCATTGGCTGAGCGAAACGGCACCTAAATACCCATTGGCTGAGCGAAACGGCACCTAAATTCCCATTGGCTGAGCGAAACGGCACCTAAATACCCATTGGCTGAGCGAAACGGCACCTAAATACCCATTGGCTGAGCGAAACGGCACCTAAATACCCATTGGCTGAGCGAAACGGCACCTAAATACCCATTGGCTGAGCGAAACGGCACCTAAATTCCCATTGGCTGAGCGAAACGGCACCTAAATTCCCATTGGCTGAGCGAAACGGCACCTAAATACCCATTGGCTGAGCGAAACGGCACCTAAATACCCATTGGCTGAGCGAAACGGCACCTAAATTCCCATTGGCTGAGCGAAACGGCACCTAAATACCCATTGGCTGAGCGAAACGGCACCTAAATACCCATTGGCTGAGCGAAACGGCACCTAAATTCCCATTGGCTGAGCGAAACGGCACCTAAATACCCATTGGCTGAGCGAAACGGCACCTAAATACCCATTGGCTGAGCGAAACGGCACCTAAATTCCCATTGGCTGAGCGAAACGGCACCTAAATACCCATTGGCTGAGCGAAACGGCACCTAAATACCCATTGGCTGAGCGAAACGGCACCTAAATACCCATTGGCTGAGCGAAACGGCACCTAAATACCCATTGGCTGAGCGAAACGGCACCTAAATACCCATTGGCTGAGCGAAACGGCACCTAAATTCCCATTGGCTGAGCGAAACGGCACCTAAATACCCATTGGCTGAGCGAAACGGCACCTAAATACCCATTGGCTGAGCGAAACGGCACCTAAATACCCATTGGCTGAGCGAAACGGCACCTAAATACCCATTGGCTGAGCGAAACGGCACCTAAATACCCATTGGCTGAGCGAAACGGCACCTAAATTCCCATTGGCTGAGCGAAACGGCACCTAAATACCCATTGGCTGAGCG